CTTCACTCTCCTATATCTAATCTATATATATATCCTAATTAGACAGTAGTTGTGAATTCTGTAAACCTAAGGATAAATCCAAAATAATACCGCAACTAGGAGACATAATAGCTATAGCTAAGCATGTGAATTAAAATTTAAAATAAAAGATAAACCGATAACTTCCTTTGTAGAAGGTATTTAAAACTGTTTTCGTGCAAAAATGCTAAACATAAAAATTTTTAGGACTTCGAAAAGGATGCGAAAATAGCTGCAAATTAAATTTAATCATATAATGACACGGAAGAGTGAAAAAGGTCATAACCTATGAGCAAAGGAGAATGAACAACCAGCAGGACCTGAAAGTTTTCAAGCAATAAATGGAAGCAGTTAAGAAATTTTAAAACTCTCAAGAAACAACAAATTTTATTTGGAAACAGAATTCAGTTCAAAAACAGCAGATGCTCAAACTATACTGTTGTGAAGACGAACTTATAGGTTTTAGAGTCAACAAAACTGGCTCTTTTCACACAGACTTTTGGTAGAAAAAAAAAGATTGAATTTGTACTATATATTGCAAGTACTGGTAGACAACTTTCTATATTACTGGTGAGGATCTGAAAAGAATGAATTTATAAGAACAACTAACAGTGTGTAAGGTAAATTTCATGAAATATTTTGTATAGTTTCATTGGACTTAATTTACCAGTCATTTATGTATATTCTAGGAACGAAATCCAACAGAAATTTAAGAGTTTGAAACAGGATTTTTTCTCTAAAATAAGGAAAGATAGAAAGAGGAGATGGTATGAGAAAGAACATAACAGGATAAAGGATAGTAATATATGGATTAATATTACAAACAGATCAATCAAGGTGCCTTACTTATTTGAACTAATTTTATTGGCAGAAAACAGGCTTTCTTATGCATACATATCTATATTTTTTATCAAGTGAGCCGTTACATCTTTCAAATTCATTTTTTCTTCATTTTCCAAAATAGTAGAGAAAGTAGAGCGTTCTCAACATGAGCGGTCGCTTTATTATATTGAATATCACATCGCTGACAATGGAACTGTATTCGCAATTAGATCTTAATTCTAATGATCTTAATACCAGTGGGTTGATAACATTACATGATGATACATATATATGAACTTGTCAGTTACAACTGCAATACATAATACGATCGACTGTTCGATCTCTAACTGGCAGTCTCTACTATTTTTAGATTATTTCAGAAACTCTCAGAACCTACCCGTTTGCTTCTAGCTTAAGAGAAACTTACTTGAAAGTGATTAAAATAAGGTGCAAAAAGAAAAAGCATGGGAGCCTAAAAAAACACGCAGAGATTTCGAAAGTAATATAGGGAGACGCACGAGAAAAGATGAGAAATCATTGATTCTAGCAAATTTATACACAAGGTATTATAAAGCAAAGCAGATAATACATGCTAAGACTATTAACATCTATCTGCATGGTTCTTTTAACAACAGAACAACAAATGCAAAAGTTTCATGGATAAAAGTAGGGATGACATAACACTTCCAGACAAATGGAGCTGCAAATTCCTCTCGAAAATCACCAAAGAAAAAATTCGAAAATTTCAAGCTATTCTAGAATATGAAACGAGATCTGCAGATCAAAATCTTATAACTCATACTTCAGTTGGCAAGATGTTAACTTGAAAATATTACAACTCAAAACAAACAAGAAGAACGAATCGACATTTATTTCCCTTAATTTTTATTCTTTTTCATAACATGAGTTCCACATTTTACGTTATATTTTTACAAATAACAGCATCATCAATGAGTATGAGAAAAAATCAGAACGAAAGAATATGCAAACAAACATATTAAAACATGGACCACAAATAGACTGGTATTGCAAAGTAATGAGGCTTGTTGTTTAAAGAAACTATGCCTAGTACAAAAGGATTCACTAGTAGGTAATTGAGAAATAGGAGTAAGACATTCTTCCAGTTGAAGCATACGTGTTGGGCACAGTAATATAATTAATGTATAACTGATAAAAGCAAACCTTCCGTTGCTCACGTTCCTCATCGCCGACTGCTGAGGAGTGTCCTACCATGCACCCCATCAGTCGCATCGCGTTGCGTCCTCAGTGACGCGTCAATGTCGCAAATTCCGACAGTTTCGCCAAGGGTGCAAATGCGGCGTCTCCTTCAAAGATCTTTGAAGTAATCTCTCCTGCAGGGTGAACAGCGATAATACGTAAGGTAAGGAGTAAGGAGGTAAAGAAGATCAACATTCACGATGCTGTCTTTTGTGTGACTCTCAATCCGGACAAGATTTCCTTCCAGTCTGCAACTGGGCCGGATTTGAAGAAAGCTTGAAGATGGGTACAAAGACGGCGGTATTGACAGGGAAGACGTAATGGGGGAAGAGAGAGTGCCAGAAGGAAGGGAAGGTATTCCTCGGTACTGTCTACAGGAAAGTAGCAGGGGGTAGCAGCAGCAGCAGCAGCATGAGTAGTAGCTGCTATCTTGGAAAGTAGAGAATGAGCTGCCGCAGATGGTGCAAGAAAAAGAGTGCTTGAAGATGGATTCATGGGGAGTGTCAGGGAACAGGATGAGAGAGGAAGGGATGGCAGCAGCAGAAACTGGACCATGAAGCTAGGCAGGAAGCGTTCCCTCCCTTACATTCTTCCAGTCTGCACAAGCAGCAACTATGTCCTGTCTCTCCTCTCCTCTTCCTTTTGCTATTTCCACCCTTTGCTCCTTCTCATTCCCTTACATGTAGTGAAGGTGTACTGCCGTCCGTTCCGGTTGCCGCAGTGTTGCAGTGGCGGTATTTGTAGTGGTTGCAGCTGCAGCGGTGGCTGTGTCTTGCTAGATAGATAGGTACCGGAAAGGACAAGCTTAACTAAGCAGCGGCGCAACATAGGCTAGATGGTCTGATCAGAACACTGCTATGGGAGTGCACACCTCGCTGGCGCTAATTTAAATACTCGCCAATATGGCACTCCACTGACATCAGTTACCGAGCACGGCTCTCTTCAGGTACTGCGTGTTACCTTGTTAAGTGATGTGTCCCTCAACTCATATTCTTCCATCTTCTATGATCTATTTCGGAAGAAGAATTCGTTTTCAGTATCTTTCAACATATCTATAAGATTCCAGAAACGTCCTTAAACATTAACATTCATATTGATAGGACAAAAATAAAAAGCTAATTCGAGATTCGATGAATGGATAACAATCAATTTCGTTTTAAAACATCCCATCCATAAACTGACTTTTTCCACACCACAACACAGCATAAAATTGTCCCTTATGCAGTAAATGTGTACACGTCTGTACGCTTGAAATATCAAGAAATGTTTCATATATATATAATATATCTAAGAAAACAAATAAACTACCCCTTTAGATATTATATCGGGTGATCAATCTAAATAAATGATGAACTGAGACCATGACATCTGAATAGGAAATAAATACAAGCAGAACCAATCAAAAAGTGTTACTCAATCCTTCAAATCTGTTCTCCATAAAACTGCCATCAGAAGGACATTTAGCAGGAAGAACATGTCGAAGATTATTATTATTGAATACAATGATTTCTCGAATGATCAGAATGATACGGATTCGGGATAAGGTTAGGAATATACAAGTGTAAGTAATCTATTAAATATACTTATGCAGACGGCCCGAAAAATAACCATGACGAGGAATGCATCGTATTATAAACTGTACTGTTTCATGTAGTAAAATCGCAAATAGGAAAGCATAAAGTGCAGCTAAAAGGAAGTAAGGGACGTATGACCTGGCTTCTGGCACTTATTGACACAGCACTTATCGTTCATTTAGAATGGTAACAGATTAAGGAACTGGGATGAAGAAATCACTGCATGACAGAAGGGAGCATATACTAAAGCTTCTCTTTCACCGATTACCTCGGAAAGAACCAATACAGTCATTTGGAACTTGCTTAGTCTGCTCCCAATCATAAGTAAGAATCCGTGAACCATCTAGGAATAACAACATTTCCCCTCTCTCGCAGCTATCATCCAAAATGAACAACTATCACAAATGGAATAAACGGAATGCCCCACTGAATTTTTGAAACGAAAAGAGAGGGATAGTGATTTTCGTTTAGACACAGTTGTAATAATACAAAGCAAACCAGATAGACTCGCTTTGTACTGGACTAGTTCCGGTTTTCTGGACTATTGGACTCTGTTTTGTCGTTTATCTTTGTTTTCGTCCCAGTTTCGTTTCTGTTCGTGCTGGGCTTCGAATCATTCGAATGAAAACTTCAAGCAGGAAGAAGATAACGTTTGGAATAAGTTACAAATGATTGCTACTTAACGATGAATTCAATCACATACTTGAAGCCTAATTTAGTCTGCATGTTCAGGTAGTCCGTAGTAACGATACGTCAATTATAAGTTGTTGACTTCTTCCCTCGTCTTCCAAAAAATAATAAAGGATGAATGCAAAAACAATGAACGCATTGTTCTCCTCTCGCTTTATGCTTTACAGAGAAGACCATTTGCGCTATCCGATTTGAATCTAATTTATTTTTATCTGTGTAAAAAATTGTTTGCTGATTAAAAAATATGTTCTGGTTGAGAGATGTTTTATTCATTATGAATATATGGGAAGATTATCATTTCTTATATGATTTTGACTTAGAGCTTATTTTAACAAGGAATTACATTATTGGAAAAGGGATTTTTTCTTTTTTATCATAAAAACATAAAGAGGCTTGAGGTTTTGATCAAAAGAGTAGCTCCGCAAGAATATAGCGAGAAAAAATTCTTCCACGTTGCCCAGTTGCTGCATCTCTTATCTTTTATGTTTTGGCGTTTTTTTTTTTTTTTTTTTTTTATGGTAAAAAGCATGCTGATTTTAATTGCAGGACGTTTTTTCTCTTTTTTTTCTTTTTTAATTTTTTTTAACCTCATTTATGAATTTTCCTCTTTTTGTCTCAGTGCAGTGTTGTGAAATTTATATGACCATTTTCTTCCCTTTAACTTATTTTATTTGCAGAATGTCAAGTAATGGATCCACGCTTCAAGTAAGTGTCGTTATCTTGTTTTTTGTTCCCAAGTGTAAGGAAAGGTTGCTTCCGTACTCTTTAATTTAAAATTTGTTATCTTAAATGGGCTCATATTAACCTTCATGCATAAATTAACAGGAGATAGTTTATCTCTTCAAAGTCACTTTTCGTTGCAGAAAGCAATTGAGTTGGTAACAAAGGCGACCGAGGAAGATAAAAGAAAAAATTATCCGGAAGCGTTACGATTATATAAACATGGGATCGACTATTTTCTTCATGCAATTAAGTGTAAGTTAGCATTATTAGTTCAGAAGTGAATCTTTGGAATATGTTGTCAGAGTAAGGTTATTCCTTTCGTCTAATTTTTTGATAACCACATACATTTGTGCTTTTCTTTGTTTTTTCCTACAATTTTAATGTTAACACATTTAGATGAAGCTCAGAGTGAAAAACAAAAAGACACAATTCGGCAACGTTGTGCGTCCTACTTAGATCGAGCCGAGAAAGTAAAGGAATATCTAAAGGTAATATTAATGAATTTTTGAACTTTATACGAATGATGAAGCGGATTTAATGCTTAAATTCAATTATTAGTCTCTCCGCCTTCTGTTATTCATCAGTGAAAAGGGAATGAGAATACATATGGAACGTAAGCAAATCATTTTATTTTGCTGAATACAGATTCAGCAGTGAAAGTTTGTGGAAAATTGCATGGTAATGGTTTTATGAATCTTTGAGCAAGTTGTATGAGAAATATTTGAGCTACAAAATTTATATAATTTGAAATGCTGCACAAGATATTTTCGCAGCCTTGCCCTATATTTTTGAAATGAAGTATTGTCAGCAAAGTCAGTGAATCGCTCTGGCATCATTTGCTTACCCTACATGTGGCTACTACTTGAAATGTTATTTCTTATCCTGAGCTCTTAAATCTTTTCGCATTTTCAGTGTCTTGAAAATTACATATTAGCTTCCGCTTTCCGAGCTGTTGCCATAGATTCTCACCTTAGTTCAAGCTACATATTACTACACTAATAAAATTGTTAATAAATAATTGATTAAGTATAGCAAAAATTCTTAAATTATGCAACAATTGTAGTTTTATATGGTAATATAAGCTTTAACATGGTCGTGTTACCGAACATGGAAAATCATTAATGGGGCAGCATTATCCATTTGCAGTAGCATACTGAATGCAACTGATTCTAATTATCTGTGTGGGCTTTGTCTCATACCTTTACGACTATTGCAGGTTTTTGGGGGTTTCTTTTTCATTTATTTCATAGGCTTATTGGAAGCTTCGAATACATATATCTTCTCTTTTGTTACTGCGTTAAGTCTTTGTCGGTTCACAGTGCTCTAAAGTATACATTGGATTTCATGAAAAGGTTAAAAGATTCAGAAATTTTGACATCTTTTTATAGTCTGGTGGTGATCGAAAGAAGGCGGTAAAAGACGATGTTTCTGGTGCGAAAGGTTCAGATTCAGATTCTGAGAAGGATACGGAAAACAAAAAGTTGCAAGAGAGATTGTCAGGTGCTATTGTTATGGAGAAACCGAATGTAAGTTGGGATGATATTGCTGGTCTTGAGGGAGCTAAAGAGGCTCTGAAGGAAGCAGTCATATTACCAATCAAATTTCCTCAACTATTTACAGGTTGGTGCATTTAATAAAGTTTTAATAGAATTTGTGAACAGTAATATGTTAGGTTTGATTATTAGAAGCGCAGGACAGATTGAGTGTGAGAAGTACCAACACATTTTAAGATGCATCATTCACGTTTATCCTTGCTCTTTACTCTTAAGTTCTTCAGGTTAATCGGAATGCCTTTATTTTACTACCTTATATAAGCTCTTTTCATAACATTTTTTTTTTTTTTCAAAAATGATTTTAAATAGATTTTTCTCGCTAAGTCGGTTCAACGAAACTATCTTCTTTTTCTCAAGAGTTTTCACATAACCTTTAAAATTATCTTTCCCAAGCTCTAAAAATGAATAATTGAATCACTATTACCAATTCCATTATGTTTTACCATTTTTTTTTTTTTGATTGTTTCTTCAGTAATTCCATTTGGCATCTGTTTCAAGAAGAAATAGTTAATTTTTCCATAATAAGACTGTTATGGACAACTTTTGTTCAATACTTGGTAATTGATTGATTTAAGCATTCTTGAAAAAGGTAAATAATGTTTATTCTAACTACATATGTGCTTGCATTGGATGCAATATTAAACATAGTCATAGGCAAAATCATAAATGTTGCGTGAGAGGATGAGCATTGGGCGCTTTGTGAGCTCGAGCTGTCAACGCCATATCTTCTTCTTTCATGAGAAATAGAGATGCTCCGTAAAGAGCCGGAGATATGAAGCACTGCATGAACGCTAGAAATAACATTAGAACAGGAACTGTTGAATCCGGTTTCCTCCAGTCTTTGACTATCGTTATTGCGTAGAATGGTAGCTGATAGAATGGACTAGAAGAAGTTTTTCTTAATAATGACTTGTTTGGTCAAATTCGAATTATTGGTTTTGAAAGCATTTTTTTCAACAATAAGTTTTAAAATATTTTGTTTTCTTCGTTAACGACTTTTAGAGGTAGTAGATGGAATTACTTCACACCATTCGCTAAGAAAAAAGAAAAACTCGTTTTATAATAATGAAGTCGTTTTACGATAATTATTGAGTGTAAGAATTTTTGTTAAAAATCAGTTAATCGTGAATTTACTGAAATTTCAAGCTAAATATAACACAAAACAACGTAACAAACCTCAACAAGAATGAATAAACCAGAAAACGACTTTTATATAAGCCAATACTTTGAAATACGATCGGACTGTGATAGAGTATGCCGAGGACTCGAATATAAGCGTAAGAAGCCAATGATGCAGGTATAAATACTCCCAGAATCAAAAGATATGTCAAAAATTTAAGGCCGCTATCACTGAAATGTTTGTTCTAATAAGTCTCCTAAGGTTATGCATCCGAATCTTTCGAAGTTTTCTTAGGATTTCAGAAAGCAGGGAAATTTTGTCTTCGTTGTTTCGGATGTATTTTAAATTTTATTCGCAAAATACAAAAACTCAAATTGCCTTTTTTATCGATAGCAGAATTAGATAGTAGAATAGCTAAACCTGTCTCCCCATATGCAGTGCCTAAACGAGGGGTCGTAGATAATGATATGTCCATTGGTAATTGTTGGTAGTGATAAACCAAATGCCAACAGCCAGGAAAGAACGCACAGCATATTGGGTGGTAAACCAAAGAGCTGTTCATAATGTATCCGTGCAAATGTCAACAAATGTACGCCAGCTATGCAGAGTGCCATGAAATGTATTACGGTCCATGCAGCACATGTAAGCAGAGCCTGAAGTCATATTTGTTAGTCTCAGGAATTAATTCAAAATGTTGAGTATAGGAACTTCCTGATTTATATTGTACATACAGAACAGAAAATGGGATTTCTTCACAAGATTTAACAGGAACTCTGGCATAATTTCTAGTAATCTACATGAATACGTGGACTTTTATCTCGCAAAGAACCAAAAAACTGTTTGCTGAAGCTAGAAAGAATGCGTTGTATTTCAATGAAAAATTTTTAAATGGAATAGCATTTGACATTTTAACCATTTTGCTTTATTAAAACAGTTGTGTCTTGAGTGCAATTTTGCTGTTTCTTGTGGAAAATTATTGCTCCTAGAGTAACGATGTTGAATCAAATATATAATGTTGGAATAATGGTATTCCGAAAAAACGAAAGTGCTACTTTTTCTTTTTTTTAAATGCTAAAGCTGGTATTCAGCTGACCAGAATTTTGTGGAAGTAAAGAATGGCATAATCAGAACTATATGGTTAATAAATTACCTGTACTCGGCACATCACGTTACTGTGGGCCCAAATGTTGACTCCTGACCACACATTGTAAATGAACATTGGCAATAGGAGGCATAGGGCTGCCGCATTTGTTATGCATAAATGGGCTATGAAATGGGATGAAATGAAGTTACGATACAGTCTGTTGTAAATGATATATATTAGTAACGTACAATTTGCCATTAGGGCCAGCAAGCTGATGCAGGCAAATGTAATGGCGAGTAAAGGTTTTGGTTCAGCAGTCATTTCGATTGCAGTAATTAGCACTTCAGAATGATTGGGTGTTACTGGTGAAAGCGTTGCCATAGTCGCTGATACACTTTAATACTGCTACTTCAACTTTTTCGAGATTTGGCTTTGTATGGATTTTGAGGAGTGCTGCGCTGGTGATTTTGGTAGTAGTAATAAGCTCAGTTGCATTTTCTAAGAATAATTTTTGCTAATGTAGATAAGACGTATTCTCTAAAAATTTCCATTTTTGGCTAAAAAGAATTCATTGTATTATAGACATTTCTCATTTCTTTGATTGTTTCGACGAAGTAAAATTCATGCATCTCAAAGGGTAGAGCTATTCGAAACAAACCCTTTTTAATTAGTTAATCACATCATCTTTTAAGTTTACCCCGAACACATTTTTTTAATGAGATTCAGCTTATAACACTGTTTCAAACTTAGACTTCAGCAACACGATAATCGCTGATATACACTTAATACTGTTTGTGAACTACAAAATAGAGAAGATCGGCAATGGTCAGACATCAGAACAGTTTTACGTATTCATAATTATAAGTATATGGTTTTTATTACGTTACTGATCTCTGAAGTAATAAAGAGCTGTATTGCCGATTGATCAGAAATTCATTATAAGATTACCAAAGTATAGCACAGAGACTTGACTTGCACTAAGACGTGTTTCTTCTTATGAAGGCGAGCGTTTAACCAAGAAAAGCGATATTTTCACAAGTCATTCATTTCCAGTGATTTTTACAATCGATTCGATATTTACTTGTCTCATGAAAGAGCTGAATGCTGAAATGAGGTAATTCAAATAGAAGGAATGTGAACAGAAAGAATTAAGAATTAGAAGCTTTCCTACTTATTATTTTGGCAATAATGCAAGGAGTGTTTCGATATAGCGAAATAGATGAGTGTGTATAGATGTGTGTGTATTTATATCGGTGCCATTCAACCATTGGATAAGCCTGACGGGCTGTCGTTACTGCTTGCTCTGATATAATTTCTAGTAATTCTGCTGCTTGCTAATCGTGGAACCACACTAGCCAGACTCCAAGGGGAGAACCTTTGTGAATTATCGATTTTACACACTCATCAACTTGTAGACTAGTTGTCTTGCACTACGCCATACATTATTTACTGCATCATACGTAGCTTTTGAACATTAAATTTATTAATGATTTATATTGAATATTTTCTCTAAACACTTAGTGTTGTTTCCGTAAAGCAAAATCAGTTTTTCAAGCTTGGCAAACGTGTTTTCTAATTTTTTGTTTTCTTTAAATGATTATTTAATGGATTTAGTAAGTGCATGAGGATTTTATTTCCAAATAAGTCACTTATATTTCTTCTTAACTTTTAGGTAATAGAAAACCATGGCGCGGGATTTTGCTTTTTGGTCCTCCTGGAACTGGCAAATCATATATTGCAAAAGCGGTTGCAACAGAAGCTAACAATTCGACATTTTTCTCGGTGTCATCTTCGGATCTGATGTCAAAATGGTTGGGCGAGTCGGAAAGGTTTTATATTTTTCATATGTGTAAGAATTGAGCAGTATGGGAGCCGATTGTATGCTTGGATAGAATTTTACAATGGATTTGGACCAACACTATTTCAGTACTATAGGTTATGAAGTGATAGAAAACTATGATCTCTTGTTTCTGTAAGTGATCATAAACGATATGAAAATTTGGAAATAATTGTTTTGCGAAACTATATCATGGTATTATATTGGTGATTGAATGTATATATTGGTATTAGAGTCAAGTATTGTTGTCGAAGTTTCTGCAAAATGAGTAATGGGTTAGGAGTATTATAGTCTGAAGGAATGCTATGCAAACTGCTAAAAGATAGGTTTCATACAAAAGCAACGTCAGATATGGATCTAGAAAATCTTTATTGATGTATGGTAATCGTTCTACGATTTTTTCAGACTGGTGAAGCAGTTGTTCGAGATGGCTCGAGAACACAAACCATCAATAATATTTATCGACGAGATTGATTCCTTATGCTCTTCACGTTCCGACACGGAAAGTGAATCGGCTCGACGTATAAAAACCGAATTTTTAGTTCAGATGCAAGGTGTTGGCAATGACATGGAAGGTATTCTAGTACTTGGTGCTACTAATATCCCTTGGGTTCTAGATGCTGCTATTCGACGACGATTTGAGGTTGGTGGATTATGTTTTTGGAATTATGTGTTACATTTCGTTTAAATTTTGCAAACTTTGTATTTCAACAGTTTAAAGCTTATTTTCCTTACTTATGTGCGAAATATGTACTTTTGTGGTATATATATGTAATCTCTGAACACTCATTACATCGTGAATTAATCCGGTAGTTTATCTGCCGCCCCAGTATGCCTGAAACTGTAATCTCAATAATATTTAATTGACATTTTTATCCTTTTAGAAGCGAATTTATATCCCACTACCAGAAGCAAATGCTAGGAAAGATATGTTTAAATTACATGTCGGAAAGAATACACCACATTCGTTAACGGAACAGGATTTCAAGGTATGTGCAAATTTCATTTAGGTTTATTTTTTTCATGTATTTCTAGAAGAATTGGAAATTGTTATGTGAGAAGCTCTGATATAACCTATTCTCTGATGATTTTATTTTCTGAGGGTGAAATGAAAAGGAAATATATTTAAAGTGAAATCTGATATAATTATTTTGTATTAGGAAATTGTTTATTCCTAATTTTCGTATTAGGATTTTTTTTTTTGTTGCTTGCAGATTCTTGCAGAAAAAACGGAAGGATTTTCTGGATACGATATTTCGATTGTTGTGCGGGAAGCTTTGATGCAACCAATACGTAAAGTGCAGACAGCAACTCATTTCAAACATGTTTCTGGACCTTCACCCTCGAACTGTAATATTATTGTACATGATTTGCTAACTCCCTGCTCTCCTGGTGATCCAAGTGCCATGGCAATGTCCTTCATCGATGTGCCCGCCGACAAATTAGCTGAACCAATTCTTTCAATGGTACGTTTTTGTTTCCGTCAAATTTCTCATTCCCTCCATGAAGCATGGAAAGATGAGTAGGAGTGAGCGAAATGATTATTTCTTTTGTTAAATTTATAAGATTTAGGATGAAAATAGATTAATTATAATACCACAGGTAATCATAATATTTAGTTAAGCAATAAATTTCATTAAAATTCAGAGCGACATGCTACGATCGTTAATGAACACGAAACCAACAATAAATAAGGCTGATTTGGATAAACTAATGCAATTTACGAAAGATTTTGGTCAAGAAGGATAATGTTTTCGAGGAAATAGATTTGACATGCATTAAACATATGTGCAAGACAGCTGTTTTAGATCATCGCTTTTCAATTATGTTTGCTTCAAAGTTCTTCACAAATTTTTGATTTGCTTTTTTTTTGTATATACGATATTTGGACAAAAAAAATTTGGAATGTTTCAACTGTTAGGACTTTATTTCAGTTGAGTTTCGATTTAATTTTTTTCATATTTTAGTCTGTTTTCGGTCATTCCAATCTTTAAATATATTTAGCCTTCATGCTTTTGTTAAAAGACATGTAGTTGTTAGCTGTAACTTAACTCTTTATGAAGACTTCGTTATTCGAGAAATTGTATTTTAAGTAAAAAATTATGTAAACATTTTTTTTTTTTTTTTCAAGAGAAGAGGTGAAACAAGAATTAATCCTGTTGGCATCGGACAATACGTTCTGTTAGATGAATTATTTTCTTGTATTGGATAAAACCTTCCGGCAGTGGCACAAAACTGAGCACTGGAAATTCTGTGATTTCCATTCAAATTTTTTACACAATATTATGCTGATTCTAATCTTTATTAAAGAGATTCTACTGAAAGTTTGAATATGGGCCGCAGAAATTGCGTGAACTAAGAAAGTTTTTGTCATTTTCTTGCTCTAGACTTTAGAATTGGTAGTACCGGAATAGACTGAACGTTTTATTTGGTTCGTGTGGTGCAAATCGATCAATTCTTTTGTAAGATTTTTATCTATTCATAGTTTCCTATTTGATTCTGTGTGAATATGGAGGGAAAATAGAAATTTCCTTTCGTATTCTTTTCCTAATTACCGTTGGATTTTGTTTGCCGACTGATGCTTTGTACGTTTGAGATAACTAGCACAATAATCTTTTTTATGTGAATTTTGAGCCATATATTTTTTGTTCACTATTATAGTCAAGCTAATAATACACAGTATAATTCTTTCTCACTTTTCTATTCCTTGTCAGAATGTGGGATTGTCAATTTAGGTGAATTTTTTTTTCATGAAAAAGTCAACAAAGTTATGTAACGATACATTTTACAAGCGTTGAAGTCAAGCAAGGTGTATATGTCAAATGACATTCTCCATTTTCAAAATTAATCACTCTATGTTTGCATTGATTTAACAAAAAAAAAATGTGGAATTTGGTAATCAAATAAATAGTATATTAAGTGAATTAAAATTCCACACGGAAATCTGTCACATTCTTCAGCTTTTTTAATAATTAGGGATCGTTTCTTTAGATTTCACTGACTCCTGTCAGAATTACAAAGAATTTAAAAGTTCTTTGTTCTTTATTAAGTGTGAAGTGCGAAAGTTTCGAAAGAGCGTGACATCTAAAACACACAAAAAAAACTTTTTTGATATATATATATATATATATATATATATATATTGTATCTGTTGGTAATAATGATTTACATCAACATTTTGATACATTCGTTTCGATAATACGTTATGCTTTAAAAGCTACTTCCAGGGATCTTTCAAAAGCGAAGATAACTCTCTTTTAGATATTTTATTGAATTTCCCTTTCAAAAGCTAGGAATACAACGTAGCCATGTGTTATGTTGAGCAATTTCATCTTTAAATTATTCTTTTATTTAATGTGTTACCATGTGAGTCATTTGTTCTTCAGCAGAAGGATAGCTGTGAGTGAATGAGCTATGTAAACTACCATCTGTTAGTGTTAATAGTGGCAACTGTAGATGAGTGAATGAAATGAAATGCTGTCATCAACAATAAAAAAGGCAGATCAAGTGCAATTAATTATGGCACTGAACATTCTCTTATCGCATAAAAAAGCATTCACTTCAATTTTGAAATACATCTTGCTACTGTAAAGATTTCTCTACTGCAAGCTTTAATGAAACAAATAAAATGTGACAGCTGGGCAATTAACTCATAACTGCAGCAGTAACTATTGGCAACAATAATGGGAAATTTCAATAATGTAATAGTATTTAATTCTTGAAGTTATTTCTTGATGGTCTTTATTCAGGAATTGCTTGTCACATTTTAGTAGGATAGCGTTTAAATTAATTCGACATTTTCGACACAGAATAAATTTATTAGCATACCTTTATTACAGTTTTAATTGCTATTCTCACTATCTGTCTATCACTTGACGCTTAATAATATTTTCTGGCTATTTTACAGATCTCTGTTCCGAGACTAATAAGTTATAACCGTAATTGGTATTTCTTGTATTAAAATATGATAGTAGGGAGACAATTATGACCAGTGACGGATGAAGCTATTTGGTCGAAGATCTTCAGTCTTTGAAAGTTGTGATTAATCTTTTGTCGTTATTGGCGGTGACTGACATTGCATATATTACATATATTGATTTTCAACGGAGTATAAGAAGCGTGTGGCGATTTTTTCCAACTAGTGTTTGTACAGTTTGTGCGCATATATGTTTAGGTGTATTCGTAGTTTCAGTGTCATTCTATTCTTCATTTTCCTGCTACCTTTTAAAAAGTTAGCTACAATTCATGCAAATACTCTAAAAATAGTTGCTGTGTCGATAATAGGATAACGTTTAAATTAATTCGACATTTTCGACATAGAATAAATTTATTAGCATACCTTTATTACAGTGTTAATTGCTATTCTCACTATCTGTCTATCATTTGACGCTTAATAATATTTCTGGCTAATTTTGTTAATTACCTTACGAATTGTGCATGATTTCTTAAGTCACTGGATTTGGTGGCAGTTCCTCACTTCTCAATTCGGGCACTCAGAATGACTTAATTGATGTTGTATCATATATGATGTTATATAGTACGTTGTTGATTTCATGCATATCATCGCTGACAGTATCGAAAGACGCAAGTTTGAGGAAATTTTCAATATTTATTTGATAAGATGTCATTCAAACTTTCCCGACATATGACATTTGTTGAAAATCGAAATTTGCTTAAAGAAGAAATATTGCTTTATTAGAGGGAAAGGAAGAATTATTAGATAAAAGGCTTAAATTTAGAGTCTTTGTTTGATTCTGAAGTAGAGGTTATTACGACATTTCCCAGTATGAAGTTAGAAATCTATTTTCCATTCCCTTGTGATCGTTCTTAAAGGTTATTGGTCCATTCCAAATGATCATTTGTTAGCAGTTCATTTTCATTTATGAGATTTTCCCATAGCAGTGATGATACAGGAAGTTGTTATGCATATTCTCAGAAGAACTGTGACGCATAAGGGAGCCCTATTGATTCGACATCTTTACCTCCAGATAAACTGATCTGATCATTACTTCGTTTTTATTGAATTTCCATTTCTTTTAACAAATACTCGTTCCTGATAGTGAACGTTCGCAAAAGATGGTATCCTCAAGTGACAGTGTTTCTAACAAAATTCATCTCGAGCGACGCATTTCCCTTTCCAATGGTTGTGCTATTATTGTTGGTGTTATTGTTGGTTCTGGAATATTTGTTAGCCCCAAAGGTTTGCTGATTTTTTTCCACTTTTTGAAATTTCAAAAAACTTGAAAATTTGGGTTAAAGGAGTGCGGACTTCTGAAAAAAAAAAAATTCTAAAAATTTTCTAATGAATCTTCAACTTTCAAGGAGTTCTTATTGAATCGGGAAGCGCTGGTTTGTCATTGATCATTTGGATTTTATCAGGTGCATTTGCCACAATGGGTGCTTTTGTTTATGCTGAACTAGGAACAACTATTCCTAAAAGTGGCGGTGAGTATGCATACATCAGTGAGGTAGGTGCGACAATAAAATTGAACAAATGCATTCTTTTTCTGTTTATTTCCAACCAGTTATTTTTTTGACTACTTTCCCAGTTTTCTTTCGAACGAACTTTGTTCCGAATTTCGTTCTTATAAGAAAATTTATTAGTGGAAAGGAGTGATTACCTTGTTGAAATATGGAATCAAATGGAAATTAAATTACTGAAAAAAAAAACAAAACATTGCTAAGATCTTAAATTAAAGTAAGATTACAGTTAGTGGCAAAAATTTTCTAATTATATATTTTACTGTGTCATTTTTGCTTCAGTCGTTTAGCCAGGATTTTTTCAGTCTTATTTCATCAGCTATCTGTAAGTATAGAGTTTTAAATAAGGCAAAATTTTAATTACATAGCTGAGGTCATAGATTATAATACGGAAATCATAGAGTGTTTTCTAGCTACACTTTCTCCCTTTTCCTTTTTTTGTAATTCTAGATCAACTGTTTTCTTGAATCTTTGATTTAATAATTCTTTACAAAACGTCTTTTTATGCCTAGACATCATTTAGGAAAATAAATTGTTAAAATATGACAATCTTAAAAGTATTTAAAGTATTTCATTATCTTTAATTTTTATTAAAATAATTTTACGTTGCAGGCATTTGGTCCTTTGCCTGCATTTCTTTTTCTTTGGGCAGCACTAATTATTATTAACCCAACGTCAAATGCTATTATGGCGTTAACATTTGCTCAGTACACACTTCAACCATTTTTCAAAAACTGCGAACTACCCGATTATGCTGTGAGATTATTAGCTGCTTGCATCATTTGTATGTTTTAGTTTTGAAAATTATGTTGGCATATTAACCTCGCTGTTACACTGATCAATAGTTTATCCTTTGCTGCCAGCACAGAAAAAAATGTTCGTATTTGCTCAAGGTTTATTGCCATTCATTCCTTCTTATAAGTTTAAATTGTAGCTATAACTATTCCAGAGCTGTGAAATTCACTAAAAGAATGAAAATAGAACTTTAACTAACATTATTTGGATAGTAAAGTTTTTAGGAAATGTTCTGAGAAAGTGAAAACTTACTGATTATTATATTGCAGGTTTATTGACATTTGTCAACTGCTACAGTGTGAAGTGGTCAATGAGAATGCAAAATGTTTTTTCATTGGCTAAAGTAGCTTCCCTTTGTGTCATTATAATAGCTGGTTTATTGTGGTTATGTTTGGGTATGATTTCCACATTACTGATTTTAGTTCAGATCAAAATAATTCCGAACTTGTTTTAAAATCTACAGCTTGCTTAATTTATTAGCTGACTGAAGGTGGCGATCTAATTCATGTTCATTCAAACAAATTAAGTAATACGTCTAAACAGTTGTTTTTTTAGTCTTATTTGAATTCCTTCATTATTAATGAAGGGATTATTTCAGGTAATACAGAGCATTTGGAACCATCAATATTATTTGAAGGAACGCAGACAAATCCGAGTCATATAGCATTAGCTTTTTATTCGGGTGTATTTTCATTTAGTGGATGGTAATAATTTTCGCTTTAGAAAAGTTCCATTCTCTTATTATCATGATTTTCAATTCCAAGTTTTTAGTAGTGTTTTAGATTTTAATTTCTATCAGTTGAAAGGAAGTGCAATTTCAGGAAATTTTAGCTTATTTTGAATAAGGTTCGTCCAATCCGTTCTTTTTCGTTCAGTGGTTTAGTTCTTTCCTTCTTTTTTCAGGAATTCGTTGAATTTCGTAACCGAAGAGCTTATTAATCCGCGCAAGTAAGTTTTCTTTTCCAAATCAATTTGTAGAAGAGTTTATACACTAATGTCAGTAGAAGCTGCTTTTCTATCAAGTTAATATAAAGAAGTAAGCAAAGTGCTTGTCATGCACCAGAACTTTTCTTGAAAACGTAGTCTTCGAAAAGTAGAGAAAGGGAATTTCTTCCAATATTGAAGTCTCATTGACGGGTAATTTGAAACTAAGAACGACAACTTTATCTTTATTTAAGAAATTTGCCTCGAGCGATTATGATTTCATTGTTCACAGTAACAGCTATATATATGCTCGTTAACATCGCTTATTTTGCTGTCTTGTCTGTACCGGAAGTTCTCGATTCACCGGCAGTTGCAATGACTTTTGCAGAAGTAGCCATGGGTAAATTTGCATCGGTAATGCCTATATTTGTTGCCATTTCATGTGCTGGTGGCCTAAATAGTATTATTTTCTCAGCAAGTCGAATGTTCTTCGTTGGCGCCAGGTATATAAGTTCTAAGTTTTAAATTTTCCACCTTAACTTGTCAATTTCTAAAGAAATCTTCAACTACTTAGTCCTACAATGTACAATGGAGATGGGCAAATCAGTCTTATAATAATAAAGTGGATTTTTCATGAGACATCTCAAATTCTTATGACATTTCCAGACACATCTTGCTTACATAGAGATGTGATACATTCTAAACTTGGAAGAAATGTGTTATTCATGTCTGCAACTTAAAAGCATGCGTTAAAATCTGGATGCTATTCACTTCAAAACCATCAAAATGATTTTGTCGTAAAAAATTCTTTCAGGGATGGTCAGCTGCCAGAATTACTTTCGATGATTTCCATAAATTACCTGACGCCACTGCCATCACTACTCATTCTTGGCATCTTGTCATTACTGATGTTGGTTACTTCGAACATTTATTTACTCATCAATTATCTGACATTTACTGAAGCGTTTGTAATTGCACTTTCCGTTGCTGGTCTAATCAAATTGCGTTTTACTCAGCCTGATATCCCTCGTCCAATCAAGGTTGAAAATGAGTTTTCGTCGTTTTTCCAACTTAACTTCAGGAAGTTCCTTAGTTTTAAAATTCTTTTGTAAGAAAAACAACTACCATATATCATAATTGACTCTTGCTAAAGTTATTTTAAAAAAGACAAAAAACTTCTGTCATATAAGAGCAGCTTTCTTGATGAAATTCATCTGTAAAAATTTCTAGCAAATAGTATTTTTTATTTATGATTGGTAATTTGCCCCCAAGTATTACAGTTATGTTTTATGTACTAACTGATGTTATACAGTTTTTCCGTAATTTATATAAAGCTTATTTATCTGCAATTTGTCACATGATTTCTAAACAATTTCAGCAAAATATTTTGTTCCCAGCGACATTTTTGGTTATTTGCATTGCACTGCTGATGTTACCGTTTTTCATACAACCCGAAGAACTGATTATTGGTGTTTTAATTATTCTCACTGGCATCCCATTTTATTTTGTTTTCCTGTTTTGGAAAAATAAACCAGCTTGTTTATATAAGCCTTGGAGTAAGTCATCCTTCCCTTATATTTTAACATGTTCGGAAAGAACATGGTCTTTTTTTTTGTTTGTTACGAGAGCAAATCTATTTCTGTTGTGAACTGGTAATACAAAAATTAGAAGGTGCACATTTTCTCGTAACAATAAATTTTAAAATCTTCCAGTTTCAATGACGCACGCAATCCAGAAATTGCTTTATTGTGTTCCAGAAGAGGAGCATACTGATTAAGGAAAATTTCCTCCAATATTTTGTTTTGTTTTCGTTCTTTTTTTTTTGTTGATATCACAACTGACGCAGGTAATAAATTCTGATTCGTAACCGGTTAGTATCGCATTTTTCAAAAAATGTCAGCATAATATTTAAAATGCGTGGTTGACAATCGTTACTACATTCTCTTAACTAATACTTCAAGTTTTAAATCCGAGTGTAAATTCTGGCTGTAAAATATTTCTGATAATGCTATTATTCATTCTCTCGAAATCATGTCAACGTAAATTTGGCAGTTGTATGAAGACTTTGTGCTTATTTGATTTGATACCCATTTCCAATATACATATAGAATCATAAAAACTGTTACTGGTGGTGATAGTTATGTATAGTATTATATTTTCTGCTTAATTGGTGTGCGATAGATATGGAAGGTCATATATTTTTTCTTTACTATATGAACTACTAAATCATTCTGGTTTACATTTCTTCAGGTTTTCATAAATGTACAGAAAGATAATAGTATTTCTTTTGTTGCACAATATAGATTAATAATTACACCTTTCAAGGTTTCATAAAGATACGGGCAGATAGTGTCTCTTTTTCTGCATAATAAAGAATATGTTCTAACGGATATGGTGCATCAATTCTTGGACATCATTCACATTGAAGCTAACATTAGTGCAGTCATAATAATAGTAATTAGCGCGCTCAGTGCAGTGAATACCAGCATAATTAGTACCGTTAATCTGTTGGTCTAAAAATTTTGCAGTTAAGCTTAGAATTTAAAGGATTTCTGTGGAATGAACTGTGGCCAGCATCTGTCAAGAGAAAGGGAACTGACTCACCTTGTTGTCATACTTCGCCTCTGCTATGACAATTTGTTCCTGGTGATAATGTCGTCCAGCATAGCTGACTGATATATTTTGCTGCCCCTTCAGGGAATTAGTTTTCTTAAATTTTGGTTGCATAGTTTAAATTTGTATCAAAATGTGCATTGATTTTGTTTCCTGAGCTTTAAATTCCAAAGATTCGGGGAACAAGTCAAAGATACCATTTGACCTAATCTATCATTTGTCAATATAACCTTTATATATCCGTAAATGCAATCAAAGTATGTTTCCCAATATCAAGAGTAATTGAAGAAAAAAATATGCTCACCTTTATAAGGAAAAACAGAAGTGCTATTAGAATAAGATAAAGTACATACAGAATAATAGCAGCCCATCTGGCGACCCATAAGCGGAAAAAAATAACGCTTAAAATGATTGAAATTTCTGAAAGATTTCAAGAGCTCAGTATTTGTTTACTTATATCCTTTGTACATTTAGTTGGCGAAAGATTAACATAATGCATAATGCATAAGGAAGATTCAGAACGCTAGTTTTATCTTACAGCCAGAATACTCAAGATCACATTAAGGTATCATTCTTCATTCATAGGTAATTTATGCTATGAACCTGTTTTATTTATTTTAATTTTTGCGCAGAATGATTATGAAAAACGAAACTTTTTAGTTCTTTTCCATTTCGTGCTCTATCCAAGAACTACAAAAATTGAAATGTCAAACTTACGGCCCAGCAAGAAAGATAGAAAACCAAAAATGCGATGTGACCAATTAAATATGATGCGAGATTTCGACCCTTCATCGCAGCGTAATAACGCACCCACTGGTTGAATCAGCATTACACCAACCGTTATAGCACCGATCTTAAATATAAAATTTTTAGAAGATTTTTCGTTAAAATTCCTATAATTTCTACTCAAAATTAAAATTGATTTATTGAATAGCATACAGTACATGCTATTCAATAAACCTACTTTATTTAATGTTATTTCTTGAATTTTCGGTAAAGAAAATATTTATCAAGACATATTGAAATAGAATGTGACTTACATCATCAAACTATATCACTAAATTAAGAGACTTCAATTCACTAAGTTGATCATACCTTACGTGAACACTAGGAACTAGGTCACTGTTACAAATTCCTCATTTTTTGAACCTTCAGTGACCCAAAAGGCAATATAGTTGAAGGAATGTTTCAAAAAAAAAAAAAAAAAACAAACAAACAAACAATGGAATGAATAGCCCCAGCAGAAAGATTCCGTTGAATGGTCTTACTGACTGCCGGTCCGGTCCATCGCCACTCTTTCCCAATGAATACTGATAAAACACCAACAATAATTAGGATGATTGCCAAATAGTTCGTCGTACGATGTATCTGAAATTTAAACCTTAATATTGTTTTTCTAAGACAACGACTGTTAACGAATTTAACGGGCGTAAACTACCATGTAGTTATTCATAATCCACCGAAAAACTAAAGTAGAAACGATTTCAAATGTTGCTCGGAATAAAACTTCTTCCGACAAGAGTTAGCTATAGTTCAGTGGTTAGCATGATAATGAGCTTACATGGAACCATATTTTCAAACCAAATGGCCTAGTTTCAGGCCAGTATTCTCGAAGATATCGTGCTGCTGCAATTGCTGAAGGGATCAACCACATCCATCCAACAAGCATTAAAATCCCTGAAAGGAAATTAAATAATGGAAAAGTTATTCTGAAAACGAATGACATGACCTAAGATAAATTAATAAATCATTTAAAAGAATAATATATCTGTGGATTGTCCAGCCTTGGAGAAAAAGCCAGTCTTGGCAATACTTGCCATGTAAAATAACTAATTTACGATTCGTTCGTGGCTTAACCGGCGCCAATGGTGCTCTTTCCCGTTCAGCAATATTTACTGGTGTTGAAATAAAGAGCGGAAAATCCTTGGAACGTTCATCCAGTGAATGTATATCCAACTCTGAAGCTGATCATTAATTTTAAGAAGTAAAAAAAAAAAAGATCATTCCGCAAAAAAAGCAACGACAATCAAACATAAAATAAAAGCTCATTTAGATCTCTACCATCAAACTGCTTTTTAAGGTGATAATGAAGTTGTAGAAGCCGTGTGATACTTCTCTTTTTATTAATTGAATTAATGAACCCATGCATGTTAACAGCACACACACACACACATTCGTTTCTCAAAATACAAATTGCAATTAAAGAAGAAAAAAATGTTAAAAAAAAGAGCAGTACCATAGCTAATTTTCTACCTTCATATTTGTTAGTCTTGCCATATGCTAAAAGCAAATAATAAGTACGGTTCAAATCTGGTACACGAGCTTTTTGAGCTGTTTCATCTGGCGCAACCTTTTGTCGAAATTTACAGTAAATTGAACTAGATGTATGACTGGCTTCTAACAACTCCACGTACTTTGCGGCATTCTAAATAACAAAACAAGATCTATTACAGTCAGGACTAAGTCATTTGGAGTGCAAATAAATGACGCCTTAATTTCCAGACTCCAGTACAGTCCCTATAAACTTCACTTTTATCTGATTAATAGTGTTTCTTATCAGTTAATAACCTATATTGTATTAGAAGAAAAAAAAAATATGAGAGAAAACTTCGAAAAGCTTTTGTCCTCAATTTTCGTGTCTTACATAATAGCAGAAGCTATCATGAAAAAACGCTCACTTCTGCTGTTAAATTCAGCGGTATGTTACGTTTGCCGTCATTCTGAGACAGAAATACTCCCGCTTGATTCATTTCACCGAGTCCACAGTGCGTTACACCTTCGTCTCCCTATAAAATTTAAAACAAAAGCAATCATGGTAGTTCAGAAACTTTAAACTATTTTTCGTAGCATAATTTGTTTAGATTTCAGAAATCTAATCAATCAAATCAAGTGAAAACTAACCATCTGAGTGTCTTTAGAGAAGCCAATTGCTGCATAATTAGTGTCCGGATGTGTCGTATTGTAAAACAGTTCCACAACTACCCAACCATCTGGTTCTAATGCATAACTAATAATTTTTTCACAATCTCTTTTCTCCTCACAATTTGCCGAAATAAATATGCAAGCCTAAAACAACTGCAGAACAAAATATTTTTTTTTGTTGATTAATCGAAATATTAAGTGAAGCTTTTATTGACTACGCTGTTTGGAACGAGTCATTAAAACTGATTTCCTATCAAAAAGATCTGCAGCCTCTACGAAGACTTTTGTCTGATAGATTTCTAGTTCCAAATCAGAACTTTTATTCATTTATTTTCCAAATTTTTTTTTTAAACTAGAAAACTTGAAAGGTTAACTTATCTTATTTTTTAGACATTCGCTCAAAATAAATTGCGAAGAACAAACGATGAAGAGTGCAATAACGAGAACGATTACTGAAGATATTGTAGTATACATATAATATGAACTGACTGCAACAAAACCCTTCCTTATGATCATATTTTGATTTCATTATAAATTCTGTTTCGAAACGTTTTCATGTGATTAAGTTAATCCAAACATTTATTTCGGAAATACAAATCACAAATATAAATCTAATTGATGTTAAAAATGAAGATTAATCAAATTAAAACTATTAAAATGCTACTACATTGATCACATTCAATTATCCTTTAAGCATTTCTGGTTCTTGGTATTAAATTATTCCCTTCATTACCAATAAAAAACTCAGACATTCTTATTAAAAAAGTTTTCGCAATTATATTTAAAAGAAAATACTGAAAATCTTCTGAGAACATAATGAAAATAAGATTTCACTTCAGCACATATAAAACTTAAAATCAACCTTTCTCCCATATTATTTCAGTTGAAAAAGAGAGATTTTCTGCCACTTTTATATTACAACAAATATTGCAATTTAATTTTTTTCACGACTTCTTATTTAGGTGTACGCAGATTTTCAACAAATTAACAGCATATGTAATGAAATATAATCTTCCGACTGAGATGTGGACGAAGAATTATTAAAAATTTTTGAAACTAAACTTATCGTTGGAATTTGTACAGAAATTATTGAATTGATGGTATTGTTATTAAAATTGTTTACCTTAAAAACCCTAAAAATTAATAGAACCTTACCTTAAAAATACAGCCACTTCAAAATGTGATTTCTCCGGATGAAGATATGAAAAATGAAAACTATGTGAGAATCCTGTCAAAAGGTCACAAGCAATTTTAATCCATTCATGAAAATCATTCCAAAAGACTCGTCCCTTGAAACTTGTCTATTTCTCAAAATTAAAGCATATTTTTTTAGGAAGTAAGTAATAAAAGATCGTAGAATATAGAGATAGACAGTCCCTTTAAAATGCAATAAAAAATTAATTCAATCGAAATTAATTTTCCTTTCTGCTGAGAATATTTTCTCAATTCTTTTAAAAAAAACGTTTTAGTGAATTTGTTGGAAAAAAAAAACAAATATCTAATTTAAAAGAAAATATTAAAAGATTTCACGAGGAAGGGGACGGAAGAAAGAGCACTAAATGAGAAACGAAGAAATTAGAAATATAGTTCGAATAGAGAAAAACTTTCTGTCAAAAGAAATCAGTAGAAAGTAACTGTAAAAAATTAACTACTCTCTAATGCCAAAAAATTTATGGTTGAAAGTGCATTAGTGGTTTTTTCTTGTTCATTTCTAATTTTGTAATGCTAAAATTTAGGATGGGACTTTTTCCACCTTTGATATTTCCACCTTATCTGTCTCATATTAGTCAGAAAAAGAATTACGTTATCATTTATTTAGCCAGTCATTAATGATAAAGTGTGCAGTCACAATGATATTGGAGAAATACGATCTATGAGAATACTCTATGAGAATAGTATATTATCGAAGTTTGTTTGGCATTTTTTACTTATAACAAACATTCTTGAATGATAATTAGCACCATGGAAATACAAATAAAGTTCACTTTCTTCGGTTATTACGCTTTTCTTTCATTTGAAAAGCAAATCTTTTATGTGAAGGATTTTTTTGCTCATTTGAGGCACAGAATATTTGATGCTTTAAATTTCCAACCAGATGGAATTTGGAAATTATCTGCAAGCAATTGGTATCATCCATTAAACGGTAATGGTAAGCTGAAGAGATTATATGAAAATGAAAATTTCAGCAGCAGAAAAATTTTTTCTCATGTCTTACTAACTGTATAACATGGAATATGCAAAGAAATCAAAAGGAAGAACCATTTTGAATGCAGGATGTCTTCGTTTCAAATAACAAATTTATTTCTTAGCAAACTGAATAAAAAATAAACTTAACAAAACAGTGGAAAGAAGCTTGTTGAAAAATGTCATCAAAGCATCCTAAGTTGACTGCTTAATTCCAAAAGCTTTTTGATAAAGAAATGGCAATCAGCAGCAATAATTGCGAGCATTCTCCAGTGATTTTACTAATACATCATAACCGGAGATAGTCAATTTGAAATCAGTGTAAAAACAACAATCTATGCAAATGATGAGGTTGAGGATAAGTGGCCAGATATAAATCGCAATAACGACAGTAATTTTCATATTATTCCTTTCCCACCAATTATTGCATGGATATAGAAGGGTTAAAGGTCATCGATTAGAGATAAAGAAGAGAAAGATATTGTTAGAAGAAACAATATGGGAGAAGACGATCGATATGAAACTATTTGAATGGTTAAATTTCAACAAATATGTTATGAATGATAATAAAATAAAATATGAATAGCACAGCAATATCAGCCTTGATATTGGAGCATACTGATAAACAAATATTAAATTTAGACACAAGACAAATGCAGCAGACATTGCTGAAAGGGAATGACCTTAAATTTAGTGTATTACTGATAGTTAGTGATAAGGAAGTGATGAAGTGTATCACGATAGCCACGATAGTCCTACTTCAAATTTCATTTATATCATGTCACCAAATCCCCAGACAAACAAAGGGAAATAGTAACGTGAAAAACAACAATGGCATCGTGTTTTTGCTTTCCTCTTTCCCAACAATGTCACTCACATTGATCGTGGCCGTGAAATGTGATTGTACTCCGTAATTAGTATTATTAAACAGAACTCGTTTATCACGTATGTATGTGCCTTCAAGCAGTACTGTCATCTATATTAGTAGGTGCGTTGTTCGATGATCAATAAATTGCTTAGAATTGATCAGTGATTTACCAAATTTTTCCAATTAATCACAACAACAATAATACTACGGTGTACAAACATACAACATAAACAAATTAATCTCATGATTTCTGCTTATAAAACCAGCTCAAAACTAAACGATTCCAGCGCCAGAAAATATAAGATGCGGAATAATTAGAGCAATATCACAACTTTTCCATCATCATAACCAAGAGTATACATTTGATTTTTAATTTGGAAATTATTCTGGATTCACCTAGTCTTTATAACGACCACTCAACAATTTTAACTATTGAGCAATTCATATTTAGAATGTTTTCTGAATCAAGATAGTACTCAACAGCAAGATAATACTTGAATAGCTTATCACATTAAAAAAAAAATTAAAACTTTCATTTCTTAAACTGTTTTAAAATTACCACACGAGTCGTTGGCAGATAACAGAAATCATTTTACTGCATTATTGTAAGAATGGCCAAAATTTTGATTTCACTAAACTAATAATCCCTCTCTCATAAAATTAAGGTCTTCCTCACTTCGAAATTCCCCCCAAAACAATGCGTTATTTCCATTTAATCATGTCTCCCTATATGAACAAATTGCTTTCACTCTTTTTAATATTTCCCACGTGAAATATCACCACAAATTGATATCAGCCTGAACTGGCTGGTCATCAAAATAATTTCTTTTAAGCTAGGACAGACATGATCACTAGCTCAAATTTGAAACCTCTTTACAATGTTCCTTACAACATACCATTATTTTCTCAGATTTAAATCACATATTTTTCTTTTTAAGAAATCCTTAAACCTTTATTCAGCCTCTTTACTCACTCCAGTTACGTTGCATATCTACAAATAAGAATAAACTTTATTTTTGCATGATTTATTGGCTACAGCTGCATATATCTTCTATTCACATAAGTCATATAAATCTAATTATAATCTAAAAAGATATTTACAAGTACAACAGAATAAGCAGTAACCATTGCAGACCGCAGTTATAAACAATTTCCGAATTCTGGTAGTTCACATCAACTTTCGTGTCGTGGGAAGAAAATGTATCAGGTAAAAAAAGAAAGCAAATGTGAAGAAAAACTCAAAACGTAGTCTGCAAAAAGGTATATTTAAACACAAGCAAATTATACATAAAATTCAAAAATCTAAAAAAGGGTAACTGATGCTATAAATCCATTGTCCATCACCTGCAAAAATTACCGTTTTCAAATAACAAAAATTTATCTCTGAAAAAGAATAGCATATGAAATAATTCTGTATAAACTAGTAATCAACTAAGTCTGAGAGTATCGCTCAAATTATTAAGATCACAAAACCAAATTAGAAAAAGAATGACAGAATAAAACATAATTCAACTGTTATCTACTACTGATTAATTTCTAAAACAACTATACTGACCTCGACAATAACTTGATCAGTTCCATAGCAGAAAGTTGACCCAAATGGATTTTCAGTCCCACTCCTACTAAGCACCACTGGCTGTACAGCTGTATCACCACAGAAAGCACCAAAAAAGTCTTCTCGCTGAAAATCCGGGATTACAAAAGGCATAAACAACTCGGGAAGCTTAAAAAGATGAGTAAAACCAGGAACTTTGAAACATATAAACTCGAACTTGAAACATATAAACTGGACCTTTGACGAAGGAGTAATGGTTGGACCACCATTAATAGTAACACAGAAGTTACAGCGTGCATATCTGCAATTTACCCACGCAACAATTTATTTAAAGCATTTTCTACTATATTTTCAAGTATTTTCGTATTAATTTACATTACAACTCAAAGACAAACTCATTTTTATTATCATATCCTAACATTCATAACTAAAAAACTTACATTCCAAAGTCAAAATGGCCTGGCAAATTGGTATGTAGGACAAATTTCTGGACACGGTTAGTGATACAATCGAATAGAATGTCCTAAAAAGCTATGTTAAAAAACAGAAAAAATCCTAAATAAAGAAAATAAGGAATTAACTTAAGTCAGTGATTTACAGCGGCTAATTTAAGACTAAGTGCTTGCTCCAGTATATTAGCTTATTTCAGTTGTTCCAACAAATTCAAATAAAAAAGGATGAAGTGAAAATATAAATATATGGCGAACCAGTCCTAGAGAAAAATAATTGAAGAAATAATTAGGGCGCGGTCCACGCAATTTTCTTGAATCTTCCCCTCGATGAATTAACATTCGATCCGCTTTCGTGTAAAATACTTTAGATGGAGCACCGAGCGATGATAAAACACTCTGAAAGATTGCGTAGTTAATGATCCATCCAAAACACTGAAAACTATTTCATCTAATTGATAAACTGAAATTTTGAGTGTAAGAGAACTGTTTCAACCTCGGCAGTATCGCCGAAAAAAATGGACTGTTCGATTTTCCTTAAACCGAAAGCTTGTTTTCGACTCGAACTATCCGGCAGTGGGGCTGCAAGTGAATGATGACAAATGATAATGCCTTAAAAAGCCAACAAGACTTAGAAAAAATATATAAGAACGGGTAAGAATTCTTTACTTTCTGCAGCAAAGATGAAAAATAAGCCTGAAATTCTGCTTCCATCACTAATGGATTTCACTTCAACTGGACATATAACACCACAGAGTGAAGCTGCTGAGATTCTTGGTGGTCTAAAAGTGTTAAAATGTCATTTTTCTTGAGAAGATAATAGCACTGAAACAGAAAATGCTCTCACATACCACTACTGAGAAAGAAAATCAATACTTCGGTGAGTTGTAGGAGTCGGGATAAATGGCCATTTTTGCAAGAAGTGGTGGAGAATTACTTCGGAACTGCAATGATCCTAAGCCAGTAGCATCGACCGATGAAGTCTGCAAATTAAGTTATTGAAGAGTGACATAATTCTCTCCATATAAGAATGAAAATAAAATTCTCACAAAATAAAAATTGATCTGATACACTTCGGAAAAGTGAACTTTAACTATTTTCTAAAAGATCACGGTTACTTGCACTTTCGAAACTTCATTTAGAGTGGGGAAACTGAATGATAATCCTTTCCAGCTCAATTCATACAAACTTTGTTCAGCAACATAAACTGAAAATGGAACTTGTAAATTCCTAATATGAATTTGTCAAGCGAAAAATTCCTGTATTAAAAATCTTGGGAATAATGTCATACAAATGAACTGAAAATAGTTTCATTCAAATTAAAATAAGAGTAAAAAAAATGAAATATGTAGAAGAATAGTGCAACCTCCAGGATGTGTGGCGCCAAAACAACCTTCCACTTTATTTACATCTGCTTCGTCTTTAGGACTAGAGAATACCACACCACTAAATGAAAAAAAATCAATTACGTATTCGCATACAAAAAAAGTGAAGTGCTATATTATTGAATTAAAACGTAACTATTGTAAAACATACCCATACTGTAAGATAATGTTTGACAAGTCGTACACTTCAATCAGCTGAAAGAATGTGTAAAAACAGAATAATAAACGACAAAGTAAAGTAGTGGACCAATCTCGAAAGTTAGTAAATTGAGAACTTTATAAAAATGAAACTATCTTCCTTACCTTTAGCAGCTGCGAGTTAGGTTCAAAATAGAGTCGCACACCATCTTTTGCCAGTCGTATCATTACATCTCTTGATAAAGGTTCCTGAATTTTAATGTAGTTATAAAGCTGACATATGCCTATTTTTCTTGTTAAATTTTGGGAGCGATGCGTATGAGTTACCAAAAATAAATCCATTATTCTAAATTATTCTAAACACCATCTATCGATGGTCTGCAATATTCGTTGATGCTCTATAACAAAGTCACTTAATGCGAAATCACGCTCTCTTTAGCTAAACGCTTTAAACGCTTTAATTTCCAGAATGAAATGAACTTCTATTTAGCACAAATGAAGAGCGAAGCATATATTAATGTCAAGTTTATTTAAATTATATTAATGTCAAGTTTATTTAAAATTATACGTTAGTATTAGTGCGTAATATTAAGTAAACAACTAATTGGGCTAGGTACAACATGCACTGCTATCTTAGCCAGTGGCAAGATGCTTTAACTCATGTATGTGCACTGACGATGTCACTAAGTAGTAATGTCAATACCTTGGAAGAGTAAGTCAGTTCAACATTCTGAATATGGCGTGATGCATTCTGTATGGCAGCGATCGCTTGATTTATAGGCATTCCCAGAAGTAACTCGATGTAATCATTCCGGATTCCGCATCCTGGCATCACCTCCACTCGCAGCATCCTTCACATCTATGTACGACTTACAGCAACCACAACTCTCCAAGCATCATCTCACTTTCAAATGCCTTCAAATTCGCAGCCCGTTAAAATGAGATTATTGCAGGGAGAGGAGACAAGCGGATGCAGAAAAGAAATTTGAGGATGAGGTTTGTCTTTCAGTACCTTTTGTAGGGAATCGATTCCCTGCATTTTTCTAGTAGTCGAGATCGGCGAAGAAAGTGAATCTACTACAGAAACTCAGAACTGTGCAAACGTTTAGGTGTGGATGTTTTCCAAAAGAATAATAGCGGTAGACAACTGCGAGCTTTTATTTCAGATAATTCATTTGATCCACCATTGTATGGAAGATACCAGGAGATAAGTTTTGTTTTTAGAAAATAATATATTTTATAGAAAACATTTTCAGATCAATTTTAAAAGCAGAAAAAGAAGAAGGAACAATAAGCGGCAATCAAGAACGAGGTGTGAAATAAATCGATTCGTCTGGAATGTTAAACACTTCCGTCTATATGCAATGAAACTGGAAGTGCTTATTATCATTAAGTGTTATTAGCATTTTTCATGAAATGACCAAAGGAAAAATAACAATTCAGGTGGTACACTGGATCAAAGCAATCACCAGTTATTATATTTGAGATGAGATTGCGATACTTTTCAAGGAATAAGAAAGCAGAGAAATATGAGGTACGAAGTTAGATGAAACATGTTATGATGCCAGAAACAGTTTGTTTGCACAAAATTAATTTAGAAATAAAGAATTTTCCATTAAAATAAGAGCAATAATTAAGCCTGTTAACATTATTTCTTCGTTTCGTTCACTGTAAATTCCCTCCGAGGTATAACGATACAAGAGTATTTCTCTTTACCTTTGCCATTATAAAATATAAACATAGCTTTTTCACTGTCCATGTCCACATAAATAAAACCACCATTCGAGAAACCAATTTGTGAGAATGGATTGAACCCTGTTGGATAGCTGAAATACTTCTGACTTTCTTTTAATGAAAAACTTTTATTTTTTCTATGCCAATGATTTTGTCACCAGCAGTTTTTATTGATCGAAGGGTTAAAGTTAAGAATTTGAATAATTAATTGATTACTTGAAATGTAGTGATCCTTGAGGTACTGTATCAATGTGTTTAACCGATCGGTCTGAGCGGGATGCAGCTCCACTAATAACATAGTGAAGTGGGATTTTTTCTGCGTTTTCTGATAACGAATATTCGGTGACAATGTGCTGCAAGATTAGTATTTTGCATACCAGCTTTGCATCACTAATTCAGTTTTTAATATTCACTATCAGTCCTTGTAAACCTAATAAGTCTCTTTAGACTCTTTCACTAGCAGAAGTTAAGACTAAATAAGTAGTGTTTTAAAAGGGCAGAATAAACCATTGCAGAGTCCGATAATCTATTCGAGATACATATAACAAAAATGTATGTGGATCGATTAGATTTCAAATCTTCACATGGTTTGATCTACTTCATTTAAAATAATTAAATCTTACTTGCAGCGTGTGATCATGCCCAGCAACGTATGCCGTGACGTGATATTTTTCCAAAAGTGGCTTCAATTTTTCAATCAAGCAATTCAGTGAGCCATGCTCAGATATCGAATAAACTGGATAGTGGCCAACAACGAATAAATAATCAGCTCTGCTTTTGAAAAATTCTGGTTGAAAAGAGCTTATAAAATGGAACATGGTGAAACACAATGAAAAAAGTTTTGATTTTGCATTTTTGGTGAAATGTTTAGATGAAATTTGATGAGACTTAAAGAATGAGAAATATACGATCATTTTCAGTGTAGAACCTTGAGCGCTTTAACTGCTGTTCAATCCAGTCTAGTTCTGTTTTTGCTGCTGCTGGATCTTTCGGCGCATTTGGATTTTTGTTAGTAGTTGCAAGAATCATGTCAACAAAGTTAGCTTCTGTAATATCCCTTGTGTTACCACAAAGCAAAATGGTATCAATCATCAGAAATTCAACCAGTGTGGCATTCTTCCCGAATGCATAGGATACTTTATAATAATTTGCCGGATATGTCCTGCAAATCGGATATCATTACAAATTCTATTACACTTCTGCTTTAAAATTAAATCAGTGTATTATTAATTTTTTCTGAGGGTGGTTGCATGATTTATAGCATTCGTATTCGTGATTCGAAACACTATAAAATGTACCATCGCTGACTTCGACTTGTATAAGCAATTTGTCCCGAAATATTTCCAAAATGGTCATGATTGCCGGCAATTAAGTACCATGGCTTTTGTAACGCTTTGCCTTTGTACACATTTTCGAATGTTTCCTAAAAAATTTATGGTGTGAAATTTATAGTAAAAATAATAGAATCAACAACCAAAGACCACATTTCATCTTCCATTTAATCCCAAATTATATTGTTATTTATTATTTGACCATTCATTATCTACTTGCTCATGTCTATTAAACTACACCCGATGCTAATGCAGTCTTTCTACAAATTTTTCGAACTTGCCTGGAACCGTTGGTCAAACTCATTTTTCACTCCCGTGAAATAAATATTGTCACCAGCCGAAACAGTAAAGTGGATACTTTTTTCGTCTCCAATTGTGGCCAATGATTTTGCAACCAACTTTTGTGCATATGTGGTATATGGATAGATAGGCAAACCTAAAATCCTAGTATTAACGACTTAGTGACCGATCAGTAGGACATGGTAAAATATTTGTAAAATAAATGATTTAGATTAGGTTGTAGAGGTCCAAAATAAAGTTATCTAGAAAGTGAAGAAAAGCATAGAGGAAAAAACAGTCTCAATTTGTTTTTAGTCAGCGTATTAGGATATAATTATCTACCTCCAGTATCTCCAACAAGGAAAAATCGAAGATTATTTGAATCATTTCTGTAACATATACCGCCATTTACACAGGCCATTCGACATTCGTAACTTCCAAAATTGCATTCTGGAATATCATTTTTGCATTACTAGGATCACTAAAATTGTGTAAAAGAAATTATTTTCAGTATAAGCATATCACATTATTTGGAGCAGTTGTGTCAATCAGTATGTATACATATTTCAATTAGCAAATGAGTTAGGCAGAATTCTCGACAAAAGTGATCTCAAATTTGTGATCAGTTATTTACCCCAGTGTTTCTTAATTAATTTCTTACAATAGCGATCTTTGAAAATTTTCATAGAATTAACCATCTCCAGTATTTGTTTCTGTTTTCAAGTTGATCCACTGTTCACTTTTCTGTGATGTAGTAAGTATCTGATGTACTTCAACATTTGAGATCAGCGATCCATCCGCACCACCCAATACTATTATTAAGAACAAAAGTAGTATTGTTAACATCAGCAATGTGTAAAGAGTAATAATTGCTGAAAATAAAGAACCATTTGCTGAAATCGATCTGTTGTAAAATGTTTTCTAAACATGACGGGTTTAAATAGAAATTTAATGAGAGCGTTTTGACAAGAATGAAAATCTTGAAAAGCCTCAAATATCAAACAGAACAAATGAATGTGAAGTGATTAGCGAACGTTTGAGGAGATATTCTGAATTGGTAGGAACAATTTAATTATGCTGGAGAAGGAACTGAAAAAAATTAGTCAGTAATCAAATACCTCTCAGAAATGAGAAAATGAGTCACTAGAATTGTTGTAATGATTCGTATACAGCACAATACATGAAAAAGATTTGTGATGACGAACATTTTGCAGTGTTATTTTTGCTAGGCAACATTTGTTCACTCTATGGGATGAAAAAACCGACAAGAGCGACAACTGATGACACTAATGATTCTAGTAAGTATCAGAATACTACCTTATCAAAATGTTGGTAACTTAACTTTCTGATCTTAATGTTTAGAAAAATACATTACATTTATTGTTTTATTTCAAATACCAGAAAAACAGGAAACTGAGAACTAAAGCATTTTTTTATTTTTGTTATTTTTAAAATGCACTGAACGCACAATGTTAATTTAGTCAAATATTTATTTGTCTCGTCATTATTCTAATAATCAATTAATCAATTAATCGATCGACCAATCGGCTTCAAAGAATTTGCATTAAGGAAAACTCTTCTGGTATTGCCTTCTTCTGACAAATAAAATCCCAACTGCAATACGTGATATAGTCAACAGATAAACCAACATTTTTGAAGAAGCAATCAGCTACACAAAAAATTACGTCAAGGTTTAAGATAGTTTGTTCTAATCTCTTTCTCTCTCGGAAACAGCTGACTTTCAGGTCCAATCGTTTCTAACTTAGTTTTAGTTCCAGTAACATCAGTACAACTCTCATTGTTGCAATAGTAATATTATCTACTAAATCGGTTGGTAATCAAGCATTCCGGTATTCTTCTTACTTCCATTTGCTGAAACATTTGTCTCTGTCTCCTTGCAAATAATTTTATGAAAGAAAGAAGGAATGCATCATTCAAATTTATCTCATCGAAAGAAAAAAAGTAGCAGGTAGATAACGAAGAACCAGTTTAGCATTTCAACATTCGTTTGAATCGATGAAAATTAATATTTGCAGATTGTTTAAAGGAATTCTACATTCAGACAATAAAAATCAATAATGGATGATCACCACTACATCATGGAAACTATTACTGACCTTCGCGATCACCAGCAACCACAAGTCTATTATCAGATGAAACCTGAATTGGACCTAAATTACTTGAAAACATTACCTGGAATGCTAAAGTGCACCTGTATTGTAAGCACTTTATCACTTTGAAAAATTTTCAATATTTTTTAAATATATTCACAGACGATTTGTTTTTGTTTCCATTCTGTGAAAGAAACACTTTTTCCTTGTCAACTATCAAGGCATTCAGGTTGTTTTTTCATTTTAACCTATGTATAAGCAGTTAAGATCTTGAATTAACTCATTTTACAAATCTATTTTCGATCTTTTTCTTGAATCAAAGAGATTTTCCTGGTTACCCTTGAAAGATGAATGTTTTCTGCCTCATACATTTTTGAGTAAGCTTGAGTCAGTGACTTTAATTTTAAAATGGCATATAGTGTCAAACGTGCATCAAATAAAGGGAATGAATAAAGATGCAAAAATATTATCCTCTCGACCTCGTGGATTTCCATTTCCTCACAGTTAAAAAAAGGCAATAGGATACAATGAATTCGATCCAAAAGTAAATAATGCCTTCAAGCAGTAAATAGTCTAGTCTCTATACCATCTACTATTCAAAAAAACATGGCTAAACGTCTTTGCAGATTTTAGATTTCACTTGCTTTATATGTCTGCTAGTTGGTGGTCCTGTTTACTATATTGGTGTCGGATGGATCACCTTCGTTTGCATATTTGGCCTGTTGGTATCGCTGATTCTTTTAATCCTTTACTTATTTCATGTCGTGGATCTCTTTCCTCAAATACCTTGGATCGTTGGTGTAAGTCTTTTGCTTTATTTCTTTGGCAGTTAATTTTATTAAATAATCTTTGTAGATTCCCTGACAGTGCTACTTCTATAAATTCCTCGATCTTGCATAGAAAAAAAAAAATGTTTATTAGATGCTTGGGGCTTCGATATTGCACAAAGACTTGAGCAATTTGCAATTACATAAATTTCCATAAGCTTTGGCTCCACTTTCGTTGATTTATTTGGCCATGACTACCGAGGAACCTCTCTTTAAAGGTAAATTCGAAGATGAAATTTTATTAATGTTTATTGATAGATTCTTCTTTTAGGAAATGATATTTTATTTTGCATGGGCTGTATTCTTTTTCATATGTGGTTGTGTGCTGGTTTTAGTTGCGGCACGACTTCATGGTATTACTGGTTACGGTGCAGCTTCGGTACATAAATTTAACTAATTCACATTTATTTCATTTTATGTGTTCCAAAGCCATAACAAAATAAGTGATGCGTAGTTCAATGAAAGGGTTTGCGTTATCATCAACCATCATGGGTGTGTTTATGGGCAAGCACAAGACGACATACATTTTGAATTACTAAATGCATACAGACTTTGCTGTAGAATGGAGGTCATTTTTATTTGGAGGAATGAGGCTTAAAATTGGAGAAAATGGAACTTTTACTTTTTACTTTCACAGTGAAACATTCTGTAGTTTTTACTAATTTGACATTCCTTTCATCTTGTATGTGACAATTTTCCTTTCCTAATCGACGGCAAATTTTCAGTTCTTCTCATTTGGAGCACTTTGTGCTTACGGTTTCGACAGTTATTTGAAATTTCTGGCCTGGAGGCATGATGAAGTGGCGACTGGCGGAGCAGCACTAGAATACTTGCCTTATGGCAACACTACGGCATCAAAAGGCCAGCAAAGAAAGGCCACCAATGAGTGAAAGATTCTGCAGCACTTGTAATTTTAAACATTTATCCCAAGTAAATCTTCCAATCATTCAAAGCAACAGAAGAAATTCGTTTGATATTATCCATATAGGGGTTAAATAATAGCAGAAACGAAGTTTCCATCATGTTCTTTATAGATTCTGAGTGAAAAACACCGTGAACTTAGTTGTCAAATAATTTTGCTGAATTATAAAACATCGATGTCACTATAGAATGCAATCATGGCTACTATATTCTGATTGTAAGAGTTGAAGAGCGACAAAAATATAAATAAGAATCGCTCTTTCAAAGCGAATACTCAGTTGCACATGGTGAACTTTAAGCCTTGTGATGATAGGAATGTTCCCAAAACTTATTAATATCAAGAAAAGGATCAAAAGTCAGAGATGTCTTCCTTTGATCACTTTGTCAAGAGAGGGAGGAAAGTCTCTATTTGCAAACAGATATTTTATTTAGTTTCTACATTCATTGAAGAAAACGCAGGAAGGAATGAGTGAAAGGAAACTTTTAGCTAAAGCGAAATTAGGGTCTCAAGAGTCATTTGAGGATGACAAGGAAAGTCTTCAGTGCACTATCGTCCATCACAGTTAGTAAAGTTACTAGATGACGAAAACACCTCCCCTTTATTTTGTTCTCTATTATTTAACAAAAACTCCGAATTGTATCCGAAATGTAACCAAACGCATCAGCAAAAACTTTATGCGGCTATGAATTAAGAAAGTAACAAAAAGCAAAGCTAAAATTTCTACAACAGTGATAAGCTCCTCAATTTGGTACTACTTTAGTAATTTTGTACATATACATAGTTCAGACGAATAGGAGTATGAAGAAGAAATGATACAAATTATGGTTCGAGATTTGATGGTAGAGAAAAAGGAGTAATTTAGAAACAAATCTAATAAAGATATGATAGCTCAGTTAAACTGGTAAAAACATTGTTTTAAGATTGGTAGATTTAAAAAAAAAAAGAAGCTTAGAAATTTGAAAAATGACAAATATTCCGAGAACAGAGTGCTCGAGTTAATATGATAAGATTACTAACAAAAATTTTCGAATAAGTTAAGTCTACTACAACTGTAAAAAACTACTCATGAAAATGATTGGTCAGCAGGATGCGATCACTTATGACCTTCCACATAGTTCCGGTAAGATTCTATCAATATATAGTTAGCAATCACAACTGAAGTCACTTAAATAACAGCATGGAAATTACCTGATTACATAAATTTGTAAAGTTAGGAGTGCAAATGGCTCAGTCCATTTTCTAGTTTCATGACGGCTATATGCAAAACTAAAGAGTCAGAACATAAGATTTTCAGAGATACAACAATAAATGATAAAACGGAACACATTAACATGATAAGGCGCGTCCGGTCCATATGTTCAATCATCTCCGGTAGCTTGTCGTATGCTGTTGGAGAATCTACGGGGAACTGTCCTGACGTGCGATATCGATGGAAAATAGTGGTGCCCGTGAAGGATTTACAAGGTTGAATTGCAGAAAACAAGTATCCAGGAATACTCCACTATGGTATTATTACCAATGTGACATCTTCTCCTGCTTATCTTGTCATCAGATGGTTCGTTATTGTTTGGATTATAATAGCATTTCATTGAAGTCATCAATAAAGCTGTGAACATAATAATCATGAAAATAATTCCAGATCGAAATGAGCGCAGTACTTGATTGAAGTCATTATTAATAATTTACTTCCGTGGATAGTAATGCAGACTTCTGTCCCTGATACAGTCGTAACCCCGAGAAGCTATAAATATACACAATGAAGTATATGTGCTGTTGCATATCCGAACGGGATAAAAGTACTCAAATGTGTTTAGACCTTGAATTGGAACTGAAAAAGTTGAGGGGAATGACAATGCGACGGAATAAGAAGAAAAAATGGTAAATACTGTGCAGGTAATACAGAGCTATGGCTCAGCGCAATACAGCTTAGGGGAAGCTGTAACAGCAGAACGGAGATAGATGGTAGTTTCCTCGAGAGGAGAGACTCGAGGTGTGAGACGCACCAGTGGCACCACCTCGCCCTTCCTCTCCGATCGGTCCGACAAAGTAGGAGGGTATTTGAAGCACACCATTTTCTTCCATCATCATTTATAAATTGTAAACAAAAGTGGTGGGAGGGGCCACGTCCACAGCACACCGAGGTATAGTGCGCTACGGTTATGGTGGTCCGCGCTGTGTGCAAAGGACAGACTCTCGTATCGTTGCGCCTCGATGAGAGTGTCTGCCAGGAGTGTGACGACGAATATACGATTCGATTCGATTCGATTTATAGGTTCCAGTCGATGTTCCATCAAATGATGCACGTGTTAGAATTTCATCATTTGAAATCATTCGTTGGGGAGAGGACTGAAGTGACCAAACACACCCCTTTCAGTCCTTCGCTCTTCGCAACTGTCATGAGCTGTTTACTGTGTCATCATTGATCCTTTATCACTCACCACTGCTGTTTTATGTTCCCTTACACTCGCGCAATACGTGAAGAGGATCGTCGGGAAACTCGACCCCACCCAGGTGGAATGTGCGACTAAATAAACGTAACGTACAGGTAAGGTAGGTTTGCAGCACCTTTGCAGATCGTATTATCAAAGCGATGAACAGGCAGGAGAGGGTAATGCCATATTGAGAAATGGTGGATTCTATTTACCTTACTGACCTAAATGTCTGGAAGAACAATGCATAATTCATTTTAGCCAGATTCGGAAATTGCTGCTTATAAATGTTGGGGCAATACGTACAACATTAACTCAGCCTTTCAATTACATGAGAGCAATCTTGATCAATTACAGCTCGAATCGTAGCAAAATTTTCTTTAATTTCGTCCTACTGTGTCGTGGAAATGTCATCCATCTGTGTAATCTGTGTATGGAAAGGTCTAAGGATCTTGTCCACAAAAAATCAAGAAAAGATAGCGAAGGTAATTTTGTAAGTTTTTTGGCTTTAATTTGTAAAATTAATCTTTTCTCTTTGAATCTAAAATATTCGATCTTTCTGATGAGCCATAAATAAAAGTAGGTGAAATACGTGATGCACTTATATATTTTGACAAAAAGCTTCAAGTCAGTATCAGATTTTCAGATTTATGAAATTCCAAACTGCTGTCGTATTACTATGCACGCAGCGTTCTAGCATTTTTAAATCATTGTTAACTATTATTTCATGCATTTCAGAATGATACTGAGGAGGTATTGATCTGCGGAGTGTAAAAATTGAACACTTTTTGGCATCACAAGTATACACTTCACTGGATATGAACTCGGCACAACTCTTCAGAACTAAATATTTGTATGAAATAATTTCTTGATGAAAGAATTCACTAACTACGACACACGCACCATCTGTTCATTGCTTGCACGAAGGAAGTAATGCGATTGAGTTTATTTCCTTAAACTCAATATTTGCATATTAGATAAAAAAAGTAGGTAGAGAGGGAGAGAGAGGAGGAAAGAAATGGAATAGCGAATAACACAGTTATCTGTTTTGAATAACACAGTTATCTGTTTGTATCTGTTGCTTACTAGCCGGTGAATGGAGAGTCCATGAGAGGGAATTTCAATCGATCCTAGCTTTGTACAGTCTTTTCTTCACATAAGTAGTGGTATTTTTGATGGTCAAACATGACTCATTAATATTCATTACTCTGGTATTCATGGTACATTGTTGTGTCTGCAAAGAAAAGGAGAAATCTTTGTTTAAAGCAACAAAGTTCAAATAATTCGTTTCATTAAATAAGAAACCACTGCGTGTAATCAGTTATGACGATAATGGAGCAAAATTTCAAAACACTGGAAAGATGAAGATGACAATTACCTTTTAGCTTCATTAAATTTCTTGAGACAACATAATAGTGAAAATAATGAAAGCGCATATCATTTATGGGATAAAATACACATAAATTCCCAAATTTAATGTTTGGAAATATTTACTTTGAAAGTACCATCACGGTCTTATGTTACGATTAAATCAAACTGGTTCTTTTTGATTTTCACGTCATATAGTTTAAATGGTTTCAAAGTTTATTTATAACTTTCGTTTTTCAAAATTTCATAATCTTATTGTTCCTTAGCTCTATTAGGAGCTAACATTCACGATCCAAATAGTTTAAAATGATTGGATCAATTCAAAGATAACTATTTCGGAAGTATCACAGAAACTTCTTTTGAAGTTTTTTCAAAATTTACATGAAAACATAAAAAATTCTGAACATTGCTGGATGAACTTACAATCAGATTAATTTCTTGCGTTGCTTAAAACATCACAAAAATATCTGGTGTAACTTACTTTCCATTAAATTTTTGCATTCAAATTTCGCATCGATTTTTTTCGTAGCTTCGATTAATACCCAAAAATAAGTGATTTTAAACAAGCTAAGCATAAGTTCGTGAGACGTCCGATTTCAAAAATTCTTTTATCACAAAAGCCTAAGTACATTAAAAATTTCCAGAATATTTTAAACTAATCCGAACCAATCTAATCAAATGAAATTTCCAAAGAAGAAAAACGTGGAAGATATTCTGCTCAGGAGATTTTTCATTTAACTCTTTCAATTTTTCAGATACCCTGGTTATTACATATAACTTGTGCATATACAAAAGAATAAAAAAACAGAGAGCAGTCAAGTTATCGATAGCGATTAGTATGCAAAAAAAGTCATTATTTTCAGCAATTCCAAGAACTTATTTAAAACGTAAAATGAAAAATTGGTGTTTGGTTGTTGGAAGCTTACGATCGACCTTGTCGCAAACGGAAAAATTAAACTGTTCGACTATTCACATGTTTATGTAGCACTATATTTTCCTATGAATTTAAAGGATAAGTGGAAATGAATTAAATTTATAAAATGACAAGTGAGAGGATTGGGCAAACAAAAATTATACAGTTACTTGGCACAATTTTCGTTTTATAGTAAATAGTCTTCAAATCGATGAAAACTAATATGATTGCAGTCACAGCTATTTATGATAAAAAATGATAAAAAGTTATCTAACCTCAAATTTGTTTCTATTCTCGCGTTCCCGACAAATACACCATAGTGCTGCAAATAGGTCAGCTGCTACCATTTCGCCAGCATTATCGCTCACCAAATGCAGTGCCGTAATTGCATCCTAAAATTTTACTTTGAATTCTCTATTCTGAAATAAATATTACGAATCTTTCACACAAGATTACGAGAACTTATCGAGAAGAAAAAAGCAAATGTCTGAGTAGGTTATCAGTGAAAACTTTTCAACCATTAAGAAAATTCTTTTTTATTAAAAAAAAATTAAAAAATCTTTTCAACATAGAATCGTTCAAGTGGAAATAATCAAAAAAAAAAAACTCCAAAATATGAACCTTTCCAGCTGAATTATATAGGAAATAATTAAGTTCTTCTTCTGATGGTTCAATGTTGTGAAAAGTCTGGAAGCATTTTACAGTCATGTAAATCAAAAATTGAACCAAATTGAAATCAACTTCTATAAAAGCATTTTCAAAATTGATTTTAATCACTACTGTCTCAACTCGGTTGATGTTACTTAAAATATTTTCAACATCAGATGGAAAAGACAAATATTGCAGGTTCATTTTCTGTCATTCACCTTGATGAACCAATAAAAATAAGAATCAAGAAAAGCTTACCAAATAACATGACACGAAGTTTCTAGAATAGATGGGAACAAAAGTTATTATTGTCCAGTAAGCTAAATTAATAATTGTTAAAAGGCCCAAAGCCATCAGCCAGAACCATAAGGAAAGGAATATTTTCTCATTGAACATATTTATCATTAGAACACATTGAACAGTTTTCCGATTAGTATTACCGATTTCACGAATTACCACATCACAAAAAGTAACCTCAAATAGGTAACATCAAAATATTATTAATTTCAGGCAATATTTTATTTGAGAAATTGTAAAAATTTCATAAAATTACCTCAAAGTTCTTCACCATATAACAAGTAAAAATTTCGAATTCCAAATGTATAACAAACCCTCGGGAAATTTCCACTAACGGACCATTCTCTACCATTAATCAGATCGTTGAGTATTCCAAAGCCCCAAAAGTGATACTGCATACCGAGAAAACAATTCAGCAAGTAAAGTTGCGTAATGATATTTAGCACATTCAAACATTTGCAAAATAAATACAATGTCGTAACATAAGCTTGCCGAAGTGGTACTAAAAAATTTAAAAATTTTTCACTACTCTCAAAAATTCATTTCATTTTTCATTCCAAAAGTGTAAAACTTCTAAGACCAAGGCAAGGCAGGAAGTAAAAAGTTGTTTTAACTTTTGTACTGATTGCTTTCTAACTCACAAAATGTTCTGATACTATTAGGCTTCCCATAATGTATCCTTCAGCTGTTGTCTCACTACGATATAATAACAATGTAATGCAACAAAACGTGATTAATTATTATAGCAAGGTGTTAATATTTTAAAGCATAAACTATAATGTGCGCAATATGACATCACAGTCAAGATCAAAGGAACTTCTGATAATGGCAAATTGAGAATCACTGCATTCAGAGGCGTAATAGTTATCTATTATCATAGCTAATCACAATCGACATATCTGAACATTTCCATAAAAGTTGGCATGTTTCAATTTCTATTGATAACATACTTATCATTCGAAGTATATTTTTGCATACTCTTTTTAATGCGAAATTTGAATTTCACAGTTATATATTAGCAACAAACTTTAGCACTTTTATGTTAATTGAGACATGTCAGCAATTGCAGCATTCTTGCAAATTATCTCTTTAAAGATAGAACCTAATCTAATTTAATAAAACGCAATCTCATCTTACTCACATGTCATGTGATACAAAATTTATCACCTGCTATAAGATGGCATTTATCAACATCGTCAGCATTTGTATCATTCAATTCTTCTTCCCCCAATTTTTTTTTGAAATAGCGTTTCATGAGTAGCTATCAACGATTCGATAAAAAAGGATCAGCCATGTTGAACGAATTTTATGTCCAGTTATAACTTGGTCTTTTTTTGAAAGGACTTTTAAAATGTGTCGGTATTATTTTCATTAGTCTCTTAGCGTCTTTCACACTAGCTATTAGGTTCAAGACATTTGACATCTTATTGATTACAAATTGTTCTACATGGTGATATTTTTTTAATATATTTGTCGCTGTAAAACTCTCATATGACATCTTCCCACATTATCTATACCTGTATAATCACACTGTCAGAAATTCTCCATTCCTCAACCTGTCATTTAAAATTCACTTCGTTCTTAATTGTTATTTTTTCTCTTTCACCTGCTTTCTTTCGAGATCATATAGAGTTGGGATTTACACATTTCATTGTTCGCTCCCTCAATTCCATATTTACTTATACGTGAAAATAAGTTTACCCAGCAATTTCATACATTGATTTTTCCTTCTATTAAAATCCATCACATAAGCAATTTGTTGGGCTTGCGCAAATGAATCCTCTCGATTCTCTGTTCTCTGCAACTGATAAATTAATGAAAAAAGTCTAAAACTACACAAAATAATTCTATAGAAAAAACGATTTCACTTGTTTCAAACATCGTTTTTTGTCCACTTTTCTGGTCAGAATGGCTGCATCAACAATCGTTTGTATGTTTAGTCCTGCAAATATAAGCTTATTACCATTGGAAAAATTGTATTTGCTATCTTCCAGTCCTAAATTACACGAAACGGGGAAAACGTGCGCACCTGTGCGCCAATTGAACATTGTCCAGATTGTGCGAGGGAGAAGAAATAGCAAGGCTTGCAAGATAAGAATAAATGGTATCCACTGATAATACTGTATTTTATGTTGGTTACGCTCAGTAGCATTCTGAAATGTCAGACAAAAGACCTAACCCACGTACATTTCACCAATCAATGAGGAATTCGGTGACACCAGCTTAATTTTGAAATGGAAAAAAAATAATTCATTTTGACCTCCATTAACACGTTAAATGCAAATTACCATAGGGATATCATCCGCGAACGGTACAAAATAAGTATTTTCAATAAAGCAAAAATTCTCAATGTATTGTTCCCAACTATCCTGAAAAAGGATAGTTACCGAATCATCATTGAGTGAATAACAAAGATTTCATCATCTTAATTTACTAAACCATAATTAAAACACAAAGAGTTAGATCAGTCTTTGTAAGTTTTGCCGTGAATTAGATTGATAAAATGAAAACTGCATAAATGATCTCAGTTAAAATACAGTTCGAGGTCACAAAGGTTAAACTCGGAAGCAAATTCTCATGAATTGATTTGACCCTAATCTTTTGAAAATTGCCAGATTTATTGGTTCGAAGAGGATAATAACAGAAAATATAATGCGAATATCATTTTTTCTTATTGTAAGGCAGATACCAACAATTTAAATAAATCTGAATCCATTAATTCATGCTATTAATAAAGAAAATTCAGAACCTGAAATTCAGCCGGCACCCAACATTGTAATGGCTCTCCAACATACTGTTTTGCAGCAACAGTTATCGCACAAATTAAAATCATCATATTAGTGAGTAAATAGTTGCATCTGTCCACTATATCGTCATCGTATTTTGGCTTCAAACTTTGTAAATATTTATCTAAATTTAACACATTTCTTTAGCATTCTCAAGTTGGCTAGTTTAGGAAGAAATTATATTAAAGCAATAAGAGCTATTCAACTTTCCAGGTTTTTCAAATTCTTTTTCCAAAGATATAAAGTGAATAAAAAATGCTTGCTAGATTTCTATGAAGTAAACGGAGAAACAACAAAGATGAATATGAAATCACACCAGTGGAACTTATAATTAACTTGATGATTAGTTTTAGAAATGAACAAAAACAAACCGAAACTTCGAATCATACTTTCGAATTTTAAAAAGACAATCAGGTACTTCCACAAAATATCTGGAAAGCTGACTAAATTTATAAATTAATGAACCAGATAAGTGTAAACAAGTCAATGAAAGAAGACGAAAGTAGCAAAAAAATTAACCTAATAATTTTTATTTGAAGGTGCTCAGAGAAAATTTGCTCTAGTTAATTGAAATCTGATTTAATAATACGGTTCAAAGTATGGTTAAGAAGGGAAATTATCGTTAGAGATTTTTAATGACTAACAGAAATTTTGATGATAAGCAGCAAATTCGAACGATTTAGTTATCCCGACTATAACTGAAAAAGAGATCAGATCTATAGATAATAACGCAGCACAAACACATTTCCCGTGGCATTCATTGAATTTTAATCATATCATGCTGATTCATAAGTCGGAACATCAAGACTTTCAAGCAACCACCGAACACTTACGGTTTTCCTGAAATGAAATTTTCTTTTGAACTATTAAAACTACACAAAAATACATTCACTATATTCTGATATATTAAGATTAGATAACTACGTATACTTTAGATTTAGTAATTTCTATGAATCACACTTGTCACAAATGCGAAAAAAATTACACAATTCTAACCAAATTGTAAATCAACGAGAAGACGTCACTGTCTCTATTCTTATCTGTGTAACTGATAAAATAGTATAGGTAGATATGATTTTACATAGCTCAGTTATTTGAAAGGGCATGGAGTTAACAATACTTATACCTAGCAGATCAGATTTTGAGTGAAAGAGTTAGAAAATGAGAATATGAATAGTCTTATAGAATTCGAGCAAAGAGGTTAAAACGCATGAACTTCTTAAATAAAAAGTAAAAAATGATTCTTTTCAATAAAAAAGAAAAAGTTTTTTAATAGAATGATTCCAAACTGATATATGTTAATTTTGCAATGAATGTAATAGATTCGTTCTGTATATTTTGGATTTAGATGCTTCGCCAGGAATTCTAAAAATCAATCAGTCAGCAAATGTCAGTTAATTCTGCATTACAAAATTTAATAAGAATATTGCAAACAGTTCTTTTCTAAAAAAGCTATTGTTCAGCCACGTAATGGTTAGGTGGTTGAACGTAAATGTTTAAGTTTAATAGTCTAACAAAGAGAAATAAAATAAAATAAAACTTGTTCTCTTATTTGATAAAAATTTAATTGTAAATGGAACCCACCTATTCAATTCGAAGTGTATGACCTTTTTAACTTTGTTGATTACTAAAGTGCTTTCATACTGTTTCACTTTCGAATTCGATGAAAGTACCTTCATATATGTAACAAATAATCATAATAAATGTACAACGAAAAATATACTCCTCAAAAAAAAAAAAAAGTGAAATAGCATTGAAACGTCCATATTATGCCATATACTCCGTCACACGCTGATGACAATTCCGTATCCACCAAATTTGAATTTATTTATTGAATTTTTACATATCTTTGCTGCCGATCAAACGAACTGCAGGAAATAGACATTTGTGGACACTATTGCAAATGTATCACATGTCAGAAAAACGAACTTTGTTGTGATTTAAGGTTAGGGTGTTAGGTAATCCCAAAAGTAATTAATTATTTCAGCTAATGAATCATATAAATTTAATTATTATGCACAATTAATTTAATGGGATTAAAGTTTTACCACTCAAAACAGAATAGAACATGACAATGATCACTTCTTTTAAAATGCATTTTTTATTTTGAAACTTCAATTTTAATCGTTAATTTGACATCATTCGTTAATGATCAGGAAGTGTTTCGTTTAGAGCAGGCACACTTTTAAATTAAGATCAATTTTAATTAAAGATTGGTATCAAGCCTTTATTAGTGGGAAAAATTTTTCTTGGATTTTCGTGACAAGTTTCTTTATAAGGAGAATAATGATGCACAGAACAAAATCTTTTCAGTGATAATTGTTGAAAGGAGTCTTCAGCTTATAATCTCTAATTTATCCGATTCACATTGAAATATGAGTGAATAGTTAATTTGAAAAACATAATAATTAATTTGGTGGAGTAGTGCAGAAGAGAAAAGTTGCTGTTCAGTATTTGTTAGAATGTTTTCAAAGATGTTTCCGGTAAGTGATAATACTAAGGTATGAGATAAAGATACATACTGAGGTAAGAGATAAAAACCAATCTAGTAATGAAAATTTCTGCGCCAAATCTTACGGATACTTCACTCAGTTATTGATTTCCTTTGGATGATTAACCAGTAAAATGAGCATTACTTTGCAATCGATCTGAGAGGATTCTAAATGCGATATCTTGACAGGAACATCACTAATAAATTATGGAAGCTCGGACTAAGTGCCGTTATTGCTGGTTTGAATCAAATTTTATTCACACTTATGTGATCATATTTACAAACTGATGAATTTAATGAACTGATAGTAATTTGACAAATTTCTCTTGTTCATTCAGAATGTTAATGAATTAGTAGCACTAATCACTCTCCTAACGCCTATTTTAGGAGAACAAAGAGTGATAAAGGAAGCGAAGGGTGTCACCATCATCGAAAATAAGAATCATGACAATTTCCATCGGTCATTTGTTCCTTTCTGGTCATATCGAAAAAATGGCATTAAATTGTAATTTCTGCAGTTCCTGGAAAAAATTTCTTTAACCTACTATTTGTTATGTTGGAATCATTAATGGTTGGCGTTTTTATGTAGTTTCAAGGACTGAAATGAGAAAACTGTTTTTTTTTCTTATATTTTTATTACGAATTTTTGAAACTTCAGAGACCAAAAATATTTCAGATCTCGGATTTTTAACATGAACTTTGGCTTATTTTTAAGCACAATGATGTAGAAATCTTCTAAAACGTCTATTTGGAACAATGCAATACTCTTTTTAGATATTTACGTGACATACGTGTTTATTGTATTGTGTTATAGTTAAATATAAGTCATAAAAGGGATTATATTGGTGAAGGTCATCGAGTATTCCCAAATCTTATTTCTGTGAATCACATCGCAAGAGAGCTAGCTATTCGTCACTTAGATTATGGGCCTTGTAACAAACGTCAGTATAGCAAGTGCCATTTCCATAATAGTTGTACTGACATGTGTTATTGCTTTGACTCATCTGGTTAATGATTTGAACTCACTGTACGATGAAATTATGAGCGACACTCAAGAAATTAAGGTATTCAATGTTATTTTGTAGTTGTTTTTTTATTGATGCTTTTTGTGATTACAAAGATGGTTATGATTACAAATTTGTGATTACACAGATGATTAAAATCATATAAATTTCAAATGTTATTTTGTAATAAGAACTATCAATCATAACAACGGTATTTCATGCAAGATCATAAGGTTATGAACTGATTTGTTGAAGCTTTTATATTCGACGGAAAAATTGTGCAGAACTAAAAATCTATCTCAGAAATAAAGCATCGCAAAAATGTTCTCATTCAGTGAACATTTTGATGAAAAATGAAGACTGGGACATTTGTAGATGACAAGCAAATACTTGAAGGTCATTAACGAAAACACATGGAATGGAATGTTGCAGTTGCGAGCGCGGAAGACATCCAGAAATAACACAAGCCGACCAATTCATCAATTTTTTCTGCGCCGTAACCTGAAGACAAAAAGATCTTTTGCTTCACAACAGTGTGGTAAAATGGAATTTTGAGACAATACATCTGTTTTCTGGTAGATTCAAAACACAATGAAGGCTGTACTAGAATTTCAATCATGATATTATAAAATAGAATTAGTTTTTTGTCATTTCGTGCTGAAATTTCAGAATGCGGTCAGAATCCCAACAAATGTCCACGTGGTAAACAAGGCCTACAAGGCGAAAAAGGAGAACTAGGAGGTCGACTTTGTTTTATTTCAACACAGGGTATTTTCTCTCTCTCTGCTAATCAGAACTATTTTATATGCATACTGTTCCAATAATTGTATGCAGTACTGATTAATTTTATATTATAGAACCGGGTGAACCAGGCACACCAGGGCTACCAGGTGTTGCTGGTATTATCGCTGTTCTAAATTTGCCGGAGTCAGGCTGTGTTCAGTGCCCAGCTGGACCGAGTGGACCACGAGGTCCCGATGGACAGCCAGGTGAAGTTGGCTGTCCAGGCAAACCTGGAATTGACGGAGTGCAAGGAAGAGATGGAATTCCAGGACTTCCAGGTCCACCTGGTGATGCCGGAGAACCAGGTGAACATATTCCAAAAAGCAATGTGTAGAGTGAAAATTTAAAAGAAATAAGAAATTACGAGTTAAACTTTTAGGTAAGCAAGGTCAACCGGGACTTGACGGCTCACCGGGAAAAAGCACTATAAGGTATATTCCGATACCTGGTGATCAAGGTGCGGTTGGTGAGCGTGGAAGACCTGGAAAGCCAGGTGAACACGGAAGAAGTGGTTTTCCCGGAGATCTGGGTGAAGTTGGTTCTCCCGGACCAGAGGGCTTACCTGGAAACGTCGGTACATCAGGTTTACCAGGAAGAGTAAGTTTTTATTTGTGAATAAAAAATTTGAGAGTTTTATGAACTTCTTTCCGTTTGATTTCTTACTATTTTTTAAGAACTGAAAATTTCAGCAAGGCGAACCTGGACTACCTGGACCTGAAACATATTACTGCCCTTGCCCAATGTTGAAGATATAATATTTAATGATACAATACGCTCCTTAAAAAATATACTGATAAAAAAATAACCTGAAGATGTGGATGATACAAGGAAAAAACATAAAAAATGCTAACATTTATTAGTCAGTATATAAATTCAATTCAAGTTTTTAGCATTTTCTTATAAGAAATTAATTTTTACCTTAGTTTTGAAAAAGTTAAGAAATCCTTGAATAAATTTACAAGCTTTGATTGAACGGAAATTGGAAGAGTTAATAAGACAGAAGGAAAATTTGTAAAGCAGAATATCAGCCATCTAAAAGGGCGTATGTGCGACAAGTGAAGATATGGGAAGGGTTGGGTGGATATCCAAAGATATTTAATTGTAAAAGACATTTAATATTCGTAGATTTTCAGAATCCCTAGCGGTGCAAAAGACTGCTCTGATCTTATATCATTATCATCTTACTAAGAACTTTGCTATATTTTATGTAACTATTAAAATAAAATTCAAAAGAACTTTGAGAGATAAATATAATTTTCGTATACCAATTTTCATATACTAATTTTATAATATACTAATTTTCGACACAGTATAAAATCATTGGAAAAAGATTATTGTGAAATTTAATAACTGCAAATTTCCTGCGATCAAAACAATCATGGTTGACGCTGATTCAGTTCGTATTTTTTTCTTCATTAAGGAAACTTAAATCCTATTTTTTATACTTATCTGAAATTAAATATATACTAGATTTTTTTCGAAATCCAAGGATCTTCTGAGATAATATGATTTTTTAACTTATCCATTACCTGCTGACAAAATACATTTCCTTCCTTTTCTTGCACATAAATTATACGAATTAAAATTTCACAGTCATCAAAAATTAATTCAAATAATACAAATTATTTATGTTAATACATAATTTCATAGAATTGCCAACAGATAATTACAATTTTATCATACGCACATTCATACAAACAAATGCACATTTTTGGGTCGCTTCTCTGAAAGATAGAGAAATTTAAGATCAATCACCACATAAAACTGGACAAGTGAGCCTTATCTGATCAAACAAAACCGGTAATTTTAAACAATTGTTGCAACTTGTTGAAGCACTAGAAACTTGAAAACAAACCTCCGAGAAAAAATTAAGGCTATCAAATGAAATAAGGCTACTTTAAGTCCGAAGAATTCAAGAGCTCTTTCATTCAAAAAAAAAAACTTCAAAAAACACCAAATAAAATCCATTTTTATGAATTTTGTGACGTTCGTTTTATTTTGAATTCAAAGAAGATTCTTCGTAGTCAAATAAGAAAATAAGGTAATTTGATTTTTTTGCAAAAATATTTAACGCATAATTTTTCAAGGCCATATATTCATGGCAACAGAAAATTAATAGATTCTGCCCCACAGAAACTCTGTTAGCTAAAGTTAAAATTCATGCCAATTCCAATACCATAATATTTTCCATAAATCAATATTACAATGATGTCTCATTTTCAGCAAAATAATAATCATTTTGATATGTTGTTATTTTGATCGATTTTGCCTCTTTCTCGATTTCCATCGATATAGACTTTAATTGATTGTAATAATCGGTACCCACTTTATCGTTATAATATTGCGAACTTTTCATTATCTCTGTTAAGAATAGAAATTAAAATATTAATTGAAGTCTTCCTATCTTTTATTTTCTTATACTCTTCATTTCGCTCAATGTGGTAAATAAGACAAGAATAAAAGTAAAGTGGGTGGGGATTAATAGTACAGTTGACGCTAAAAGTGTAAACTACAATTAAGTGTATTGGCTTTCGGATAACTAACCTGTTTCTCCATTTTCTCGAACAACAACTGGTGTATACAAGATTAATTGCTTATTGTTTGGTATCAAATAATTTCCCTCATCCATACTTAATTTTGTATGTCCGTCATGTACAGGATCACTTTGATAACGTCCGGAATCAGTGCTTCCCAATCGCTTGTCCTGCTGTATGTTAAGAGAATCCTAAAGGCACTTGCGACATGATATGTTAAAGTACGATAACAAAATCCGTTACTGTATTACTTTTTCTCATTGATTCTTGGTGCAGTTTAATTAAGTCTAATCCAAATTCAATCTAGATTAAAGAAAATTATACCAATTACTGAAAATTTTGAGTTTACCAAAACTTATTTTTATCCTACCTGTTGAAATGCCACCCAAGAAGGCGTCATCGGTGACGGCGGAACTGAAGTGGATGTAGCTGTTGTGCTCCCAGAAAATTTAAACTGATCGGAAAGTTCTTCGTTAACGATTAGTCCATTGAAGAGCTCACGCTGATTTTCAAATAGTGCAGATTCCAAGTGCTGTTTATAATAACGATCCTCAAATAAACTTGTCAACTCATTTTACATACACGACTTCAAAATCATTTCGTGAAGATTCAAGAATTGAAATATAAACGAAACTTCCTTTCTATGGTTATGAATACTAATGATATCCGAAACTTCCTTTCTATGGTTATGAATACTAATGATATTCCTGAAGTCCTGAAAAACTGTAAAAAAAACTGAATCAAACGAACCAGGACATAAAGATGAGGTGCTTTGCAATACTGTTTGAATTTCTCTTTAAGGATAACAAAACTTGGTCTCGATTCCGGATTTTGTAACCAACCTGAACTGCAGAATTTTAACATATAAGAATGGGATATATTTTTCAAATTAACTTTGTTACTTTCGCCATTTCCACTCTCTTCTCAATCATTTCATGAAAATGTAAGAAATCTTCGATGCACAGCGATTTTGTGGTTGTATTTCGGGGCGAATGCCACATGTTACACTATCATTAATATAATTAAGGTGATAAACCAAATAACTTTTAGATATTGCTTACATTGCAAAAATGTCTGATACACTTCCTGGGCACAGTTATTTGGCTGTTCCAAACGATTTCCAGTTGCCAAATGTTGGCGTATTTGATCGGGCGGTACGCTTTGGAACGGTGTTTGTCCAAATGTTAACACTTCCCAACAAGTAACACCGAAAGCCCAAACATCGGTATAGTGGTTGTAAATCTGTTTTTCGAGACTTTCTAGTGCTAACCATTTCACGGCAACCTGGAATTAAAAATATCGGTTTTATATTCTTTAATCATGAAGTTGAAAATTTGACTTCTTAATTCGAGTAGTTCAGAATGTAAATCAAAGATTCAAGTCGATTCAGCAATTACAGATGCTAAAAATTGTCATTCTTCAACTTTTGACATATTTTTTAAAATTCTACAATGCAATCATCAAAATGAAAAGATGACTTTTCCAGCAACGATGACTTCACTTTTTCCTTTTTCCAACAATCTGGCAAGCCCAAAATCGGTTACTTCAACATGATTGGTTCTCTTCACTAATACATTTCGCGCAGCCAAATCTCGATGTACTAAACGGTTTTTATAAAGGTATTCCATTGCCTAGAAATAATGAAATGATGGATAGTTTAAAGACAAGAAGAAATTATGAAGTCTTTGTTGTCACAACTTCCCTTCTTCCACAAATAACAAATAACATACCGAAGCAATTTGGTAACAGTATAGTAACAAGTCTCTTGCACCAAGTTTTTGTCGATATTTTTTAAGGTAGTTCTTCAAACTCCCAAGTGGTCGCATCGGAGTCACAATTTGCATGCCATCGCTGAGACATACACCAACCAATCGAAGCAAATGTTCATGTCGCATACAAGCCATGATACCTGCCTCTTGCAACATCTCCTGATGTGCTGTGCCACTACCATCGTGAACTACTTTAATTGCTACTGCCAATTTTTCACCTTCATCCTTACCTTTCGGCCACCAATAGCCCTAAAAAAAATTAATTATTGCATCTTTCCAGTCTTTTCATTAAAAATCATTGAAACATTGATCATGATAATGTAAATTCAATCTTAAATTGAAACTCGAACAGGATTAGGAACAATATCACTTTTGTTTGCAAAGAAAACCGCCTTAAAAAAAAAAAAAAAAAAAAAAGAAAAAAGTGGGTTTGAGAGAAAACACCGCTCTTTGTTTCACAAAAAAAATTCAATATTTATAAACTTATTTCTTTGGAAAATACGATTATTTATAAGTCATGAAGAATGAATTATCCAGGTAATAACATACCAAGAAAACAGTTCCAAATGCACCTTGTCCAAGGGATTGCTGCGTTTTTTCAAGATTTTCACTGGTGATAATACAAAGACGTGTCATATTTGGTCTCATGGACGGGTCCGTTTGTTCGTATTCCGGAATGCTGGGCAAGTTCATTTCAAGTTCCCTTTGATATCGTTTTTTGTATTTTACACAGTTTATTGTGATACCCTAAATTATATTAGGAAATTTAGTAAAGCAAAACATTTGAACTGATGCAGTAAGCAATGATTCGGTGCAGATAAACGAATAAATAAAAACAAACCGCTATAAAAGCAATAAGAACAGCAGCACACAATACACTGATAATGATTATATATATTCTCCTGTAATTCTTTACGTGTTACGATTCAAAACAGTTTCCATAATATCATGATAATTTTTAAAACTGAATGACTTCAGAATTGATATTTTGAACTTATCATTATCTGAAAAAAGACAAAATTTGCAACTTTTTTAAAGCGTAAGCTGTTGGGTCTGTAACATGACAAATTTTGTCTTCTGCAATAAATGGATGATCATCTGGACATCGTTCCAAGCAAGTCTGAAAGGCATAAGTTTTAACTAAACTTAACAAAATAACATTAATTCTTCCGGTTACTGGCTACTAATATGGAAATAAATTTTGAAAAGTGAAACAATATCATGCTCATATGTTAATGAACAATTTGGAAAAAAAAATGATCAAAGGTGAAATGAATTCTAAATTTCAGGAAAAATACGAACTAATTTATCGCCTTTTGAAATGCCAGCTTTGGCACATCGTGTACAGTTTGTAGAACTACGCCCTGTGCAACCCATTGAAAGGTCACACAGTTCATCACATCGTTCACATTCACCGATGGTACTACCTGATCTGGGGCGCACCATAAATGAATCCCTTAACAATACTTTAAATTTCAAATGAATGGTACTTTACAAATTATCTGCTTGAGTAGAATAAAGGCAAATTGGAGAAGAATGAGATTTTAAAATAAAAATTCATAAGATTCCTGAAATTACATTTTGCACTTCATTGTGCAATAGTCGTTATTTGAAACCGTTTTCGTTAAATAATGCGCACATGTACATTTATGTCGCTTTACAGATGTACCGTAACCAGAGCAACTCAAACACTCTTCACTACATTCATCACATTCCTAAAAAATCTCTGAAAATATTACAACTTTTTCTATTTGGTAACCGTTATGTAGCAAAATGGCTTCGCACCATTAATTCAAACTCATTTTTAAGTTGTTGCCTAAAGGACATCCAGATTCGAGAACTAAAAACTTTAAAGATTTGTATGTTTTGATGCTTGTCTGAATTTCATTGCACTTACTCTTTCACCCTCACTTCATTTACCTTTTCTTGCATCTATACTTAACCTGCTTGCAGTTATTTTTCAAAATGAAAATTTAAACTTACGAATTCAGCAACAAGCATTTCATTAGATGATGCAGTAGCATAGTAGCGAGTTAAGTTATTGTCACGACAAACATCCTTCGGTTTACCTGTAGCATACAAGCATAACGGTTGTTTGCCACTATCAGAGCGCTTTGCATGCTTGCATTTGTTGCAACCACCTTTAGCTAACATACTGCTTGGACCGGTACAACTGAAATTTCGAGGTATTATAAAAGAATAAAGAAATATCATTGCTGTTCCTTGTCCATCAAAAATGTCAAAGTAAGAAAAGGAGGCCTTGTTCAGTCCTAGTCCATCAAATAACTTTGATTCAAAATCTATAGTTCAGGAGAAGTTCAGGCAAAAAATATAAATTGAAAAAAGCAAACCCAAAATTATAGCATGCTACATTGCATGGCAAACAAGTGTTGCCATCGACATAATGTGTCTTCGGACATTCCGATATACACTCCCATTTATTTCTCTGCTGCATTCGAACGTTCATGCATGCAATGCAATCTCGTGCTGTTGGTCCATTACAACTTTTACACTGTGGGTGACATTTATGACAATTTTTGTCCTTGATATAATACCTAAAATACATCGACATATATTAACTCATCAAGTTTAGAATCATTCCTTATCATGTTAATCTTATTGATAATCAGGAAACCTTTCGGGAGGACAGGTAGCGGAGCACTTGCCGTCCACACTGTAACCAATGCATTTTACACACATCTTTGGTCCTTCACCCCAGCATCCATAAATCTTATTACAGGTGTGATGACAGAACTTTCTATTTCTAGCTGAAAAAAAAAAAAATTGTAGCAGCAAGACAGTGTGAAGTAAAATAGTTGTGGTAAATAAACATCGTCGTGATTATTATGATTAATGGGATATCTTACTGCAATAGACACTGTTTTTGTCTGTTAATATCAGACGAGAAGTATCATTCGTTTGCAAGATTTTTTTCCAGTGCTCTCTCAACGAATCTACGTAACAAAGTTTCTCATTTCTTCCAATGTAAACATATCCATTCCTTATCTCTCTTAATGACCGTAATCCAAGTTCGAATAAATTTTGGTTGCTGGTGATTAATAACGCATATCGTTGGTTACTAAAATAACGTTTAAGAATGATCACTTAGTGAATCAGTCATCCTTTAAGAATTTCTTTTCTTCAAGTATCTTTTAATTATTACAAGCCTTAACTCTGCCAAAAGTCTTCAAAAATCCTTATTGGATGAAAAGTCTTTTGATGAAGAACTTTGTCAGAATTTTTAATTAGTTAAAAATTAGTTTAAAAAAGGCAATTTACGAAAGTTTCCGTCCTTCAATGGTTGTAAGATTGCCAAGGAAGCTCAATGATGGAGGAGAAGAATCAACAGTTTGGATTTCAACAAATTCTGTAATAACTTTCACATTTTTCAGGACTTCCAACATTTCCACTGTTAACCCTGGTATATAGATTGGTGGTCTTCTGAAATTTCATTAATTAATTGAATTATTTATCACAACATTCCAGAAGTCTTAATTAGAAGTTGAATGAGTAGGCAAACCGGAACTGGAAGTCTCGTTTGATTAGATCAAATACTTTCTGATTCTTTGTAGTACTTGAACTGTGATCCTTAGGCGCAATCTTTCAAAAACGTAAGAAATTTTCTTTCATTCTTTCGAGAGGTTAAATTAAAAAAGTTGATAACAAGACAAATAACCAAATGTACCCATCGGTAAAAAATTTTCGATGAGAATTGAATGTGTGGCGCAAAATCTGGATGAAACCTTCGATAACTGTACAGTTTGCTAAACTTCCAATATTGCTCGAATCTATTGGCTCGTCCATATAGCAGGCTGGAAAATTTTCGAAATTAGAATATTCCACTTGATTAAGGCATTTAGAATGAAAATGTGTTTCTCACTTTTTTCCATAAGAGAACAAGATTAACAATTTGGCACGATTACGCTTTTCTCCTTTCACATCTAAGTTAAATGTCTTCATTTTAATTTTTTTCTGTTTCTTTTTCTGTAATGAAACTAATCTATCTCAACGTCATTTCAAGTTGCATTCTCACATTTATGGAATTAAACTTCGAAACAAAAATAATGCCTTTTGTAATTAGAAAATAAATCTAACAGTTGTACGAAATTTTAATTTTAATATCGCTTCCAGAAAAAATGCGGAAAATTTTACTTTTTGGGCATATTCCATCAGGACATTTCTCACAAACTCGAGTATTTTTAACCGGATCATGCCAATAGCCTTCCGCACAGTGTACAACACAATATTCTCCTTGAATAAGCGTCTCACCTACAATTTTTTAGAAAAACTTATTCTGTGTTTTCATGATGACTTAAAACTTTATATATGCATAGAAAACCTTTTTCTATTTGTTCCCGATCTGAGAATACAAGCATTGACAAAAAAATAGCTTCCTACACTCTACTAATATCTTGAAGTGTTATTATTGTTTTATTTACCTGTCCTAATCTTGCATTAACTTTAACAAAAACCGTTTTTAAAAAATACTTTAAGCATAGAGTATAGTTGGTCTAAAAATGAACTGATATGATAAACAAATTCTACTGTACTGAGCATCTTTTGATATTTTCAAGAGTGACCTGGACATCGCTCCACACAATAACGATCATAGGTGTATCGTGGATTAGAATGATTCACAGTCATTTTCAACTTTCGATCATAGTCTGTCAATCCATTACACTTGTCCACACATTTCGAATCCTGCTCTAACTTAGCACAAGCCTAAGAAACTAATTATTAGTCATGTGCTAAAAAATAGAATTATTTTACAGCTAAATTGCTAATTTTCAGGATTTCTCACAGAAATCAAGTCGAAAAGTTCAATATTTTATTTCGGTAGACCTTTTTGAGAAGCCAAAAAATTTAGAATTGTCTTTCAAAGAATTCTCTTAAAATTAATTTTTATTCAAAATAATTCACCAATTATTTTGGATTTTTTTTTGTTTACTCTAAATGATATTCGCCATCCTCTCTCATTGCTTTAAAAGATAGCAAAGAGCAATGCCAGAGTTCAGTGCTAACTTTTATATGCAAACATATCCTCAAAAATCCAAACGTGTTAAAAAAAAAAATGTATAATGACGAACTATGCAAGCGCTTTTGCCTTCACCAAAACAACCCGCTGCGCATGCCTCGTCACAGCAATGTGTCCTGTTGTCACCTTGATAACACATTTGTGATGGACAGTCTTTTGGGCATATTTCACGATACACTATAATTGGAAAAAAAAATTCAATTTTTCAATGAATTTTCAGACATATTCTAAACTAACTTTAAGAAACAATGTAAACTTAAGGATAGAAATATTCTCCAAAACAAGTTATTCCCTTTTCATGCTTGAGGTAAATTTTAAACTATGTTGTAAACAATTGGACAGATTGGGAACAGATAGACCTGTTTGACACATATTTGTGGTCGGTCCCCAACAATATTTGCCACATTTTTCTGCACATTTGCTTTGAGCCTGATCACATTTTCCAAAATTATTCATAAATTGGATTCGTAATTTACTGGCTTTACCAATAATCTAAATTTTCTTATTTCTGATAGCCATTTGAAAACTCTTATTGGATTTATCATTTTTAGGAAATTACTTCACAAAGTGAATTTAAATAACTTTGAATTATACTTCATTGTAGGACACGGTAGTGTTCCAATTGCATAAATATGGATTGTGCATCAACACTATATTACCACGTTCAACACCTGAAAGAAAAGAGCATTTCAGATTATTCCAAATGGATTGACATAAAATATGCAAACAATCTTTCCTTTTTTGTAAAGGAATTAAAAAGAGAGAATAGTAGAAAAAGCTATTGTTTTTGTTAAGAAATGTGATGAGCTGGGTGACACATCTATTAGGTTAATTGTAATTTGAACTTACTTCTCAACTTTGGCAGGTTGACATATTTCAAATTATCGTTGTAACTTATGTCTATTGCTGCTATTTCATCATGTCGCGTGTCGCCCCAAATTATTTCCAAATTTCGCAACGTTATTTGATTGAAATCATTCGAATAGATTAGCAAGTAACCAGTGATCTAAAAAATTATTTATAACGAAAGATTGATTCTGTAAATCATGCGATTTCGATTTGTGGAAACAAATTTTTGGTGTAAACTTTATTTCAGGTAAGTTGACTGAATCGATCCCGAAAGCCTCGAAGACAATAAAGAGTTCCTGGCCATTATATGCATGAAATCGAATTCAGTTGTAAGAGAGAATCTATTCAGAAGACGAATATTACAAATTCTATGCAAACCAAAATGAGCCCAAGTAGTTTTTGCATAAACGATGGTGATTAATGAAGAAGATCGTTTAGAATTGCTCAAGAAGATATTAGCCAATTTTAATAAACATAAATCATAAAATACCTGTTGGATATGGTCTAAAAAGCTGAAAAATCGCTCCGGATCAGTTCCGTTCAGATCTTCATGTCGTATATAAGTTAGCTCTAGGTTTCCGTAAACTCGGGTACAATTCTGGTATTGTCTGATTAGCTGATTTATCCGATTCTTGTCCTGCAGTTCTGTTCGACTATTGTCCGTTCCAGAACAGACTAAAAATGCAGGAAATAATTGTTTCTGAAACTGATTGTTAGAATAGGCAATAAGCTTAATTATCGTTCATTATTTTCAATTTTCATCCTGAATACTACCCAAAGCAAATGCTGAAAAATCTCATCATTGATACTGATGAATAAATTATCATTTTTGGGAGAAGTTGGGAAAGATATCATTTTGGAATGAATTCATTGATAAAAAAAATATATTCATATATTTTAATGCAGAATATTTCTGATTATTTTGAGAGCAAATTAGGAATATCTTTGGAAACTGCGAAAAAGTAATATTAAATTGAATAGGATTTTGGGAAAATATTATTTAAAACTCTTAAACCTAAGCCGAAGATAAGTTTTCGGTCATAAAATTCGTGAATGAGCAAGCTAGCATAGTTCAGTTGAGTGGTACTGGAATTGAAGTTTATTTGTTATTAGTTCAAATCTTAGAATGTTGTATAAATTCACAGCTTTAAGAAAAATGAAAGTTCTTGTAAAAATCATTCCATATTAAGCGGTAAAACGAAAACTTATAAAAATCAAATTTTAAGATAGAAATAAAAATGTGATAAAGTAGTAAAAAGGTTAATAAAAAGCAGAAGTAACCTTAGCTTTTTATAAGTACCAGAAAATATCTAGAAGTGGAGGAATTTTTCCAATCTGAAAGCATTCCGGAGTAAAACAAGAAATTTTAATTCTAATAGGCAGTGATTAATCTTTTATTGCTGTTAGCAAAACGGAATAAAATGAGAGATTTAAAAAAATAACCGCATTTAGTGAGGATGTCCTTATCATCGCAATTCCTTCGCCAACTTTTACAAAACAACGAATTTACGTCAGTTAGAAAATTTAACGATAGCAGTAGTGTAAGTCTTTCAGAGAGATACCGTAAAGCAGTCATTGTAGTCTCAAAAAGCTTCCGAAGGAAATCGATTTGAAGAAGTTTAAAGCAAGAGAGTTAACTTGAAGATATTTTTTGTAACTTGGAAAATGAAGAAAAAGGAGAATAGACCGGAACTTTTCTCTTTACTTTCCTTCTTTTCCTATTTCAGTCAATTTTTTCCGCAATGATTTGAAATTCTCTATGAAGTAATAATTAAGTTTACGAGGTGAGAGTACCGTCTCTCAATAAAGTAAATCCTAAAAATAATCATTGAAATGGGCTCGAAATATAATTAACTCTGAATCATTAGTGCACTGGAAAAATATTTAACAATGCATGCTTTCTATTTCTCTCTATATTTTCTGTTCTAGACAAATTTTATTTTCCTTTAAATGGAATAAATTGTTGCTTTTTCAATTTCTAATCTATTCCAAATAAACACTCCCAACTTTAAATTCTCATTTCATATTAACTCAATGTTGGATGGATTTGATATTAATATGAAAAAAAGAATATAATGATTAAAAAAAAAGTTGATTAGTATAGCTTGCTAACAGTAATCGTTCTTGGAAGTAGTATATTAATTAATATTACTCTTTTTGGAAGATACACTTTTATTTTAAACTTTAAAGTTTCAAGAGAGGTATGAATATAAGTGACACGACTTCTCAAAAATTTCCTATCCCATGCAGCACTTAGCCCTTGAAAGTCACTTTGTCCCCTTCTTTTTTATAATGTGGTAGAAAGAGACAATGTGTAACTTCAAATGACATGCAGCATTTTAAGGTACTAGTATATCGATCTGCTCCAATTAATTTAAAGAAATTACAAAAATTTTTTGTAACTGTTATTGTAGCACACAGAAAATTTAAAAACTTATGACGGGAGATTAAGAAACTAAAGGTGATGGTCAAAACGATTGGTTATGTTCTAATAATATTTAAAATCACCTTATCCATGTATTCTTGCTACAATTTTGGTAAATTTTTTTTCATACTTTTTAATAAATTTTGTGTTAGTAAAGAAAGAACAGCGAGAGTTTTTGTCAGGATAATATTTGTTATTTCATGCTAACATTTTGTGATTTTAAATTCGTAATTCTACAAAAAGTGTCTTACGAGAATAGAAGTGAAACGACGAAAATAAGCAAAAAAAGGAAAGTTAAAAAATGAAATGGAAAATCAAATTTTAAAGAAGTATAATTTTTTTATAATAATATAAAAATATAATAATAATAAATATAACTAGAAAAAATATAATTTTAGAAATAAAATAATAAATCACCTTAATGAGTTAAACAAACAGGAAAAATTTAATCTTTATTAGTCGCTGATAGCATGATAGTTTACATTATACTTTAAACTTGCGTTATTTTTAGCTTTTTTTTTTTTGTAAGAAATGGAAAAAGAAAATGAATAACAAGGATTGATCATGAAAACCGAATTCAATTTCAAAACAGTTCTTAGAATAAATGAAAATTACTGCCCAATTATCACATATTTATCTATTTTTAGATTTGTTCCTGATGTCATTGATAGCATAGCAGTAACCAGTTTTGAAATAAAATTCCTGACAGGAAATCAAATTCTCTGACATTTATAAATACTTTGTATTTCAAAATATTAACATGAGAGACTCGATTTTGATTTCTTGAGCATTCGGCTAGGTTTAATACCAAAGAAAATCAAAGGAAAAAAAGTTATTTATTTTCCTAGTTTGCTGGTTTTAATCTTGACTTGAGTTTTGTTATTTAAAGTACAGTTGGGATTAATGCAGTAGTCATAAGATCAGTTTCGTTTATAGTAACCAGTTTTAAATTTAAATTCTGCTCAAACCTGTACATTCTGGAATTTTTAAGATATCAAAACAAAGTTTCGACTAACAGTCTCGAGGTTTGCCGTATAAATAATCGATTTTCCTTTTCGCATTTACCCAGTTCAGTATCAGCAATACTAGTGAGACTATCAATTTCCAATTGTGATGCATTGATGAATGTACGGGAGGATTTGCGTATGCTTGAAAATTTGTTTAAAATTTACCTATCTGAAATTATTTATTTTTCAGGACTAAAAAGAAATTTATTTTTGGTGTAAATAAAAATCTGAAAACGAAGTAACAACGCAAAATTTTCTTAATTTCTCCTTTTACCTTTTCATTACGAAAGTCTTTTTATCTCATTTCAAGAATGCTCACCTTGAAAACAATTAGAAATGATAGCTTCCTCGTAAGTTTTCTTTCCAGATCAAATTCATCCGCTACAAAATAAGGATTTACGGTCTTGAGTTATTCAAAAATAAATCAAAAGAAGACGATTTAAGCAGGGGAAACAGTAATACTTAATGCTTTATATTAATTCTTTAAAAAGGAAGATTCAAAAATTTTCTTCTAAAGCAAAAACTAGAAAATCTTTTTTATTTATTTTTTTCTATTCCTGTCAGATTCCTTCTTTTCATTAAGATGATTAATAGTCTTGCAAGTATCGAAGAAATCACTTGAGAATGCTATAACTGTTAGTCAAAAATATGAAATGTTACATAGTTTACTGTCGTTGTGTCTTCTGCAATCCCTTGACTGTGTCGTAACCTCCGGCAACTACCCAAGTACCAAGTTGCTAACAATCGAGATAGAGGCAAAGCCAAACGATAGTAGCAACACTCGAAGAATGAATAATGCTAACGCTCGATGTATATATGCGGTGGTATATGGATGTCGGAAAATACAGAATTATGAAAACGCATTACATGTGGAGAAGCATAAAAGTTAAAATTTAGTCAAAACTAAATCATTTCATTACAAACGGAGTTTGGATTCTTAGCTAAATGTTTTCCTCTCACCGATATTTTGATCATTCCACCCAGTTTATTTTTAGGCAATCCCAAAATCTATTCAAATCTAATCTCTGGAAGAGAACTATAAACTTAAATTATAAGCATTAAGATCGATCCATCAACATAGAAGCAATTTTAAATCAAAAATTTTGTAGTTATTGAAACGAAATAGAAGAAGAAATTGTAACGAAAAAATAGATCCGCACATGATATCGTTCACTAATACACTTATCCTTTTGTTAGACTTGAGTTCACGTTTCGTTCTCATATTTTTAAATAAATATGAGTGTGTTGGGTTAAGAAATTTTAATCAAATTTAGTTTAATTTTCTTTAATTGATAAATATCCAGATTTAACATGAAAAAGCCACAGGTAAAATGAATTCGATCACAGATTAGTCAATACACACTGATAATATGTACCAGTCAACCCAAAACTCCTAAGATGAATCTCCGATTGTATAAAACGCAAAAAGTGTTGCTGTCTTAGCAATGTACAAGAATCAGATCCCCACATAATGAAGTTTAAAAATCCTAAGAGAAACACCCGCGACAGAAATGAAATCATCTAATTTAAATGATAATCATATTAAAGCTGCCATATTACCGAGAAAATTCTGCGAGAATGAAGAACAATTCTTATTCACTGCTTATATACAACAAACTATTATGCAAAACTGATCCCATAAAAACGAAAAGATTTTTGAAACGGAAAAATATTGAAGAGTTTTTATTTTCTGTTTAATGTTTACATTCCCGCGTGCTTGCATCTCCTTCGCATTCACTCGTCATAGGAAAAAAAAAAGGATGATGGTACTGTTATAATTATTCATAATTGTGAAGTGGTTATTTGTTAATTTAAAAGTCATTAATCATTAATTAGGTTAAACTTACTCGGAATCCATAACAACCATGCTAAAACTGTTTCAGTTGTAACATCTTGGCAATATTTCAGTATCTGGTTTCTGCTGTGAAGTTTCCCAACAGATCTGGTAAGCAGTTACCCTTTTCATTATCGATTCAAAGTAATCATATGGCTCATTCAAAACATCCTTCACCTCAGTCTATCACACCTTTGGCATTCATCTGATCAGTTATGAGATAAAATATCACATATTTTCTACGAAAAATTTTTCAAAGATCTAATGTTTCCGAACAGTTTTCAAATGAGCACGTTGATTGTTTAAATGCCATCGCGATTATGATCATTTACGGAGAATCGATACACACGGATGCATATCATATACATAAGAAACACTGTAAAGGAATAGAATGACGTTGGGATACTTTCTTGACGTGAAAGTATTTGTGAATTTGATGAAGACATTTTGGGAAGGCAGTGAGTGATGCTTAAATGTGTGCAAATGCTTATCAGCTTTTATACCTTCCTCTGTTAGTGATGTTACTACTATCGCATGTCGTGCAACAGAAATGCTATTAAGCATAAGCTAGCTGTGCAGACCTGTCCGAGCGCTATGCTTCCGTCAATTGATAAGTCCTTTATTCAGCATTTTTAATTTAATATTTATGACGTGTTACATTTCATTTGTTTTAAGATTAGATGCTTTGTCAGATATTCCGACAGATTCTGAACTCTTTCTTTCTAATTCAGATCTTCCAATTTTATTTTCAATCTAACTCAGTGAACTGACTTCTTTAACGATTATAAACAACTTCTCTTGGTAATTAGTGTTATTTTTGAAATATAAACAACAGATCCTTAAAAGCTTCCTTTACTTTTTTATGAGAAATATTTTGAATTCCTTCCGAAGAAATTATGATTTTTTATTTACTGCGTTTACTATTTCCAATATGTAGTTAGAAAAATTCTCGTTCATAGCTCTTGAGTTTAGTAAACTTTCAATTTTTTCAAAACACATTTTTTTTTATAGAAATGATTTTATGTTGTAGTCTTGATTTCAAGAGTATCATAACTTTTAGCCCTAATTTTTAATAACAGTTGTTTTCTAATTGCGACACCATGTCGTAATTTACAATACAACAGCCAGCAATAGCAGCTATCTTCCAAATAAATGCATGTTGAATTCCTGCTTTCAAAGATTTCATGTAAAGGAAAGTTCATTAATTCCATACAAAAGAATTTGAAAAAAAAAAAGTGTTCCATTAAAATTAAATCATATCAGGCTCCATTAAAATTAAAGCCTGAGCTAAAGTAAACATTACAATAATTTAAGGTTTAAATAAAAAGATATTTCGGAGATTTAAATATATGAAATAAAAAACATCGACATCTGCACTGTTCAAAAAACTGATAAGTTAGAAACAAAGTGAGTTAAGTCCGAATCTGAATTGTTCAAAAGAAGATTTTTCCGACATCCAAATTTATACTTGCGAACATTTGTATGACTCGAGCTTATCTCCCCTCCTCCCTCTTTTTACTTACAAGCATTCGAGCAAGGAAATTACATCTAAAGCAATTATTCTTAAAAAGACAAAAGATGGGTTTACTTTAAAATTTTTTTACTTGAATCCCGCTAACCCGCTATTTCTCGACGGTGGATGAGAAATGCGTTTTAGAATTGGATCATTAACTCGTCAAGTGATTTAAATCTCAGTGATTTATTTATTTGTTTGAAATGAGGATTAGTCAGCATTGTAAATTAAATCCCAAAACTTCGGGCAAGAATTTGACTACAATTACCATCACTGAGTCATGAAAAGAAAATCTGCTGAAGAAACTTATCATTAAAACTGCTGATCTTGCATTAAATGATTGAGGAACGAATAATAAAATGTTCGGAAATAATAACAAGTAATAGGAAGCTAAGATGACCGTAAAATAAAAGTGATAATGGATAGAAATTTTTTCTTTCATTTTCTTTTGCTTTACAAACAGTGTTTTCCAGAAAAAGTCTTAGTTTTATTCCATTGACCCTTTTTTTTTATTCCATTTTTTTAGGAAATAAATTCCTTTGAAAACATTTTGCACAACCTATTTTAAAAAAAAACAATCGGAATTTAACAAAAAAATTTGCAAATCAGTGAAGGAAATTTTTAATACATTTAAAAGGAGCTAAAAACAAAGTTCTAATTTGTTGAACTAAATCTTTATTACTAAAATACTAGAAACTTTCTTAGTCATATAAGCACGTACCAGATTTCCCACATTAAAATTACCACACGGACTGTTTAGCGTGGAAGAAAAAAGACGAAAATGAATAACCTTTAGCCTCCCAATCTTTAAATACGACATTAATACTAAGACGAGGTAACATGAACTGCAATAGCAGTAATTGAGAGTTTAAAGAACATAAAGATTAAGTGGAATTATTCGTAAGTTTATTTCAAGAAGTTCTCAGAAATCATATTTGCAAGAGATTGCACACAGTGTTAGTTCTATAACAGTACAAAATAGAAACAAGCAAATGGGAGGCTGAAATAACCATAAATTATGTGAAAGGTAAGAAATAGAAATGTCATATTTGAAAATGTGATCATCTTAAAGGTTAATGGAAAGCATGGTTTTGAGAAAAGATGAAATGTTTGAAAATGGCGCTGAAAGGTCACTAGCATGAAAATTTTATATAATGAAAAACAAAAGGAAATGTCCTAAACTATCTACCACTATTAATCGAGAACATCATTTTTTAGTGTCAGATTTTTTCCAAGAATTTCTTTTCCTAGAAAGAAACAGCAAGAAAGCATTCAAGTCAGTGATCATTTAAAAAATTTTTGAACTCAAACCTAAAAAAATGTTGTTTCAGTTGACATAATAATAAAATAAGGCGTTAATTTGCAATCTTCAAGTTGATTAATATCGCTTCTCGAATATGCAAAAGAAGGATAGAACCAAATCATTTAAATTATTTTAAAACTTAATCCATTGACAATCAAACTCGAAAGTTATCTCGGAAATTTCCTCTGATGAAAACAGAAATTGCGATTATTTCAAAACCTGTATGATAAAAGATAGTGGGGAGGAAGTCAATCCAGTAGTACTAAAAAACACAAATTAAAAAAAAAAAATTAATCAATTTCTTCCTCTCACTTACATTACTTAAAAGATGCAATTATCTGTAACACTTATTCTTAAAATCTTTTATTCCCAAGCAATTAATATTTCCAAATATCTTTAGTGATATCAACAGAGCTAGTAGACTATCAAAATTTTCTTTCGAATTTTAAAATTTCTGAAAATTTCATAGATTCTAAGCATTCTTTTTAGGAAAACACGAACAAAAATTAAAATCAAAAGATAAGAAAACTACCTAGGACATATCAAAGTGTTGGGTTTACTTTAAAGTGCCTAAATCAATTAGATGCCCATTTTTCAAACGGGAGTCTGACCACTCAAGATAAGTGGATTAAATTAGTACTGCCGCCACTGACAAAAGGTTAGAACGGGTCAAGCTGGAAAAAAAGAAAGGAGGAAACAAAAAAGTCAAGGAAATTGCTCTTAGGAGTTTGCAGCAATGTCGGAAGATAAAGTAACTTCATTTGTTTAAAAATCAAGTTTTATTTCCTATATTTACTTCTCCTGTTTCCTATATTTGTTTCGAAATATGCAAAGCGAAAAGGATTTATTTCTGCAAAAAAAAAATTCAGGAAAACATGCAAAAAGCATTCAAATGTCACTAACTATTCTAAAAAAACTACTCTCCTCCCTTACAAAAGAAGGTATTTCTTGAATCAAAAAAAAAACGAGTAAGAAAGAAGAATTAAAAATGATACTTAACTCTTTCCTGAATATCTAATCGTTGATCCGGAATTTAATAAAATAAGAGTGTCAGCAAGAGAGGGATCATCAGAATAATTTGAATTCAGTATAAAAAGTACTGTAGGCTGTACTTGTCGCGGATTTTAACATCGCGAAACACTAAACAAATGTTAACAATGCTTAATATAGCAATCCATTGATGTCTTTTACAGTTCATCATAATGATTTAATTGACTTTTGATCTTATATCAATTCATATACTATGAGCATCTATCATGTAATGTCTATTGCAACTCATAGTAGCCATTTATCATAATGTCTAGACAAACCATTGTACTCTCTTTCGTGATATCCATTCAATTCATCGTGATATCCATTTTTAAACCTATTGTTAAAGTTACTTACTATCATCCTTTGTACAAAACTGTCTAATTACAAACCGCTCCCACATTTTAACACATATAATGTAAGATAACTGCTATATAAGGATCACCCTTGTTAAAAGATTTAGTATATGTGTAATTTATCGCTAAGGACCGACGATTCCAATTTCAATTGTTCTCTATCAACGTTTTGTCCTATTACTTCTGCTAATAAAGAACTTGGATTATATTTCTGTTACCTCATGCATTTACATTTACATCCAAGACAATCTCCCTGCGATCAAACACCTCTCCCAATATTATTAATTAAACAATAAAGACCTCCCACCACAGTACTAAAGTTAAATACTTCTACTTTCACAAAAGATTAGAAGTATTAAGAAATGTGTCATTCACAAAGTATTAAGAAATGTGTCAACAGTTCAGAAATGTTCTACTCAAATACAGTTTATTGTCTAAAAAGACTGTTTTTTTTCCAATGGAAAAACATTAAAACTCTTTCATGATAAATGTGTACGCAAAATGCATATACGAGTGTTGGCGCAATAATAGTATATTTTTATTACTGGTAAAAAGTTGAATGGAATATGAAAATTAAAGGAAGAATTGAAATTTTTATTAACAACGACAACTAACTTTAGTTTTAAAAGTACTAGCCAATGCGGAAATGATAAGAGATTATTTGAACGCTGGATAACGTCTCCTTATTCACACAGGAATATACTATTTTTAAGTAATATTTTTTCCATTTAAAAAAGCTTTTACAGTTATCAAATCGATATTATCATCTATTGACACCGCGTACCTTGAAACAAAAACTGGAACACATAGCTAATTGCAAGTTAAAGAGAAGTGAGAGACAGGAGAGGAGAAAAGGATGACGACTGGAAAGATAACAACTGTAACGTTATTCGTTCCTTTACAGGTTTGGATATGAATGTATCCATTGGTTTCTTTCACCGAACCCTCTCCAAAAGTGTTCGAAGAGGTAACGAATGACGGGTGGGTACTTCGTTTGCATAAAAAGCGGAGAAGAATGGGACGCGCGATGTGCGCCATGGTCGAGGACGACACACATTCTTCCCTTCCCTTTATGCTTCTCGGAGCTTCTATCTAAAGCAAGCAGAATTTTATTTTGTGATGTACATATATATATATAATATATATATGGTTCTTCTTGATGATTCTCGCATCTTCTGATACTTATTGATTCAGTGGTCATTAAATCTTATTCTATGTTTTTTATTATTCTTTTTTTTTTATTGTTTTTATTCTTATTATGAGTTTTTACTAAAAACGCTTGATCGCTTGTCATTATCATCTGGAGTCAAATGTAGTCTAATAGAAGAAAAAAACAGAAAGAAATATATTTTCCACATTTGATATCGATATTACATGACACTTATGTGCTGACCAGTCGGTAATTATTTTAATAGAGCTAGAAAAGATAAACGAAATAGGATCCTAGACAAGTATCCTTATATGTACCAATTTCTCAGTCATCTCTCAATTGTTGCACCGTCACTGATGTATGTACTCACGTGATTACATTGTAGATAAAAAGTTAAAAACAAGAAAAAGAACAATCATGTCTCACTACTAGAAAATTTTTGACTAAAAAGCATGAAATCAAATTTGACTTTGTCTTGTCGATCATTTTATTTTCGGATTGATTCAAATACGGGACTGAGAACGGATGATAGTTAGCAGTAAAGAATTATAATTTGATAGATAGTATTGCATTAACATGAAAGATAATTAAATACATAGTTTATCGATGTAAATGGAATAATAAGAAAAACGACAGGTAAACAAATACGATTTCTACTTTTAGCTATATTTTACGCGGAATTCCTTGCCGGCTGCAATTGCATCATTTTCATATAATCCCGGACATATTTACTTTTGCAAGGATGCAAAAGTAATGACAGCTACAATTTTGTTAGTTTAGTTTGTTAGTTTCTTGACATATGGATAATCAGTGGATGATTCTCAATAGTAATAACATATTATTCCTTAAAAAAAGAAAAAAAAAACAAGTTTTTTTGGAATACTTTCACGATTCTAATCGCTCTCTTGATAAAAGTATCATTTCAAATATTGCAATGATAAAAATTTACTGGTTGCTTAAGGCTCTTTAAATGAATCATTCATATCGAGCTAATGAAATCTTTACTGTTATCTTCCTTTCTTTATAAATTATACGGTCTAAAAATTGCAAGGAATGCATTTAATTATGTTGTCCTCCAACTAACGCAAAAAGAAAAAAGAAAAAAAAAATTAGAAAAGGAAACTTCAAAGTAGACAATTATGCTGAACAACAGCATTCATTCTGAAAACTAAATGACTCGAAAACTCCGGCAGTTGAATTTTTGTACGATGCATTATGCTATTAAACAGAAAACTGTTTTGAATGAACTAGTTCCGAGACCGGTTCAGGTGAATAACACTTTCCGTTTACATCCATTCATTACAGTGATGCTTTTACATAAATTTATTTATTAAGGTTTTTTAAATTTGAGCCATATGCACTACTAGCATGGAGCATTTGCCTAATCAGAAGTAAACGATCAATTATCTAAGCGTCCATATCTAAATTTGTCAATCCCTGGCTTTCAAACTAAGTGTATTTTTTAGAATGGATTAGATAGCTGAGGAAAAGAATTTCAGTAGCATTCTTTGTAAAGTGAACCAACTGTTGATAAACTACAGAGCAAGATTTCGAAGTATTGCAGACAATAACCGTCCGTTTGATCCTTTTTCAACTTACTTGAGATTCACCTGTATCCGTGGATGTTTTTGCAAACAGTAGAGAATTTCCATCCTTAAAAGAAAATTTATCGAAAACCGAAGAAACAACAACGATATAAATAATAAAGTGATGAATGTGGTGAAGGTCATTCGACCGAATATGCTATAATTGTCCTTAATCGGTTATAAATTATTGTACGTTACTGAGAGCCTCCTATTCTATCTTATCCTTTATATCAGTTTCATCCTATTTCGTTCCTTTACTCATCCGAATCCACTTGAAAAAACGAAGTTCAAGGTCGGACTTTCCTCTCGCAATCAACGAAAGACTATTCTCGGTTGCACATTACATTCATATATCGTTTAAACTTCTTAAGGCTTCTGTCGTTTATTTCTTCTGGTCACTTGTAACATTAAAGATTTTAGAAGTATGTCAGTTTTAAGGTTTCAACTCCTCATTTCATTATGTACACAAAATTTTTCGACTGTAAAAAAGGATGGCAATCTGACTTCATTTCTATTTAGCAGGTTATCAAGAAACTTGAACTTGTAAAACTAACTCAATTATGCATAGTGAACTTCTAGAAATTCATGTTTATAGAATCTAAAAATATCAACTGCGCACGAATTGGAATCTACTGGAATTTCAAATGAAATTCTCCAAAAATAGATTTTCCTCATGAACGCTATCAGAATTTCAATCCCCAGTTAAGTTCAAGGTTTTCTGCATAATCTTAAATCTCTATTAATTTGAAATTTCAGCCATTTACTTCTAATGAAACGGTACCCGAGATGATACCAATGAACAAATCTTCAATGCTGTTCGTTGTCCACTACTTATAACCAGAGCAGACAAAGGCAGCAATCCGGACTTCCTTCCGGTGACCTTGAAATGAAAGATGAAACGAAAATAGTATAATTACCCATCTGACGAATAATGAAAGCAGAGTGTGTGGAACAAAATTTACATCCGATAAATTCATTTGTTTACTATAAAGCAGTCTTAAACTTCGATTTTCTGTACGGGAAAAATGTAAGGATTTTTAAATTAGCCTTGCCATAACATTTAACAAAATCAGAATGAATTAAGGATAAAAGAATAAAAATCTTGCACACCGAATGATCCTCCAGAAAAAGACTCGATAAAAAGAAATGGACTTCAAAAAACTTCATATGATTTCATGCAAAGTTTTATTTAAAATTCCTACTATATTTTGAAACAAAACTTATAAAAACCAAAGTTTTAGCAATTTATGGCTTACAAAAATGGAACACATGAATCAATCTTTTTTGTATTCATTCAAGAGAAGCAGAAACAAGCAAAAAATGACAACAGTTATGACACTAATACAGGTAAATTGATATTAACATATAAAAATATTCTGACGCCTTCCTAAACCAAAAAGACCCCTCCCTCCCCCCCCCCCCCCGAAAAAAAAAAAAAAAAAAAAGAAAAAAGACTAAATATTAGCTGTTCCTAAACTAGTCTTTAATTTGAATTAATCCATCACTATTTGGGCTTATTTTACCGAACCTACGCACGCAACATTACTCAAAGAACACCTAACTAAAGCAAGAGACTCGCTTGAAAAGCACCAGGACTGAAAACGAAACATATAATCACCTGCTTCTAGTTCCATATGAATACAGAAAACAAACTATTAAAACCCCTTTAAAAAATTATACATAGAATATTGCCATATTTACAAATAAAATGAGACCATACGAGTAAACATAACAAAGTTTTGAAGGATTAAAAAAAAAAATCATCCGCAATGCAAATAAGAAACTCGCTTACTAAGTCAAAAAAAAAAAAATGAATGAGCAAAAGAAAATATTTTTTAAAATGAAAACTAAAGAACGACATTCAGTCTCTAAACCGAAAGCTTCCATGAATTTGACTAATGAGTTTTGGAAAAATCTAAACAAGATCCTGTCCTGAAAAGAACAACCGAAATATCTAATTTGTACAGCCTCCTCAGATTAGCTTTTTAACTTACTCAAAAAAAAAAGCTTGATATGAAATTGCAAAACAACTCTAACTTGGCGACAACGTGTCATCAAAGATTTGCATAAGAGCAGTAAATTCATGTGATTGTGACTTATTCATACGATCCGCCAATAATGCAGCTTTAACCCTTATATTTGTCAGTTGTTGCATACACCTGCAAGATAGCAAACTAATCGAAATAAAATTTGAAAATCAGGTTTTGAAATGAAAACACAAATTGAAAAGGCAGCATGGAATATAGAACAGTTTCATTATTCAATTTACTCCCACAGATATTAAAAGCTTATGATTTTGCATGGTACGTAAATTTAATGCTAATATTTCTGAACCGCAAAATTAGATTCTACTTATAAGAACTTGAAACAAAGACAAACAATGTTTAGATATTTACTAAATGCTACAAACATCCAAGATGAAAGCAGATTACCATGGACCATATGTTCACATGTACTCCCAATCAGTTATTTCAGACGTATTATTCCCTTCACTTTTTCGTTACAAAATTAGCCTGAACTAACTTTATACATTTATTGTGTCGCTCTTCAGCAGGAATATCGACACCAATTTGAAAACGACGATGAGAACCAGTGCGAATCACATCTCCACAACCCGTAATTATTGCCCTGAGTGCACTTAATGCTACCTAAAGTGATTTATTTGAAATATGTCTTATAAAATTGCAATCATTTAAAATGAGAATATTAAAAAACACTGAACTCTGAAAATGAAGAAATGAATTTGAATTTCAGATGTCGAATGAACTTTAAACCGTTTTTGCATTTCAAAATGCAAAAAGTTTCCAGAGAATCCATCATGAAAATGCAACATCTTATGATTAACAAATTTTTTAGGAGTAGAAAAAATCTATTTCACAGTCTTGGCAATTAATGAATAAGGTTTAAGATGTGGGAAAATGTTTAGAAATCTTTAAAATCGCGGCTTCATCACTGCGTCACGCATGTCCTCCTCATGCAGAAAGCAGAAATCAAAAATATCCGCATTTCTACCGCAATTCCAGTTATTTTAGAATAATGGGAAGAATTGAATGAGACTTAGATAAGTTTTGTGAATTTGTTTATAATTAACCTCCACACAATCTTCCTGTTTATTGGCGAATAGTGGCTCGATATATGGCAGAATTGCAGTACAGAGTGTCAAATTCCAGACTGCAGGAATATGATTGAATGCGTCAATGAGTTCAACCAACACAGCTATATCATTGGATCGCGCAGCTTCTATGATCGCTGCTTCACATCCACGTGTTCGCCAACAGCGTAATACGTCTTCTAGCACCACACGTCGTTGACTGATTATTATTTCAAGTTTATTTAAACCGGCAATTATATCATCTAAGTTAAATGGTTCGTTCGGTATTTCTTGATCTCGACCCCAACATGACTGCTTTCGTTGGCACTGACGTTTCATTTCATCATTGCCACCAAAAGCATGGTTCTTCTCTTCCTAAAAATTAGTAATTTAGTGAAGTAAGAATTCCTAGAAAAATACTGCAAAACTCAGGAGTTCCACTCAGTAACACCGAAGTCATTGGAGTTTTTAAAAAACTCAAAAAAAAATTTCAAATCTATGAGATTACAAATCTGAAAGACCTTTTTTCTAGAGACGGTACATCGTATATCCGGCATTGAATTGGTTATTTCTATTGCTGTCGCTGAAGAAAAATATGATTAAATAATTTCAGCTATTTATTTTAGAATAATGGGAAGAATTGAATGATATTTAGATCAGCTTTGTGATATAATTCGGACATAATGAAAACTAAAATTCACTACCGTAAGAATGTCCTCCTTTTCGAGATGATAAATTAGACTGTGATGTGCGCAGTATTATACCACCTGCCTTTCGCGTACTACTGGCAACTTTCGCGTGGGTCAGTCTGAATTAGTTGTAAGATAAGGAGAAAGCCTCTAGCTTTAAGCTATCTAATTTGTATGTCTAAATAATTAAATATTTAAATCCTGAATTCTATTTCTGTTCAATCTATCTAGATGGGACGTAAAAATGAATTTTTCCGAAATAAATTTCATTATTCAAAGTTCAAGTTAATGCGTTATTTAGAACAAAGCTATCACTGTAATTCTAGTGTTCTAATGATGTAATTCAATACCAATACAGCAGTTTTCAATACCGACACATCAAAAGTGCCAATCCACCCATAATAAGGAATAGTTAACCAACCCACATCATTACAAAATTACTTGAATTCGAATAATACAGAAGCCCACATAATACAGAGGTCATATAGAAGCCCACAATCACTTACTTCGAATTTGTATCATTTCGCTTACTCTTCAATGCTTTTGCTTTACCAGGCATAGAAATAAGTGTCGTCAGTGGTGTAGTTGTCGTAGTCATAGCAACAACTGCATTCTGCAATGAATCCTCACTGTAATGTCTATTTCATGAACAAAAGTTCGATTTTTCATCTATGAAGATAGTTCAGCAAATTAATTTTCATTCTCCAAACCGTTAAATGTTCCTGAGAGTTATCAGACCGTTCAATCATTAGTTAATAACATAAATAACTTCACGCAAGACAAGTGGTTGAATTGGATCAATCCAAGAAACTTCTCATCATTTCTGCTAATAATTTGCAAAGAAAAAAGAGAGCAAACAACAATATTTCGTTCCGTCGTAATGGTTAAGACAGGAAATGAAGGTATCTAATCTGACTAAAACCAAATTACTGCAAAGTAAAAAGTAAATTGAATATAAATGCTTTGCATGTAAGGAATCGAAAATATTTTATGATGTCAAATAACCAAAAAAATCAAACGGAAGATATTACCTCTTTCTAGAAAAAATGATAATAAAACAATAAAAAGTCTTAAGGTAAGGCTTCTCAAGCTCCATAAATAATATTGTAATGCAGGAAAGAAACCACAAGTTTTCTCATTTAGTTCGCGTGAATGGAAAATTTAATCAAAGTTTATCAAACTTGATAGATTTAATCCTTAACTTATTTTTAATGCTCTTTGCCATAAATGTAGAGGCTTTAATAAGCAAAATTATGACTTCAGTTTTTATAGTCTTCAGAAAAAAGTCCTTTTTTGCAAAAGGTTACAATGCTATTTGAAGCACAAAAAATCTTTTGAAACTTTGTAGCTAATTTTACGTACAATGGAAATAGTAACGAACGTTTAAAAAAAAATTCAAATGTGAAAATCTAAATGAATTGTGCTTTCCAGAGACAGCTGTTCTAATTCAAGTCTTTGTAACTTCAGAGTTTCATAAAATACAAAGGTTTATTGTGGCTTACTTCAGTGCGTGGTACTACTCTTATAGGCCGTGAAGGTGGAGTGCGTGGCAGTGTATGCGTTGGTATAAATGCTCTGTGATCATTATAGTAATGCAGCGGTTCCTTCTTCTCCAGGAGTAAATCTTCCAACTCGTTCCTACTCGGATCAGCAGGACCTGTCTCCAACAGACCTTCTAATCTATTTGCTGCCTTCAATTTATCACTTCGATCTTTGTTTTCGATTGACTCTTCTTGAGCAAGAAGTTTCTAAAATGGACAAATCCTTTCAGTAAATGTTGGCATATAAAGACGTTCTTTCAACTATGAATAAATATAAACAAACAGTCTTAATCACATAACATAAAGTGAAACAAAAAAGACTTGAAACAGTGAATTGCGGATTATAAAAATGTAGAGAGGGTTCATTTTTTACCAATAACTAAAATTTTCAATCAACAATGGCACTAGCGATCTCCCCTCACATGATTTCTTTACAAATAACAAAAAACATTATTCCAAAGAAATACCTGAAGGATACACGCTAAAGCACATATCAGGAACACAAAATGCGACTCATTTGGTTGCTTGGTAACAAAATGAAAAAAGGGAAGAAGTAACTAAAACGACATAGTGACACCTTTCAAAATACTTTCGTATAGTTTCCCAAAGTACTCATTACAATCTATTTCTCTGATATTATTTAGTTAGTGTCCTCAAAATGGCCTCGCATCGCCTTCCTTCAAATCCTATCCCAGCTTCGGCTATTATTTATGATTCTAATTAATATTGTAATCATGAAAAACTTTTTTTTACGACAGTTATTTTGATAATGCAAAATCGAAGAAAAGTTCACAGTGCACAGTCGAAAAAAAAATTAGTATTTTAAAGGCGGAAGCAGTGTTTGCAAAGTTTTTCACTGAAAACCAGTACAAACATTTATTTCTGCAGTTCAACAAAGGAGTGGTGAATAAATTAAAAATGAATTTCCTGGTTTTTAAAATAATCTCTTTGAAAAAAATTATGCGCTTTTTATAAATTTATAACTTATTTATTTTCACAACCTCCCTGTCATCCTATTTTTGAAAACAATGAATAAAAGCTGATTCGCTTAGAGTGTTTTAAAAGTTGTATTTGTGTACAACTTCATGAAATGAAAGCTATATTACCGCATAAGGTGCCATCAATAACGACAAGCTGCTCAGTAACACTGATCGTCCCAGAACAAAAACTTCTGAATCCGAAGTTGCCAAACACAAGGAGTAATCCGTCTGTGGAACTATGCACTGCCCAAGCATTTCAAATGGTTCCCACGAGATTGCACTACATTTACTGCAAATAAAAGTAATTAATACTCACTAAATCCAGCTATAAAGTAACTGTTAGAATTGTATTAAATAACTTTTTATATGCACCGGCATCAAATTGATCTAACCAATCAGTCAAAAAAAAAGCCATACAACTTAAACTGAAGCTTTGATAAGTCAAGGAGGAATTAAAATTAATGGCATATTATTCAACGATCATTTGAAGACAACATTTCATTTCTCAGATTTTTTTCAGTGCTCTGTCTCCTTTCGCCTTTATAAATCTTATTTGTCTCGAAAAACTAGAAAATGTGAAATAAAAAAAAAAAATGTTTTGCAGAACAAACCGATCTGTAAGTGTGAGTAGAGCTGAGCCATCATTATGAAAAATAACTTCTCTGAGCGCACTATCTGCTGGATCACTTTGTGAGACGCATTCTTCGGTATCAATATCCCAGAAACGCACCAGCCGGTCCTCGGATCCCGTTGCCAACAAATATTCAGAGGGATGGAAGCATACATGCAATACCTATATTGAGAAATTTTCGATATCGTAATACGTGCTGATACGACAAAATTACTCTATTTCATCAGTGAATCAGATATCTAAAGTTGAAAAAGAAAATTTGTGAAACTAATTTTAGACAAATATTCATATTCCCTTATCTGAAAAATTATTGTCAGAAGATGAAAAAAAAATCAGTTTTTAAAGACAAGAAAAAAAATTTATTTTACAAATATTTTGAAAAAAAGGATCAAACTGAGCAATTTCAGAAAAAACATAGAACCTCCCGATCACATATTGCAGAACAGATTTAACTTTTTAATTACACAAAAATCAATCCTCTTTATTCTCAGCCACGGCATTATTGTAGCTGCAGTTCACCAAAACAGATCAATCTTCACAAGCCGCTTTCCGTATACAAGCTGGCATACACATTGAGTTCAGCTCTTTCGAATAATTAAGGCAAATTCCACTCCAATGATATTAGCATAACTATGTAAATTATTCGAAACCTGAAAACAAATCTGAGATCAACTAACCTGAGATGAAGAAGGAAGAGATCTGTACTCCTTGATACGTGGGTCCATTAAGCACAAATGATCAGAGCCTAGCGCTATGAAAGCATCATTCGGGCTATAAGATAAGCAGTTGGCTGGACGATCGAAACGCCGCACTAATACGTTAGCCGGATGTTGCCTTGTATCCCACAGAGTTACTGTGCAATCAGTAGCTGCCGATGCCCACATATATATGGATCTAAAATTAGTGTAATTCAGTGAGTTTCAACAACCAGCACTAATTTTTATCGTCACTGTTCAACGTTCATCGTCACTAGTCGCTTTTACAAAAACGATGAAAACATGGAGAATATGAATTTCAAGCCAGCTTAATCCAAATGCTTGTTTTATGCTAATTAGAAGTTCCAAATAACTAACCTATTACTTTGGGTTATGGAATTAATCAGTCCCTTATGACCAACCAATGTCCGCAATTCACGTCCTGAAATATTGCTTACAGGATTTCTTCTATTAGTCATACTCACGTTATGATCATAAACATTAAATGCAAAGATGAAATTAGAAGTTCTACAATTCTAGTTTCAAGTCACTCATAAAATTTAACGCTGTACAGAACTCAGCAGAAGAAATAATAAGCACCTATCGACGGTTTATTTAATTTTTATGTTTATTTTACTGGTGATTACACTAGTGACATTAAAGAATTTGTTTTCGTTAACCACCGCTTACTCTCTCCTTTTATTTATAGCAGTAATAATTAATAAGGCAGTGTAACACAATGGTATAAGTGATTTTAAAGAAGGAATGATTGAGTTTGTTTCTGAAAATGGAGGACAAAATGTAACATTACGAAAATTGCTGCATTTGAATGAAGTCATATTCGTGCAACTGGAAAGGGAACCATAACTCAACGGATCGTTTTATTTTGTGTTGTGTTATTGGTGATGCGTTCAGTGCTCACGGAAATATATATTAGTTTTAAGTTACTTTATTTAATTTACAGGAATTTCAAGTTTATAAATAATAACTAATAGGCTGATTATCTCCATTCTTTCTATAAGCAAAAGAAGAAAAAAAAAAAACCGTCCACTATGATGAAATATACATCACTAATCTTTCATTTAAAAAAGAAAAAAAACTCTGTACAGTAGTAACAAAAATGTGAAACTTTGAATGTTATTATATTGCATCTTTCTTTTTATTCTTCAGCCGAATTAAATCTAAACTTCAGAAATATTAAAAATAGGAAAAGCCTCAATCTTTTAACCCTCCTCATCATATAAGCGAATCCTTTACTACGTTTTTCATCCTACTTACGAAATCTTACAGTTAGGATGAATATTAAAACGTTAATTTCCCTAATAAACTGTAACTGATTTATTATTTCTCAAAATTCTATGAGATTACAGTGTAATATTCGCTTAAAGAACTAATCATTAAAGTAATCCTTCATGCAAAAAATTATAAATTTACCAGTTTGGAGATCCACGAGCTTAATGGCAGCTGAGGATGCATAAGCGAGATTTCGTTCATCGTGTGCTAAAGAAATACAGTTCGTAACCGAAGTTGGTGAGCCATTCAACTTCTGAAATCGAGAGTAGATCAAGTAAATAAGTAAAAGAGTCTGAACATGTGACCTTAAAAGACCATAAAACGTGGCAAATTTTGGATTTTTAGCAGCGAGAGAATCATATCATTTTCTCTGTTATGTAAAGATTAAAGTTGACAGTATCATAGAATTTCCTTTAGAATTTCTCTTCCCACTTTGTTTAGAATGTCAAATTTTAAAGGTCAAAAAATCATAGATAGTACTAAAAATAAACACTAAAGGAGTAAATAACGAGACATTATCTATGAGTCGACGAGACAGATGGATTGCTGCCGAACTGTTGTCACAGAAATTAGCAGCAGAATTTTGATTGCAAAATAATCGAGAAAAAGCAGAGGTGGTGCTCTTTGTGCAAGCAAATCATTTACGCACACTGAGACCAAATCTACATTTTTAGTATCATGTTTATTTATTTCTTGAGCCACTTGTGCCTCCATACTTATTGCATCGATCAAAGAAACTAATTCGGTAAGAAATTGTACAGAAGACTGTTAAGATTGTTGCATCAAAAAGATGCCATATTGCGTTGAATGGATGACCTTCTTTTAGGTTCCGATACGCAGCAGGTCAAGGCACCAAGTTCACACAGCAAGATCACAACGCAGGATTCAAATCCCATTCCACAACCCGTCAGATTTATCAACTTTATTTTCACAACGTAATTATATGAATTTGTATTATATTTATTAGATATTCTCCCAATACTTCGCTTACCAGATGGTCTTGTTCAGCAGTGGCATTAAACGGATAACACATAAGAGGTGGACAAGCGAACACATTTCTTGTTTGTACACCGATAACACCAACAGTTGCAGTATCTTCATTTACTACTCTCTCAACTGAAATTAAGCTTGTCCTTGGAGTTTCGTTCTTAGACTTTAACATTCCTAATTCAGTTGACTCAGAGCAGATAAAAGGAAACATCCATATAAGTTAGATATGAGAACATAATTATAGAAAATTACAATCGCTTGTTCTACTACATGATATAAGCAATATTCAGATAACTTCAAGAAAATAATAAACATACATAGAGACTGCATGTGCAGGAGCCCATCCGTCCAACTCGGATACCACCAATCACCAATGAATAATAAACTATAATTTTCAATACAATTGAAGTAAAATTTTTTATTTTCACTTATCTTTGGAAAACGTACGCAAGCAAACGTGCAGGTTTCGACAATAAAAATAATAAAAGGGCTCTTGAGAAATCTTTCACACTAATCATTTTCGATTAATTCAATTCATAAAAGTTAATCTCAAAGATTAGAATCAAAAAAACTTAACTAATCTTACCATGTTATGGCAAAATTAGCTAAATGCAGTAATTGAATTGGGAACTTGTTGGCAGTGTATACAGGAGCTAATTGTCATTCAGTCCGTTGATAAAAAAAAAAATGTAGGAAGGAGAGGAGGAAACACTGTAGTAATGTATGACGCTGTCACGCTAATGCATGCATGATATGAAAGAGTAAATACTACGCAGACGGCGAAGTCGGTGGAGAGACAGGCAAATGACCAATGTCGTCATCATCAGTCTGTCACACTAGAGGTATGCAAATCGATTATGTAATACAGAATTCAGCTGGAAGTATAATGCTTTTGAAGAATACCAAATACTGTGAATCATCCACCTCAATATTCAACTTCAATTTAATTGTCAATACCTGAACGACGTATAACCTTAACTTTCCAGACATAAAAAGTCCTAATGTTTCATTTGAAATGCACTACAGAAATATTCCATCACTTATTAAGTTTATCAAGTCATTCCGTATATTGCATTACAAACTTTCCTGCAAGAGTGCAAGAGGTTATTAGACGATCATCTCCAATCTATTTATAAATTAATGTTAAAAATCTGATAATGGTTGACCAATGTATGGGCAGTGTTTCCCTTACTTAACCAAAAGCTTGTGACTGAAATGCCGAGATTGCTCCCAACACAAGGCTTTAGAACATTTAAGGATGAGCTATATTATTCAACATTCTAACCTTTGCTTAGTTAAGCTATAATTTTCAACATTCCAATCTTTGTCTTTAGATCTAAATGAAGAAAGAAGCTGAAGTTTCTTTTGCAAATCAAATTAATCTAGACAGCTTTTGCTCCCTAGAACGAAATGTAAACCTGAATTAATCAAATAAATACAGTTTGCGGGTTGTAAATCAAAGTTTTAGTGAGAATAAACGGTGGTTAGTCAAACCGATCAACTAACGAAAATCAGTCCTAGTGATTATATCACAAATAAATATATCCAATTACTGCCTCTTAAGCCATTTTTCTGCAGTATGGAAAAAACAATAAGCTAACTATGATATGATACTCATAATATGGATGGTATATAAAAAAATGCTTTTTTCTAACTCAAATTCTATCACCTTCAAAAAGTATAATCTTGAAGAAAATATCGCCGATTTAATCCCATGAATTCCTGAATTGTACGATTATTCGTACCATCTGATAAGGGATGCCAGTGGAAAAAGTTTTGCTCTCTAATCCCCATGTTTTTCCTGTAGAAAATTAAGTAAATTCTGAGGGTGAAACAGTATTTGTTCCATCAAATTCCTATTCACAAAAAAAAAAAAAAATTAAATGAGAAGTTAGCATAAAAAAGACAAAAAATTTGAATCTAAAGAAAACAAACGGAGCTGGAAAACTTCTACTTTCATATGTAAGCCGTTAATGATAAACTGCTCCAGCGCTGATGTTCAAATGCAAATGTCTGAAATTTGATGAAAAAGTTTGAAATGACAATTAGTACACAAAAATTGCTAAGAAAAAACTAGTTCTGCAGAATGCTTTTAAATATTACAAACAAGTTGAATGATAATTGAATGGAAAGGAATAGCAATGAAAACGTAAAACCATAGGTATGTCGTTGTCAGCTTAGATCGTGTAATGATAATCTATTACAGAAAAGCTTTTATAACCACAGTAGTTTGAAGTGCTAACAATTTTTTTTTAAACCAGTTCGACAAACAGAAAAAGGAGTGAGTTGTAGTGCGAAGTTCATTTCATCCTTGAAACACCATAAAATAACAAAAGAGGAAAAGATGGAATTAAAAAGCTCACAGGGCTGTAACTCTCTGAATCACTATTATCTGTAGACACAGTTTATCCTCTGTAGAAAATCTATCTGTGAAGAGACACCATGTAGCTGTTATATAATGAAATCAGAAATTTTTGAAAATTTGAAATGGAATTAAAGAATGGCAAGTAAGGTGCAATCTGGCAAATTACTAAAGGACTGGATGAAATCTCAGGAAGAAATGGAAGATTGATGGATGAACTTTGCAAAAATAAAACAACGACACAATTTGGAAGAGAGCTGAAGAAAATTGTCAAAGGAAGCCAACATGTGCATCGACATATGGCATTTGAATCAAACCTTTAACGTTTAGGCCTATGACATCACCTTCCTTAGCAGCTCATTCGCATTGGCTGCTGGCCGCTAATTTGTGTTTTTACGTTCTACTACTTCACGTGGACAAAGAATACGCCGTCCAAAAATCCATAAAATTACGGATGGAAGAAAATTAAGCTCATCAGATCAATGTGTAAAGCACGGGGTGTTTATACGTAGTTTAAACTATCACGCAGCGACCAAAGACGTAAACAGTGAACGTAGCTGCAAATGATATAATTCAACGGGAAAAGAACTAAAGATTTTCGATGCTGTAGTACATAGAAACGGTCGAATTGTTGAAAACTTAAACATTACAAGAATCGACAGGACGCATTATTCAACCTTGTTCTTAAGCAGAACTAAGATGAGAATAAAAGTCAGTGGATGGAGCTGGATTAGAAAAAAATTTAGATGAAGAAATGAAATACACAACAAACATACTGCCCTCAAGTCTACTAGCGAAGATTTTGGAAATTCTTTTCCTGGCAGTATATTAATTCATGAATCAGTAATAGAAATCAAAAATTTGCAAAATTCTGTCAAACTTAAAAATGTTCATCATAAGTGAGTTTAACATGGTTCCGTAAAGTTCTTGAAGGGCGAATATAACCGTAAAAAGCTAAAAAGACAACCATATCTAAAAATCAATAACTAGTCAACAAAACGTACACCACAGTTCTGCATAGAGAGAAAAGCAAAGTTTAAAGGACTAGATTTAAAAGAATCTGAAACTTTGAAAAAAAGCAATACAAACTAAACTGTAATACAATAAAGATTAACTCTCTAATTAGTCCTAGTCACATAACTTGATTAAAGAAAGATTCCTAACATCGAAACTCCGGAAGAAACTCGAAAATTATACACAAAAATTATTTTAAATAATTCTTGCAAAGCAGAAAAAAACTATCCAGGGGATTCATATGCATAATGCGAACAGATGTCATCGACTCATGAAATGATATTTATTCAGAAAAGCTAGATGGATACTTAAGTGGACGATGTTTACTGTATCGCTAACAAATCGCTTTTCCCAAAGACTGTGGCATATGAGTATAACAATGTTTATGTCATTCAATAGTAATCATTTTGAGGACGTAAGAATGACAAACTGTGGATATCCTGAAGAAATACACAATGAAAAATTGTTTGTTTAAAGTTTACGGGCTTTTGGTTCATTCTAGCCATCTGAATAAATCGATAGCTTATGCTGAATATTCAAGCAATCAAAAAATCAATGCACTCATTTTTGTTCATTTCTAGAGAAAACATCGATAACTGGATGAGTGTTAACAGCGCACACCAAATACTGCAATAATGATGAAACTGATCTTAACAGGTAGTGGAAGTGGATGGGTTATTATTGCCTCAGGGAGGATTGATGGGAAGTTATAGTTTCCCACGGAATATTTGGGTGAATTTAAGAGAAACAATGGAAGGACGGAGTGAGTCATGAAAGCAAGCCTAGGAATCTAGGAAACCAGAGCAAAGATCCATCCAATAAACGGAGAATAATGGTGGTGATGATTATGGGAGGATGCGGTCAGTGGCACCTTAAGACGGAAGTGAATGAAGTATCGGAAACGTGGCACTTTAAGGCAGAGTCGCCACAAAATCTTTTGGAGGCATCGAACGAGCAGAAGCAACAAGACAATACATTAGGTCGTCCGGGATGACAGACTATTGCTGCGATGCCCGGCACTGCCATCACTCTTCCCGTACAGCTGCTAATTCGATGAAAGTGTCTCTACCAGTACTCGTGTCTACGTTTGGAGCAGCGTGCGTAACAAGGATGAAATGGCAGGTGACGATGGCGATCGGTGGTGGATTCAGTGTTCAGTGATGGAGCCAAGGGGAAATATCGGGCCTACTGGTGGAGATGGGCAGTACTATTCACACAGCTTTAGAGCTATTCGACTAGGCCATATGACATCAGGCTTCATTGCAGATAGAGTTGAGGACCGTGAGAAGGAGAAAGAGAGAGAGAGAGAGAAGGGCAGAGGCAGAGGTATACGACTAGTGATATCACAGTAATTAGTGATTTATGTGTACTGCTCAAATTCTCCTTTCAAAATATTCGATGTTACACATTTGTTCTCCGCCAGCTGTTGAATTCAAGAAAGTAAGGAGGTGCCTGTTGGCCAGGTCAGGAACGAGTAAGTGGTCATATCAGTAAGCAAGAGAGAGGTCAATGCCATCTATTTATTGTTATAGCTAAGTTGTTGAGAATTTCCTTACCGATTCATAAATATTGTTCTTCCAACTTACATACATGAGGTATTCCTATTAGACTGTGTCAGATTCTAAAAAGAGCTAAACAATAAATATGCAAATTTTTAGGTTTCCTTTCGATCATCTGCATTTGGCAGCTATTAGTTGTGTGAAGCGCTGCAATATCTGACAAATTCATTCAAGAGGGGACATAAAGTGGTTTAATGGAGTGATAAAAAAAATTAAATTCAGATGTTGCATTGAATTGTTGTCGTTTTAATCATCAAAATGTACTAATGATTCTTGATATAAATAGAACGACATGAGGACATATTTCCAACAAATTAACCTCTTAACAATTCACCTTTACTACTATATCACTAACATGACACTTCGTCGTTGTAAGCATAAAAAAAAACAAACATATTATTTACAAAAAGAAAACTCAATTCAGGTGCTGCTGCTTAAAAAGTAAACAACTTACATTTGGATCTGTGAATTGTTTGGAATTATAATAAAAATGATAAAATCATTCAATTCAACTGTATCACTATGTGGAAGCTTTAATAAATAAATTGGGTCAACCGATCAGTCTTCGTTTAAACGTGACAAGAATTGCCTGGTACCATTGAAAAGAACCATAACAACCTGCCAAGATGTCATATTCAGATAAGCTGTCAAATAATCAATAAACTTTAATTGACCTTTTATTATCGTTAAAAAAAAAAAAAAAAAAAAAAAAAGAAACGATGAAAGGGAAACTGTATGTAACGAGAAATAAAATGACTGGAGTCAGCAACTGCAGTTAACTGCTATCACAAATTATATATTAATGATAATAAGTTTGAACATTGTCTTCTGTTTTCCTACCTTGTAAAAATTTGTAAGATTTGTTTCGAATTTTTCATTTCCTTGAAAATTCCTCAAACAAATACGATCTTGCAAATAAACAGTCAAGAATCTATCTGTTTATTGCTGCTATTTTTTATCTTTTATAGAAGTTTTGGAAGTGAGATATGAAATTTCTGAAAAGCTAAAAGATGTCCAAATAATTTAAACTGAAGAAGAGAAATTTTTGAATTTAGTTGATTTCTAATTATTATCGTTTGTATAACCTTCAAGTAATGCATGCCATATACATTTTGCATTACATGAGCACACTTATCTACGAATGATAACAGTCTCCTTTTTCCATTACTGATAACAATGATGAAGATAAGTAATCAGAGCTGGCGAATAGTACTATTCCATCTCATTTACCTTATTTCTGTGCTGACCTGTTTGGAAATCAAAATTTAAAGGAAATATGTGAAGACGGAAGGTACAGAGATGATTTGACAGAATCCATTAGTAATGACTTAGATATCACTCAGCTAATGCCAGTGCAAAAAAATAATTTATTTTGAGAAATAGGTTCATGAAGACCAGCCAGTATATCAAAACTAGGCACATTAGAATTGTGATGCCTGATACTAATCACAGAATAAGTGAAAGAAACGAATGCAATCGTAAAAATATGATGGAATTTACACTTTTTCATTTCATAGGAAGAAAACAAAAAATGTTATGACCCGAAAATGTCAAGCACAAAAAAGGGTGGCTTCTCATTTTCTCTTCATTTTTTTTTTTTTTTTTTTCATTATTGTTCTTGAACTGTCAACAAACAACAAACGACTCATTCAAAAGGCAACTTTTCATTTGTAAATCATTTTGGCCTTTCATCACAGTAAACAGTAAATATTTGCTACCATGCACCAATTTCTCTAGAGTCAAATTCAAAAAATTAAGATGAACTTTGTGAATTTCTACTGTTCATTCATTAATGCTCAGTTCAAATCTCTTTTGAAAAATCAATAAAATCCATAAATCAATCTTCATTGTTCGAATATGTCGAGAAAAAAAAGAAAGTTTTATAATGTAGCTGCATAAATATTAATAGTATTGGTAACACTATTAGATTGCTTTAAGTGAATGTCATATCAAATAGTGTTTTTCTTGAGATTTTATCCAAACAAAAATTTTAAATTTATCTAAACAAATGAGCTTAACTAGGAATTAATTTTTGCTTACTCTTTAACCCTACAACTATTGCTACACGATCATAATACTTTCAAAGCAACGAAATGTGTTTATAATTTTCTTAAATATGTACAAACAGAAATGCATGACAACTCAATAATTTAATTGCAAAATATAAAACTTCAAATATTCTGTTAGAACTTGAAAAATTTCAACATATTTTCAAACATAATTATGATATTTTCAAAAAAGCTATTAAATGAAACAAAGTTAATGCGTAATTTTAGTACATTTTAATAAGAAATTCTCAAAATTTAATAATGGAATGAAATTTACATTCCTCTTTCAGTTATCCTTATCCGCAACAATTCATGTAGTTCCAATATCTGTCGAGAATAATCTCTCGATGTCCTAAATACAGCCACAGCATGATATACATACCGTCACATCCTTTTAATATATGTCTATAATAAAATTATAGACATATATAATATATGTCTAATAAAGTGTGAATAAATTGTTAACTTTCAAACAAATTTTTAGAAGTTTGGGTGACAAATCTTCGAGAATCGATCTACAGATCTATTAGTTCAATTTAATAGATAAATAATCATTCGCCATATTTTCTTGTACACACTGCATCATTCGTTCCTTTTAGCTAATCAATCATTTTATTCATTAAGAGCGATACCAACTGCAGTTGGAATCAATGGAAATAAATGAAATAAACATTCTGAAAGTTTTGATGGTTTCAGTGATTTTGATCTGTGAAAAGTGGATTAAATCTAGCTGAAATCTAAATGATAATGAAATATAAAACAAAATTTTACTGACAGTAAACATTTGAAATGGGCTCTATTACATTTCTTTAGCATTTAATAGAAAGTCTGCGCTTAAATATGCACTCTCAGTTAAGAAAAAAAAGGGAAGTTTCTATTCTAGCCATCCCCGCAATACCCACTAAACAAATGGACACAAATGAACCGAAATCAAATTAACATCTGAAAGAGTATGCATATTACTCGGCTGATACACTAGTAATGATGTCGGGTTACAATACTATCAAGTTTGCAAGTTGACTGATATTTCCAAAATTTCCAGATTAAAGATATTTCATTCAACCGATAATGTAATACTACTTCAAACGAATTTCAATAAGATAGTTCAAGTTACGACGAATTAGCATAATTAGTTGTAAAACTAAAGCTTCTTTATCAACGATTCTGTGGGCTCCAATAGAAATTATTATGTCGCATTTATTTTTATTAAATGTCAATTATTAATTAATATTTGGTCATTGCTACAACTAATCATCATTTTTCCTTATCCGCTATGTTAACATTTCCATTTGTATGATAAGAATTTTTAGGACTTCTTTCATTATTGATTCCGTTCAGTTCTCTATCATACTACAACTCGAACTTTCTATTCATGGTGATTGCTAACAGTAATGACAAATTAAATTGGATAAAATGTCTTGACACCAAAATGTTACTTCAAACAACTTCTCAGTCACAAGAATTCCATATCTGTTATGATTAGCCATTAGAACACCTATTTAAGCAAAAAGTTCTGTTAGTAATCATGCTCCATTCAATCCGTCTGTAAATCTTGTTTACTATGGATACAATCAACTAGAAGCCATAGTTACGTGCAAAGAATTATTTCCCTGATCTCAAATTTTATTCCTTGGTTACTGGTATAAGCCGACAGTTTGACTACGCTTATAAATGAAGCGGATGGAGTGAAGATTTTCATAAATACACAACTTGAAATTTAAGAAAATTAGCAATATCCAGTACACCTGTCAAGACATTATTTCACATGCTAGATGGGCAATAAGCCAACATTGCCGCCCTCTCACAAACGGCGAGTTAGAGAGAAGAAACAGCGAGATTGTACTTGCACTACAACAACACTAAATTCACATCAAAGGTGATAAAATCTCCACATTCGTGCCATCTTGTGTCCCCCAGCCAACTGATTGTTTAATCTCTAACAGGAATCTTCACGAAAAAAATCATCATAAATCCAAACGCTAAAAAAGGTAATTCATGCTAACACCAGAAACGAGATGCACTAGAGATATGAAGAAAAGTACGATAAGAAACTGATGAGTATATTCTGCAACACTGTGCACCTTTCCCCACACTCGATTTCCAGTAGTGATCATGCGCAAAACATAATTTGTTAAAAAATTATCAACATGATTAAAACATGAAATCTGTTATGCCACTATTGTGATACATTATTAGATGAAACACGTAACAATACTCCTAACAACAGAAATAAAACTGCGAAGTAATTGAAACTATTTTATGACAAATAACACAAAAAAGAAAAATTGATGGATCTATCATTAGGAAAACCTTCATATCAATTTGGCATTTTAGAATGGTTAGGAACTTCTCCCTCACCAGAAAATATGAAATAATTGCTAATAATTTCCGAAACCTTCCCGTCCATGTGATATTACCCCATTTTGGAAACCTGAAATGGAAAAATATGAGAAGCGACAAGCGAGAACAATGTAAAAGGTACATCAAAAAAAGTACTAATAAAAGAATTCATCAAAGCAACTAATTGGTACAAAGTAAAACTAGAAAAAAAAAAAACATTAGAAACTTATTAAAAAATGGAAATCAAAGCTGACACTGGCAACTTTAGCATACTGAAATACAAGTGACACTGAAATTGCTCAGTAAATTACCAAGTTTTGCAACAAATGAGATTCTTATCCCTAAACTTCAAAGAACTAAAAAATGATATATTCTAAAACAAACGGCTTGCAATTAATTGATTCGATTTTTATTTATTTTTTACGTAAGCGAAGTAACAATATCACTTTCCACATTTTCAGTTGTGGAATCCGTCTTTTGCGAAGATAGGATTTCTTTCTTAACATCCTTTTCTTCGTCACCTGTTACTTCTTCTGACAACACGATAACGTCTGATTCCATAGGTTCGTCCCCGACATCATTACCACCAACTTCATCTACTAATTGCAATTCCTTCTTTTCCTCAGCCTCACCATTTACTTTCGTAGGAGCTGAGTCCTTCTGAAACCCACATTTCCTTTACAAATTTCTCGAAATAAAGAATCAAATCAATTTATCCCTCACTACTCGAAGACCAATAAAAAAAAAACCTTTTTTGGCACTTTTTTATCATCCTTATCATCTTTTTTTTCCTTTTTCACATCTTTCTCATCCTTTTCAGAGGTCTTCTCTTCCTCCTTCGGATTTGGCATCAACTTTTCAGCCATACCGATCATTCGCTCGCCGATTCGGCGAAATTCCTGGATCGCACTTTTCATTTGTACAGTATCGTCCACAGAATTCTGCAACCTAACGAATTAATTTCAAAACTAAAATTGGTGTCACCTGCCTACCAGATTCTGAAAAAAAGATGGTAATAGCCAAACCTTCAAGCACTTTTCTGCATCATGCAGACGCTTCCGATATTTTTCAACATCTTCTTCCAACCTTTTTTTCTTTTTCTCTAGTACTTGAACATGTTTCGCACCATCCTCTACAGAATAAAAAAATTTGATAAAAATATTTTATAAATGTGAAGTAGTCACTGCCAATCTTTATTGCACAATAAGTAACCTTTCAAAATTTAAAAAATCTTTAACGATTACTCAGTTGTGCTTCCAATACATCGACCTTTTGTAACGCAGCATTGGAGTCAGATTCCATCTTTGAAACCTGCTCTAAAACTTGCGGTATATTCATAAGAGAACCCAAATATATTACAGATCCTGTTGCACTAATATCCGGTGCTTCACTCGTTGTTTTTTTGCTAGCATCAATCGATTCCTTCAATATATTACCTTAAACAGGATAAATTATAAAATATAAGGAAACTGATATTATGAAGCATAATAAAGCAACTAAAAGAACAACTTAAATATTTTAACTAGTAAACCGGAATAAACGCGAGCGGTTATGGACAGCTTAAAATGATGAAATACCAAAGGATGAAAAGACTGCAAACGAACTACCTTTCGCCAGTTGTTCAGTAGTAGGTGGATCCGATATCACACCGGGTCTGTATGTTACCGTACCATCTTTGTTTGCCCAACTATCGGTAAGATAGCGATAACTTATCCGATCACGTGATAAATACCTTTTTAGCAACTTCTGTACTTGTGCTCGGGAAATGTTCAAACCTATGGAAAATAGTATTTCCTCAAAATCTTTCTCCAATATATACCTGAAATATTTGCAATTGCATGTTCTTCGAATCTTTAAATTTTCTGGTAACAGACCTCCCAAACATGCAGCAAGTGTAAGAGGTATGCAAAAGAATCGAGAATACCATACTGCCTTTGTAATCTTTGGGATATTTTCCTAAAACATACCCGCAAAGATTCTGATCGAAATGAGCAAAAGCCTGAAAGACTGTCCGATCTATAACAATTGGCTTTCGTGCCTCAGCAAGAAATTTCCGTTGTTCTTCCTCTTTCTTCTCGTTTTCTTTCTTCTCCTCCTCAGACTTTTCAGCTTTATCTGTTTTGACACTTTCCATTCCTTCTATAAACAAGAACTTCCACCATTTCATTTTTGATTCAATTCAAAATATTTAGGATCTTACCTTTAAAATTAATTCTTATAAAAGCCAAACGATATACCTTCTACTCCTATAATTTCTGCAAGCTTTGCTTCCTCACGACGCTTCTTCTCTGATTCTTTATCTATAGCACAACTCAATGTTTTGTATGCAATAAACGCCTGTGAACGATCCAACATTTCACTAATACATTCTGCCATAACCGCTAACTAAAAAGCTCACTTTCGATAAGTTTTGAGAAATTATATGCAGACTTTACAATTGGAAAAGAAGTTAAAAAATCTTTTATTGGGATTATAAAATTAAAGCAATGAAAAGGACAAAATGCTGCCATCTCCCAAATGAAATAGCTCCTTTTATGGACTAAGTCTTTAGTCTAATTTATTAATTAGAATGGCAAATGTTCCCGTTTGGCTGAAATCTCTAATTTTATAGTGCGATGAAAAAATTTTTTTAAATACATTTATTCATTTATTTTGATTACTAATAAACTAATAAAGGTTAAAAGTTTCACTAAACTATATTGAACATTTCAATTAAAACAAAATACTGGAATATACCTCAAACGAATGCTCCTTATTATCTTCAATGCGATAATCTAACATTGTGTGAAGAGAGACTATTTTACAGTCAAATTTCCCTCCTTTAGCCATGCGGTTCGGATATACCAATATTCCTGGTTCCTTCGGAATTGTGAAATGACGCTCCAATGAAGCCTTTTTTTCCTTCTTTTCTTTTTCCTAGAAATGGAATTTATAACAATAATCTTAGTTATGCAATCTACAAAGCTCCAACTCTATAATAACTTTTTTTTTTCCAGTGTCAACTACTATTTTAACTGCTTTGTTAATATTGATCAAAGGAATTACTAAGCATGCAGCACATGCAATTCAGGAAGCATAACAAAACAGCTATTAGTGCACAGTCTTCAAATAATTGAATATTTAATAAAACCCACGAATTTTTCAACAGCTTTCTTGTCTTCATCAGTCAGTTCTTTCTCCTCATTTTCTTCTTGTGGTTTAGCTACCTCAATCTGAATGAAATAACAATAAGCAATCGTTTTCATACATGGAAGATAGAATGTTGTCTCGCAATTTTAAATTGATTCGAGCACTGGAAATTCATATCAGGGAAGAATTAAAAAAGCAAGATTAGCTATAAATTCATTTTTTGCTCACCATTCCTACTGCTGTCTTTAAACAAACATCCTCTTTATCTTCATCTTTTGTTTTCTCTTGATCAAGTGCTTCTTGAAGTCGAGCACATAAAACTGATTTTACTCCTTTTGTCTCCAAATCTCGAGCCATCAATTCTTGTCGCAGTTCAGCGACCTAAAAATAGATAAGCTATAGATTCATTTCATGAATAAGTCGTCACTAATATAAAGCTCAGTAAGAAACGCTACCAACATAATTGTTCTAAAGAAAAAGTAATGTATAAACAAGGAGTAAAATGAAGTATGACCCTTGTGCAATTATTCTTATGATATTTGAAATTCTAGGACATCTTGAGATGAATTTATTACTATCATAGAAGTAAAGCGACCACCAACCTTCATTGTCCTGATATCTAATTTAGACCAGTGAGTTGGATTCAAATCTTCATCATCTTCCTCTTCTACTTCCTGTACCTAAAAATTACGAAGTCTATAAAACATAACAGCGATATGGATGACCTATGGAAGGGACTATATATTGGTGGGTAGGTAATCCGCCCGATAAATTTTGAGAAATTTCCTAGATGTCTTAAAATGTATGAGCCCAATAAATTTACACTTATTGAAACTATAAGCAGTAATGAAATCAGGTTTACCATGTTTTTTATCTGTTACAAAAAAAAAAAAAAAAAAAAAGTGCAAAGCATGCGAAAGTCTAAAGAAAATATTAATTTGACATTTTTAACTGCTAAATCTGAAAATTTTAATTATGGTAATATATATGGGGGATAAATAGATGAAGACATTCGCTGAACAAACTGAGCAGTGCTTTTTACGAATTTCTGAACAAAATATGGTTGCTTATTCCCAGCAGTTTACTGGAAAACAATACACAACTAGAAAACTGAACGAATCGAAATGAACACAAATTTAAAGTAAAACGGAAATAAAACAAAAAGTAGAAACCAGGCAAAACACACACAAAATGCTTAGATTATTACTAATGACGGTAAAATAAAAAATTCAAAGTGAATGGTGTTTTGTTCTTTCTTTTCTTTTTTATTAGGTGTTTTCACCTGCTCCTTATTGACATCACTTTGTTGTTGTCCCTGCTGCAGTTGTTGTTGAGTATCACCAGCTGGAGCCATCGGCTCGGTCGTGACTGTAGCTCCCTCCCCAGCATCTCCACAATCTGTAGCAGTGACGGCTACAGTAGACGGTAGAACGAGTTTTTGCGCATCTACAGCAGCAAGTTTGTTCCCAAGCTGATCCTTTAGCGTAGCCAGCAATTGTTGATAGCAGTCTTCGGTAGGCATCAAACCACTGGTATCCGGCAGAAACAGGCAGCATGTATCCATTCGATCTTTCTCAGCACGATAGTAACGAATCTCCGCCATTTTGTACCTGAGGGTTCACAGTGGTTTCTCAAAACTTTGTTTTCAGCTTATCACTACTAATTCAGCTTATCACGCCTTCGTCTTTTTTTTCATCCAAAAAAGTTGACTAGATCTACCTGACAAGACTGGTAATCCGAAATTTACACCTCAGTAATATTTAAAGCCTTGTAGATTATCACAAACACAGCTTCTTATCCTTGTAAAAGGTTAAAGCTGCATATAGTGTAAACCGAATTGTGTAAACTACTGAAAACTTAAGTCATGCAAGTGAAAAAATTTTTTCAGCAGCGTTTCTCCCATTCAGCCGTTGCATCATTGTCGTACAGAAGCATGATGACATTCTAAGAAAACAGCTTTTATACGAGTTAGAATTCAAAGTCACTTAATAAAACAGAACAGTGGAGCATGAGTTCTCAGGTACTCCGTCATTATACCAAAGAGATCACATTCGTAGTTTTATTCATGGTAAATGCAGAACTTCGCCCTTCAAAATTTACATTTACCAACTTAAGTCGCTATTCTGAACTTCCGATGTGCTCCTTATTCCAATACTAATTATGACTTATAAAACCTCGTAACAAAATAAAATAAATTTATGATCCTCCCAAGTTCGCCTACTGAATACCTATAATTTGAAAAAAATACAGCCATGAAATTTTCTTCATGATTCGGCAAAAGTTAAAAACAAGTCACAGTGATCAGCATGAAAATTCTTCTAACATACCATCTAGGACATCTGGAAAGGTCCACTCCAATTAAAGCTCGAACAGTTCGAATTGCAGTACGGACAAAAACTTGGGGATCTGTTTCGGGGTTATCACCGTCAAGCGACGGTGACCAAGCGCCACCGATTGCCATCATTTCTTTATTACGTGTACCTGCAATTGAATTTCTCTGATAAATGAGTTCCTCATCGAGTTGAAGACACGCAAACTCTACAGTCGCTGAGTTACTCCTATAAAAGAAAGTGACGGAAAGTATATACAAAAAGTGAAATCAACATAAAAGATCTGCACTGCTAATTTCTTAAAATTATTAAAATTATGGGCAGGTTTAAAAGTGTATACGTTGATCCGAAAAATATTAATTTCCCTTTTCTTGCTTTTTTCTTTTCTTTAACATTACTCAACTAAATTATATTTTTAATTCAATCAATAGTCAAAATGCTAACCAACAACAAAGTTGAGGCAACGTTTCAGTGAAACCGAATCAACATTTTCATCAATCGAACCGTCAACTAGTAAACCAAACGCTTTCTGGTGTACCAGTGAGAGGCCCTGATGACTCATTAAGACAATCTGAAAAATTTAGTGTGGCATTATCCTAAAGACATCCACAAATCGCGATAGTTAGTGAAGCGTGAAGTGAATGTAAGAAAAAATTTCGTTTGCGAGGTTATGAAATTGAGCATTCTGAGAGAAATACTATACGTAATTCCATTCGGGAAAAAAAGAAAAATGAAGAATTTACCTTGACAGAAAACCGGCAATCCGCATCTGGAGGATTCAGAGCGTGCAAGTTTTCGCTTGGGCAATCGATATCCTTATGCAAGATATGGTAGGTAATGGGTGCCGTGGAAATCGATATCGGATTTTCAATAGGTGTCGTTTTTGGCCATTCAATATTAATATCAGAAAAATCTGATGGAATGTAGAGTAACGGATAACGTTTACGCAGCTGCATAACGGTTTGTCTCGTTCCATTTCTTTATTAAAGATATACTTTATATCATACTTCAGAATCAAAACAAAAAAGATCTTTAAAATCAAAGTATAAAATTGAAGTTTGGAAGTTCGTTCAATAATTCTGTTAAAACTAAACCAAGCAGAGAGAAAACGTTGAAAACTAAACTCACAAAATTGGTGGTTTTGGAACGTAACACTGATAACGCGGTATGATACGCGAACGTCGGCGAGGAGGTGACAGACTATCGTGAGTACTTGGATCATGTTTTTGTGAAGGAGATCGATTACGTCCTGAAACACTGGCTGAATGTTCTCGTTTTCCTTCATGTTTTCGTACCGGTGTTGAATGTTTCGGAGATATACGACCCATTTGACCTTTCGAGTAGTCACGAGCTGGGCTTCTATAAAAACATCTTCGAGTGCAGAAGCCAGAAGTTATCAGTTCTGATATTCATAAAAAGTGCAATATCAGCAGTCCTCACTAATAATTAAGTAGTGGCTATCTAAAGTCTTCAATTCAGATAACCAATAAAACAAATTTTTTTTCCGCTGAATTTTAAAAACTTACTAACAGCTCAGGCAAACCATCATAAATGCAGATTTTTATGAATTCCACAGAATAACTTTTTTTTAACTTCTTGCATATCCAACAGGTTATATATAACTATAGTGAAAAAACAAACCTTCGAGGTGATCGACGTGCAAGACCACGAGGTGGTGAAATACGTCTCGGTGAGCTCAAACGTCTCATATCCTGTACCAATGCCGGTGGACCACATTGCCCACCTCGAGGAGAACGATGTCGGCCTGGTCCAATCGGTGAACGAGGACGTGGCGCTATCAATACAAAATTTAAGTTATTAAGCATAACGACAAAGCGCAGAAAATAGTTTTAGTAGCATGAATTAATCAGAAACAAAAATCGAATCTGAAGCCGAAAGATTCCAAAAAGTAACAGAAGTTTTTAAAAACCCATAATTGATAGTAAATCGAAAAATTACATGCACGAAAATCACGTGAACGAGAATCATTTATGTGAGTAACGGCCTGTGGTTTCTCAAGAGTTTTTCCAGCCCAACTTTGTTCACCAGGTATCATTCCACGACCGGTTATTGGCTGCCGACCACGGTCTGGAGGTGTATGAGTAGGTAGCCCACCGCCACCTGGACCACTTTTATCGCCAATTAATTGGACTCGATATGCATTCCATTTGAATGGCATAGTTGGGTTATACGATGCTTCGACCATAACACGATCACCTGTTCGTGGTAAGGCACCTCGAACATTACTAGAAAGTTTTAATATAATATGGGAAATTCTTAGTCGCTAAAAATTTTTAAAACAAAAGATAAGAAATTCATCTCGACCTTTCTATACAAAGAACACGAAGAACTTACAACTATTTGCAAATTTACAGATATATATTTACAGCATTAAATACTCAAAACCGGCTACTTCTATTACTTTCCATTATGTGCTAAATACCGATTATTTTGGTAATATTATTGATACCCAGAAAAAAAATAATGGAGTTGATCGCCTCCCAAAGCTGACATTTCCATGCTTATACAGAAAACAACACAAACTTCAGGCGTATGAATAAATACATGAGATTGTGAAATTTCAGTTTAAAAAAAAAGAGGAAAACTTAATTCACACATACCTTACTTGAAAGAAAACATCGTCATCGATGAATCCATAATTGTCATGCATTTTTGTAACCACACCCGAAAATGTACGGTTCTTTTGCTGAAAATTCTGCACTACCGCAATAACATGTAACTGGTAAAAATAACATGTTGAATTCTACTCAACCACACGTTGTGACAGTGATATTAGTTAGCAAGCTGACCCAATGATGAAAAAGATCAGTGTATCTTAAACAATAAAGAATAAAAACAGCAGCATTTGGTAATCATCATCCAATCTGTTTCATTCATTATCAGTGCTCTCATCAGTGCTACTCAGTGGATTCAGTGAGCAACAAATGCCTGCAAATTCCCAAATATATCTCACTAAACCTCATTACCTTGTTTTTTAAGCGCTCCGATCTATATGTTATTCAAATAATAAAGTAAAAAAATGCAGAACACATCATTTTTGTTTAAAAAATTTGTTCCAAGAATTAAAGGTCCTTAATGGAGCCAATCTATGGACACACAACCAAAAATATGGACATATGTTACAGATCAAAGATACCTGTTTATAAAATTTATGAAATATGTCATAAAATTAACCTTTAGAACAAAGAGTGGGATACTAACTAGCTTATCAATACCAAAATAATGTACAACATAATGTTAGCTTTCCATTTGAACGTACTTATGAAGTATAATCTGAATTCTAGTTACCTGCTGTTGGGCTTGCATTCGAATTGTTTGTGATGGTGTTTGCAGCATACCCAGATTCATGCCCATGTTACCTACTGCTTGCTGAGAGAAAGCAGCGGCATTGATCATACCCATCTGTGCGAACGGTTGTGCACCAATTAATGGGTTTTGGAAGAGGCCAGCGTTAAGTTGCTGATTTGCTCCTGCACGGTATTAATTTAAACAGCAGCATTAATTTTAAACTGGAAGCCTACCAGCACACAGTTTAAATTTCACATAATAGTTAATTACTATTTAACAAAAAAAGAAAACAACAAAATAAAATAAATGACCATTAACGGTTAACTTATGTTTATATTAACAGCTAATCAATTTTTTAAAATATTCCTACACTGCATCAGAAATACTGTATAATTAAACTATAAATGTTACATAGTAACTGCACAATATAACTATAATAACAAACTTCGTGAAATAGAGCACGAGTACTGCTAATTTATTGACAAACAGCTGATATTTGTCTTATATAGTGGTATTGTCATGTAATATCATGAAATGTTTGCCACTATTTAGTAAATTTCGGGTTCTTTTCAGCAAAAGTAACACCTTAATGCAATGAAACTAAACGTAAAAACAAAAATTACCTGGTGGTCGAGCCCAAGCGGCTGGATTCTTCGGCCCAAATTGTGACATAATTTTGTCACCTTCGAATCTGATGATATGACGTTACAAATCTTAGGAACTGTAGTTTGCTGCAGATAATAACTTTTGACAATAAAACAGGATAAAATTCCCACCAAGGAGAATCAGTTGTTACTCCTATGGGAAGCTCCTAAATGTCAATATCGAGAATTAGTAATAATCGCTGCATACACAATTCAATGTTACATTTATTACACGACATGACTATTAAAAGAGGTCACAGGTAACTTCATAAAATAGTTAAATATTCACTAATTAGGAAGTCGAACACACAACCGAAGAAACAAATCGAAAATAAGCAAAAGTCACGAAGAAGCAAATAACGCCACAGGAATTTGCCACATCTCCAACTTCCGATCTGCAACCCCAACAACCGCCCAACACCACGCACCTGAACACCAGGTCAATCCAATCGATCTCTTGTCCCGCCCTCTTCGAAAATCAGCAAACTTCAGCACCACAACCTGGAGTGTACACTCGGCCACATGCGACTCGTGTTTATTGATTCGCACCTTTTTCTACCGATCACCAAAAGCATTCAATATTCGGACCAAAGTGGACATAATGCAACTGCATTTGGATCAGCAATCTTTCGTTTACACTTCATTCAGCACTTTATCCCTTACATTAGAACGCTGGTGGCGTATTTCTCGAGTAATTGAATTGAATGATTAATTATTCTATTCCAGTTGATTTTAAGAGTCGGAGTCATGACAGTCAGCTTATTCTCATTGTAGTTATTGCAAAATCAAAGGTGCAGGAATGGAAAAGGAAAAGAAGAGTAAGTCAAATTAAAAAAAAAAAAAAAAAAAACGAACTCCCTCTTTACAATCTAGATCTGTAGAACAACAACCGCACTGGAATCATTCCTTTACTCATCCAAACTACTTCATTAAAGATGCTTTTCAAAAAAGATTCAGGTGTCGCATTGAATTTGTACAGCCAGCACTGAGTACCTCGCCTTCAAAATAATAGCTTGTCCGTATTATTGAATGGGAATACGACGAGTATATCTTAGTTAGGCCAATATCAGTCACCACCATTTTCCATTGAAATTTAAATAATTCAGAAAATTAGTGAATTCTTCACTATCCTCACTTTAAACAAATTTTCAGTATATTTATGAAAACTTAAACTCCGTTGACCAGATCTGTCAAACGACGCTGACGAGTTCGATTCATCGTCTCTCAGCGTTTAAAGCAGGTGCGACTACTAGATTATACGTATACTTGTAGTACTCAAGGGAACAAGGTATCAGTTGTTTGCAGGAAATAAGGGAGTTATCTAAGTTGTCTTCATTCTTGTACCGGAAACTTTGACAGAAGGCCCTAGTGTTCCGGAATGAAGTGGATGGAGAGGGAATTGAACCCTCATTCCTCTCACTTGTTCTCTGTTGTTCTTTTACGCCTATCATCTCCTCTCTTTTCAATCTCTCCCTTGATACTGATCTCTCGCAGTCATACTACTCATCCCTTTCTATCTCTCTGCCTGTAGCTCAGCAGTAATTTTCATTTATCTTAAACTGTTCCGAAATTTCTTCTACTCTTCTGTTCTCTTCGTCGTATTTCGATTTTTTTCTCGTTTTAATTTCAGAAGCGTTGTACAACGGCAGTTGGACATCGGAATTTTGAGGAACTCTATCTCACCTCAGTCTCTCTGCAATTCTCTTTGTAAAATAATTTTATGGAAGTGAAAATTGAAGATGTTAGGACTACTGAAGAGTATGGCATCGATGCGAGTGACTTCTTTGCTTTCCACTGTTAAATTTTTTCACTGTTCAGGTAAGCTTTCCTTTCTGTTGGCGCTTTCCTCGCTTAATGATTATTTTATTGGTAAGTACTGAAATGTGCTAACTGCTCCACAGTATAAAGCCAATTTCACATCCTTTACCACATATTTCTTCCGCTCATTTTCCAGATCGTTGCAGTGCTCACTATACAACCATTTCTCGAATAAAGCGTGCCAAATATATTCGGCAGTATTACGTAACTGTACAGTTTTTATTGTTATTCGCTCTATATATTAAAAATTATTATTATTTAATATAGAAATATTAAATTTTTACCACCATTTGTTGATAGCGTACTCAAGTTCATTTAAGGTTGAATTCTTATATCGATATGTTGGCTTAGTGATGTGGTAAATAATAACACTTTGGTCACTTCATAGCTTTTTAAATTTGTTTCTTTTATTCAGTTGCTCCATACAGATGGGTCAACAATCCGGATACGAGCTGCGGAACCATTGGATTTGATTCAGATGCCTTTTAACGTGGATACTTTGACAGATGAAGAACGCCGATTCCTAGAAATGAAACGGCATAAAACTAGGAAACTCACGGTGAGCTGAGCAGCAAAATTTTTGGTTTTATTTTCAATCTTTGAGAGGTGGTTGCTGAAGTTTTTTACAAAGGAATGCCTCAGACTTGAGACATTTTTGGAGCTTTTTTTTTTGCGAGTTATTGCGAGACTGAAGTACTGACAGTGGTAAGAGTGCTTGCATTTCTTTAATATTTCTTTCATAATATTTTTTTCAAGGAAAATTTTATGTAGGAATTGAGTTTTTAAACTGTACTGTCATTTCCTGACATTTCAGAAGAGGCGGGAAACCGTCAAATTTAATGCAGACGAATACATTGATTTATGGCGGAAGAGCTTAAAAACGTAAGTAGCATACAGTATTTTGGTTCCTTAAGTATCAATAAAATAAAAGTTTGTGTTTCTAATCATTATTAGCGCGCAATGAAGTGAAAGCTTGAAAAGGTGATATACTGACTTGTCTTTTGGTGTTTTGGATCGTAGAACCATAATTTCCAGATTGATTAGAATTTGGTTTGTGAATGCAAATATTTTTCTTCAGACGTGAAGAATCTTTCCCTAAATAAAACACATTTTATAAAATCTGGTATTGGTTTCAGGTTTCATATCATCGTATTAGATTTTCGAAAATATTTATTTACATTCATTGTTCCTTTGAATTATTCGCTTATTATTGCTGTTTGTAAATAAAAGTTTTTGTGAATTCCAAAGAATTTTTTTTTCAAGTTTTATTCATGGTTTTATTTACTGAAAGAATTTTTCTCATCATTTTTTCATGTACATTTTACATATTGAAACCTTTTTAGGACATATATTTCCTAATTCCTTTTGCATTTATTGCTGTTTCTAACTTTCGTTCCGTTATTCCTGTTATCACTTTTGGATCGCTTTTTTTTTGATTTTGTTAATAGGTATGAAGTGTATGATTTTACTCTTCGGAAACGCCTGGAATCTTGATTTTCATCGTAGTTGATAATTTTAAATATATATTTAGTGAAGCACTGTCGTGTATTTCATCTGCTTATCTGTAAGTCGAGGCGTCATAATTTTACGGTTTTATTTTAATGAAAATAGGTAACACAGTTTATTGTGGATCATCTACTTATAATTACTCGTGGAACAACATATTTGTATATAAATTTTATCACTTTAACCAAAAGTGAAAATTTTTTCTGATGGATTGAGGTGTTTTTCTTTTGCAAAATAGATGTAAGAATTAATCTATTCATGGCAAAAATTTCTCTGGATTGCTTTATGGATATAATGAAAGGATAATGATGTTTTTTGTCAAGTAGTGGAACTTGACCTCGATGTCCGGCATTATAGTTGAAGGTCCGTATCTTTATCTGTTTTGGAAGGCTAGTATCCCAGAAAAGGTTTGGAAACAGCTATTGCTGTTTCTTGGGGCGATTGATTTTATTTTTCACCTGTCGTAAATGCGACGGTTTTCGATGCAGTTCAAACTTTGTAAAGAAATAAAGGTAACCTGTTTGGCAGGTAGGTAGTAGCGATCTATTCTTTTGAAAATATTTCGCCTTTTTAAAAACCGATTGGTATTCCATGATAATGTCAAATGGTCAAGTGCTTGCAGAATTTACGCAAATGACAATAGAAATAATGGTTAAACGCTGAAAACCGAGAGTTTTGGAAGAAATTTGATTTTTGCAGAACTTTTTCCGTATTACTGGCACATTTATATTTTTGATCAGTCTATTTAAACTTGGTTGGAACTAATATTATTAACATTAAGTCGCATCAAAATTTACGAATGTCGAAAGATGGTAGCCATCCGAGGTACACAGTTCTACTGCCAACCTACAACGAAAAGGAGAATTTACCAATATGTGTTTGGCTGATCGAAAAGTATATGAAAAAAAATGAATTTTCTTATGAGGTATTTTTTTCCTTGTGCTTAAGTTTGTGGAAAAATTTATGTTTCTGCAAATCGCGAATGTTTTATAATTTTCTTAACACTTTACGAATTTTAAAACCACAAATTTTCAAAGGTGATCATTATTGACGATAACAGCCCAGACGGAACAATGGATGTGGCTAAGAAGCTGGAACATGAATTTGGCAATAACAAGATTGTTTTAAGGCCTAGGGCAGAGAAGTTAGGCATGTTTTGGTTCATTTTCATATCAGCTGTTTGATGTTCGATAAAATCTCTTTCAGATATTTATATTCCAGAAATCAAAAAAAAAAAAAAAATTGAGTAAAATTATTTCATTTTTATGTTTAATGAAATACTTCTAGGTCTTGGAACTGCTTACACTCACGGATTGCAATTTGCTCGAGGTGATTATGTCATCCTCATGGATGCTGACCTGTCACATCATCCAAAGTTCATTCCTGAAATGATCAAACTTCAACAACATAAAAACGTTGGGTTTTAAGTTTTCTGCAATAATTAAAATTCATCTAGATGTTTCCAGATGAATTGTTGTATTTATAGCGTACTTCATGCGGTTTCGGTTCATTTAATGCAGTATATTTGATCAAATTGACCATGATGTCAATTTGTTAAGATAGTTTTCTTGATTATGGTTTGGAGCAATCTGAAAAAAATTTTTTTATACTTGTCTAAGGAATGTTCAACAGGTAGGATGAATCTGTTGAGAAGTCTGTTCTAATGACCTTTATTCTAACAATGATAAATATACAAATATTTGTTCCAACAATGGACTGAAAATTTTATGAAGTTCTTCTACAAATATGAGATAAGGTGAAAGGATAGAGGAGGAAAATAAATTGATGGAAAATTAAGTAAAGGATTTAAATGAGCTTGAGGGAGCAGCTGAATTTATTTACTGCTACAAATTTTTTTTTTTGGGTTGCTGATGCTAAAAAACTGAACCAGACAGAGAGAGTTTTACAACAAGCACATGGTTTTAACATTTATATCAGTTGCTCATAAGAATGATTGTTAGATTATAAAACTTAGAATATTTCGATATTACATGTATATTTGGTTTAGAACAAAGGAATAATTTTCAACATATTAAACAATGCACTTATTCTTTGTTAATCGTACAATGCAAATAAGTTCACCTACAATTGAAAAATGAGTATTGAGTGAATGACTGCTTACATAATATAATTTTGAAACATTTTTATTCTTGTCTAAGGAATATTCATTTGAGACAATTTTTAGTCCTTACGTACGTGTGTGTGTGTGTGTGTGTGTGTGTGATCGATGTTTAAATGTGACTTTGCTTAGACCTCCCAGAAGAAATCAATAATGTTGCCTACTGTGCCTGTGTGTCCAATCCATCCTTTTATGATCCTGATTATATCTGAATACGGATGGATATCAGAATCATCTGACTCGAAAAAGTTTATTGTTGGATGTGTTTTCCAGTACTTCTCAGTAGTTAACGCACAAGATTAATTGAAAATTTTCTATAAATTAAGGAATCCTTATGTTCAATGCACTGTGTTATGGGAACTTTATTTTGCTGTTTTCAGTATGACATTGTAACAGGCACACGCTATGCTCGAGGCGGTGGTGTTTCGGGTTGGGATCTCAAACGTAAATTCGTCAGTCGTGGTGCCAATTTTTTAGCTCAGGTTCGTTCTTATAGATATGAATCACTTTTATAGTAAAACGGTCTATTTATTATTTTAGTTTCTACTTCGACCCGGGGTTTCTGATTTAACTGGTTCTTTTCGTCTATATCGCAAAGATGTTCTGGCAAGGCTGATTGCTGACAGCGTTTCAAAAGGATATGTGTTTCAGGTCAGTTCAAATTTTGCCGCTTTTTTTATTGTTAGAATTTTTTAGACCATGTCTTAACACAGTTTTGAATTTCGATATTTCTTCCTTAAAGCTTTAACAACAACAAAAAAAAAAAATACTGACTATTAAAGTGCTCATTATTTCTAAGCAGCCAGCAATAGTAACTATTTTTTTCTAGATGGAAATGATGTTTCGTGCAAGCAAACTGAATTACCGCATAGGAGAAGTGCCCATCTCGTTCATTGACCGTTTTTACGGTGAATCCAAACTTGGGAGCCAAGAAATTGTTGATTACATCAGAGGATTGTTATATCTGTTCATTTTTGTTTAGATTTACTACTTTTGAACTGTTTTTAGAAACAGTTTGACCGCTTATCTACCGCTGTGCCTAATGCTCTTTAAGGCAATTTTGATGAAACTTTTGTTTGTGGGGTTTCCCCGCTGACACGACTTTGCACTTCGCTTAGTCTTTTTTCTGCGATTTGTATCCGCTTTGTTAGAAATTTCTATATATTCTTCAAGCGGCTCATTTCTTGGATTTTTCTCCATCTTCTAAATTCTTTGAGTTCGTTTCCCTCTGAACCTGTATGTTCCTTATAATTCTTTTCCTAACCATTATTTTTCACAAGCACGGCAAGCAAATTGCAGCTTAATAATGGAATTGATCGCAAGATTTACCAGCTGGCTCTGGAAAATGTTATACTATACACGCTATTGGGATTTAAAATAGATTTTGATATCGCGTTTTCTTCGTGGTACTAAAAGCTCGGGGAAATCAGTAGCCATTTTCCAACCCGTACCTTCTAAACACAGGACACTTCTAAACAACAAATTGTTGAAAACTCGTGATTATGGACGAGGAAATTTTATATATAAGCAGATGTACCAGCATAACTTATAACTAAATTATTTCAGGCAAATTAGATTTCATTAATGTATTTTTAAAGCCATTAAAACATTAAGGACGCAAAGCCGAAACATTTACTTCCTAACAATCAGTGCTAGGGAGTAAATAGAAAAATTAGTGATCACAATTTATAGCCCTGATGCCTCTTTTCAAAATAAGCAGATACAATCATAAATCCGAGTGGGAGATAGAAATCAGAACCCTATATCTGTTACTTCCATATTGTCGTGGCTCAACTTTTATAGGCAAAGAACTACAATTTTTTACCTTCCCTGTGATTTAAAATTACAACATGCAAGGCAATACCTTTATCAGGAAACGAAACGTTAAATCATATACAAGAGATCATCATTATTTTTGTGATAAACTGCTGAAGAGAACAGAATTCAGCTAAACAAAAAAGATAAAAGCTACTTACTAGGCGGTTTTGAGGGAAGTAGGGGTCGTGCAAAATTTTCATTTTTTTATTATCATTATTGCGCGCAACATATGCATTGTATCTATGTATTGGCCCCATTTTCATGCGAAGAGATTATCATTTTTCTATCTCTCCGGCGCTTTAAAATAACTTTCTGAGGTGATGAAATAAAGATTCCACCAAATCTAACTGCAGTTTTGCCTTAATCCTGAAAGCAAATTACAATGGCTCTTAGTGTTTACGAGATATTTCATTAGAAATAAAATCAGGAAAGGTTTGACAAATATCTGTAGCAAAAATGAGGAAAAAAAAAAACTTAAAAGTGCTCTTATGTAAATAGACAAAAGAATTATTAAAGCACTCTGAAAGACACATAAATTTTAGTTGAAAGGAGTTCCAACTGATCAGCTGCTCTCGATGCACTGCTACACGTCATTCAGTTGAAAAGCAATATCCCGATGCCTACACTGCATCTTTTCCTTATGATCACCAGGATTTTGTATACTCTCCGCTTCCGATATATCCAAGTTTTGATTTGTGGAAGTTGTTGCTGCTGAACTCGCAGACAACGCTGAGTGGTCTTCATCATTGCCAGAATCATGTTCCGAATCATGCAAACCTGGAATATTGAGGATTGTGAGAATTCTTGGAATGTTTTACGGGACACGAACCGTGGTAAATTTGAAGATCTTTCAAAATCCAAAATAAATCAAAGTTTTTTTAGACTTGAATCATGTCAGAAACCGCATAATAAGAAAGCATTCAATGTCCGTGAACAGCAAGGAAACAAATCTATTAAGGGTCACAAACGATAACAATGAAAATCGATGTTGTTTTGAAGGAATGAAAAGGAGATCAAAAAAGCTAGTTTTATGTGGATTTTATAGAATAAAAACTTCGTAAAAGCAAGCCTGTTTGAATCTCTAGACGAGAAGAATGAATGGTTTGCACATTAGTAGAACTCTTAGATTTCCTTTTGATAAAATCATCAGTAATTTTGACTGCACTGGTATTTCCCACTTCATGTTCCTTATCGCTTTCATCAGTAAGCTGCAAAAAAATAGTATTGCGTTGCCGGATTACAGTTTTCATGCAATGGGTTTTGAAAAAGTCTTGAAAAAATGACAAATTAATATTTCTAATAAATGATCCAGAAAGCCAAGAGTGTTTAACTAATTCCATATGAAATAAACAAATGATAATCTAATGTAAGTGTTTTACCTGTTCATCCGAAAATTGTTCTACCTGTGCTTCACGCACTATTCGCATTTGTGGAACATATCGGGGGATCTGTTGTATGGGAATCAATTCCTTCCTATACAACAACTGCAGAACTGGTGAGAACATCGATTTAAGGACAAAGACCAGTACGAAACACGATGTGACTACTAGTCGACCGCATAAATATATAAATGGAAGGATAACGAAAACAATAATAAGAATAAAATGTGGAGTTGGCCGATATTCTAACGGACTGGATGGAGAAGGCATCTGGTAATCACAATCCCCGTGCAATCTAAAAAATACAGATATAAACATAAAACACAAGGAATACATATAAGATATGCTGGATAATAATACATGTTAATTTCCCAAAAGATCCATGCAAATACTTTGATTTCTAGAATTAACAAACACAAATTTTTAAAGTTTTATTTGGAAACTTGCTCTGAAATTCTATTTCAGAACTAAATTATTCCGACGATGATTTTAAATCATAAGCGACCATCTACTCAATGCTGATATAGTTTACGATCCCACTTAATAATAGCATACGTTGTACTGAACCTCCCAAACAATTCAATTATCTCTTTTTAGTACTGTTATGCACGTGGCTTTCCCGGAGAAAGTTCATAGTGACATCACTCAAAAAAATACCGGCAAATACGAAAAATTTTAATCCCAAAATACAAAAACTGCTTTAATCGATATAATTCCTTTCTAACAATTCTCTTTTTCATTTGTTTCGTACTTCAAATTCCAAAATATTTTATTAAGAATTGTTTATGGTAGATGGTCGGAATTTTCTTAAATCTTTAAAGGAATCTTTATATCTTTTCCGCTTATAATTATAATTTCAAAAAAAGCATTAGTATGAAAATTTTTATTAAAATTAAAATGGCTTGTTTTCTCTTCCGTCTTCTTTTCTTTCTGAGTTGAGCTAGATTTTTTAAACGATATGCATGTTGTGACCTCACATATCCATCCCATACGGATGATGCATACTAGCAAGAGCGAACTTTTTTTGAATTTTTCTTGCCGAACCGACATATTTTAAATGATTAGAATAGAATTTTATGCAACAAAAAGAATGTAATGCATCAAAGATTTCCATAACCCAAAATTTGTAGACATTACCTCAACTGTGAAGTTCTTTAAGCAAAAATTTGATCGCAACTTTCTGACCCGTATTTTTGTCCACAATATAATCAGTATGTTGGATAAAAGCTTGTGCCGCTAATCCGTACAGAAGACAAGGCAATCCTGTGAAACATTTTTACAAATGAAACTTAAATACAAACAATGAACAGAAAATACTAACAACAATTTTGGGCTTGACAAGTGGAAATACATATATTCTTTATCGTTTAGAACGAAGAATATTTAAAATAGTTTTAAGTCAATGTACCATATAGTTAAAAATCCTTATCTAAGAAGTATTTACCGCAATTCAAAACCGTAATAAATTTATATAAATAATTTTCGGTACTGAAATCTTTCCAAGGTTCTTTCGTGCAATGATACTTGATATACGGATAACAACCAATTCTGAAATGAGAAGGCATGTAAAGCTTAAAATTTCAAGTGAAAAAACTACCCATACGAAGGTTGAAAAAAAAAAAAACATAAAACATAAAACAAAGGAAATGTAGTAATGCAGTTGCTTTTATCCAATGGCATCTTCAGATGATGATTTGCACTGTTGACAATGCTCTCTATAAAGAACACATAGCAGTTACAAAATGTGAACAGCAGTAGAAAGACTCATGAATAATGTTCTTTCCAAAAAATGAGGTGAATAAGAACTGAAAAAGGAGAAGATCCTTACTATCAAGGTTATATAACATTTTCCCTGTCTACACGATTGGCCGTCCTCCAACACTTTAACAACTGCAGAGATGCTAAAGCGCAAAATTTCAAAACATGAAAAAACTAAACGTTCAGTTCGCAATCAGTTATATCGCTTTTCTATAACACAATTCGTATAATTTTCCAGGAATGCAGATTTTAGTCAAAAATTAAAATGAGCTAGTTAATTTCTAGAAATTAACTTCGCCCACAATTATTTTACTGAATGAATTTGTTTATTTGATTTAGTCAATCAGACCCTTTACGCTGGAAGCAATAGCAATAATGGTTCGATTTTCTTTTTCAGTAAGGGATTTTTAGTCAGGAAAATTGTTATGGAAAAACAGTTTTCATTTATATTTTATTTTTACGGATTTAATTATAGCCATAAAAATATGGCAAACACAATCACTCGCATCGAAGAAGCGAAGATTAAAACTGTTTACTCAGTGGCAGACTACATTACACGACCAAGAATAGGTTAATAAAACACTAATCGAGCAACTATTTTTTCTTCTTTCCTCTATCTTTCTATATATAGATAAATATTTTAAATATAAAGAAGAAACTAACATAGCATATATGCACATATTATCATATTTAAAAAGCAACTCGAATATTAAAGAAAAAAAATGTCAAAAACATTTTAATTCCATTCGGAGTACTCTGGGGCCGACATTATGCATAGTTATGTTCATACTGACTTTGAAAGTGTAACAGCTATAAATGATGTGTAGTTGAAACATTGGGGGAATTAATTTCTTTGAAAGTTTTTTTTTTTTTTTTTTTTTTTTACTAACAACTTAATAATAATTGTGGAACAGAGAAACAATAACATACCTTAAAATGGAGTAATTATAGCCATCAACATCAAAATTGAAATGCTTATCGCCGAAATTGTCGTCCTGAACGTCCCTCAAATGGTGAATAAAATAATAATTAGTTGAAAGAAATTTCTGAGCTGTGAAGTTAAAACGAGTTTCTGAAGTTTCTGTATGCAACACCTTTATGATTTCTGTAAAATGATAATAAACATTGCAGCATAATTATTACCGATAGAGCAGAAAAAATGATGTCCACGTGGGATATTTACGAGTCTGAATGTAACTTTTCACGATCTGAGATGCAAATGGGCGACGACGATAGAACGGATTAATAAAGAAACGATAAGGCCAGACAAAGAGTAAATAAATCAGCATATGGTTGGAATATTACTTTTGGGTATATTCAAATTATAAAATACATACCTTTGTTACAGTACTTTGTTACATAATCTCACAAGTACAAGTCTGAAAAAAAAAGCGGTTTGGAAATGTGTGCGACATTTTTAGATTAACAAAAAAACCATGTGAAAAAGAGGTAGAACTTATGAAGGATTCTAGGGAAACTACGAAACTTAAATATCTATACATATAAAGCCAAAGATTAAATAAATGAGCATAAGGCTGGAACATCACTTTTGGGCATATTAGATTACAAATTACATACCAGCTTATGCCACAGAAAAAAGCGTCTTCAAGAAAATAGAGAATGGGAAGAAAAATGCAACACTAAACGTCTGAAATTCATTTTTGAAAGATCACCTAGATCACCAAATTTTCTGTTGAAAAGACCTGCGAAGTGGCGTAAAATATCAGTATGAATTACCTAGAGAGCACACTCAACAATCAAGCGATGAATACCCTATTTTTTAAATGCATCAGTTTTTTCAACTGATCAGCTTGGATGATGTCATAAAGGCTGATACCAAGGATTTAATCGTGTTAGTTTTTGCAACTTCGCTTGCGCAAACTAAATAACCAATAATCGAATCTAGAAGCAACAATCCCTCCTTAATATGAAACAGCCTGGAGACACACCTGGTGGACTTATGACCCCACCCCAGCTCCCGGTTGCAGGTATATATATATATATACGAGTGTAAAGCAAACACAAAACCACCGCAAAACACCACACTAACCCATCGTCCCTCCCGAAAATTAATCTATAACACGGCCTGCGGCCATCCTAAAGGGTCACCATGAGAAAATGTTTACTGACCAACTCTAGCAACACATAACCCAGACCTCGAAACCCGAATTACAGCACTTCTAGATGGTACCAACGAGTGTGCATTCAAACGTTCGTGAAGAATGACAGGGAACGATTTGTTGTAAATTTATCTATTCTATTCAGCACAGCAGTCTACTCGATGTTTCCGTATCACAGAGGTAATATAATCAAAAGGATGAGCAATAATTTAAATTTGTAAGAATGATGCTAGCGGGTATTCCAGAGAAAATTTTAAGAAACAATCTCTTCAAAGATTACATAAAGGTAGATTGGAAACCGTTTAACAGTAAATGGAATCTCAAACTCGAAAGTTCAAACAAATACATACCACGATATTCTACAGTTTCAGCCAAATACCATGCGAATATAAATTTCAAATGGCTTGAAATTAAGTTTTGAAAAATTCATTTCCACTAGAACTGAAGGGAGCAAAACAACCATTTCTAATAAATAATAATCTAAGTTTAAGAAATATGCAGCATAATACAATTATAACATTACATATGAACTCCAAGAAAATACAGCAGATTCAGGAACAGTAAATAAAATGAAAGAAAAACTTTATTTTCCATTGGAACCATGAGGCCTTTCAACCAAAAACCAAGAGAGATTATACATTCACGTAAGATAAAGTTCTTGTATTTTGAATAAAGTTAACGGGGAAAGGGACGGTAGCAAATGGTGGATACTATGCATTTTTCATGAAATGTAAAAATCATATTTTAAATACACAAAACATGCGCACAGAATTGACCTGTCATTGAAAAAAAAAAAAAGAATCAATGATCCCACAAGCACAGTTCCAGAAGAATTCTAGAAATTTAAAAGGAAAAATTACAAACCTTTTTATCAAGTAATGAAGATATGAATAAAAGGCACCAAAAAATGAAATTAAGGCGCGAATTCGAGACAAAGATAAAGAGGTGGATCAATTCAATCTAATGTGAATATTATCCATTTTATGAAAAACAAGTTAAACAAATGGAAAAATAATAAGAAAATACAAGAAAATACTAAATTTCTAATACACATAGAAGAATAATGCTAAACTATATCACATACTGTTTTCATTGTATTGAAACATCTTTGGAACTAATGAACGAACATACTACAACTTTTCAGACTTGAAAACCCAAAATCGTGAGATTCCGTCAATAACAAAAAAAAAAAAAGGTTTATTTAAACTCCCGAGCCGAAAAGCTGGTTTGACCAACAAAAGTGAGAAATAAAAGTAATGACTCTGCTTTGTTTATAGTAAATCGCTCACAAATAAATGGAAACTATCGATTTTCTTGGTACCTATTATGATGACAGCCTTCTGATGCTGCGTTGCCAGTGTTTTCTTTTGTATGATCAACAACAATATCTTCATCTGAATCATCATCACTCAGCTCATTGTTATTTCGTTGTACCTTCGATAATCCACTGAAGAGAAGAAACTGACATATTTTTAAATTTGAAAACATCTTGAAATATTCGACTATGCTTTATTATTCAAGAAATGCAAGAATTGATCATGACAAAAAGTGAACTTTAATAAATAGTTATTCAAAAATTATATACAACGTATTCAATTATTTAGAAGGTACCCAATCGTGCCGTGCATATCATTATTACTATTTCGCTTCTGAACCATTAATGTATCTTCAGAAGTTCCACTCCAATCAGAGATACGTGAATGTATGCCACGTTGGAGAGTATTCCGTTGGTTTGCTGGTTTCACAGTAATTATCAAATTTTGAGCATTTGCCACCATCATATCTGTTACTTGGTCTAAAGTTTTACCTTGTACCTGGAAACAAAATATAAAACGCAAAACATAAAAAAAAAAAAAGGCAATACAAACATTAGCGAACAACCGTGCAAAAAATCTATAATGAACAGCATTTATTCTACTTCTCATTTTGAAAGAAAAAATATCTCTTAAACACAAAAAACAAACCTCAATACCGTTTACCTCAAGCACTTCATCATTAACTGCTAATAAGCCAGTAGACTCAGCCAAACCGCCTTCAACGAGACGACTGATAAAGATGCCCTGTATTTTCATCACACCTTGCGGGGTTACTCTTACTGATGTTCCTGAAATTACGACGTATTAAACTTTATTCTAAGCAAAGAACGTCTTGAACGGCTTTTAATTCACTTCGCCAAACTTATCACTGCTTTAGTCGAAATTATTTCAAGACAGAAAGACCTCCAAATATATCTAACTTGACAGATTTTAGTCGTTTAAAATTGACTCTAATAAGCACAGTCTTAAATGAGTATATTAAAACTATGCTACTACTTCATAAAATGCATCCAATTCGATTATGTAATTCTACCATCTCTAATATAAAATCCCAAGGGACGATCACTGCCATGTTTACAAAGTCGTACTCGACGATGAGCTTCTGGAACAATGTCCACATCTATTATTGCAGATACCTAAAAGATATTAATCTGAACTTCCCTCATTAAAAAGAAGCAGTAAAGTAGTTAACACAGCTAGAAGTTAAAAACATAATCTAAGAAATAGAATGAAGTACCATTTGGAACACTTTGTACACTTTAAAGTTACTTTTCGAAAGCAAATGTATCAAAATGACATAAAACAGAAAGCGAAGATTAACCTGCCGGAAATCTTCCGGGTTTGAAATATTGTATGTCCTTTTAGGTGTCCTGGAAACTGTTGGTATCAACAGTGACAAGCCTTTGCGTCGACGATCAATTGTGTCTGTACCGTAGCCATATTTTTCTTCCCAGGATTCCCCCTTTCGTTGTATTAACAGCCGTAATATTGGACGGGCTGATTCAAAAGATTTTCGGAAATTCTGCATAAAACAATTTTGTGAAAACAAATATACCGGTAAATGATCAAAACAAGGACTATACTTTTTTCATTTTTTCGGAGATGAAAATAGTGTAAACGAACTCACTTTCATCATTGGTTAAACTTTCAACCGTTTAAACAAATTCATGTGATGGTACTTGTATTGGCAAAAGTATAACGGAAATACAAATCTTAAGTCAGAAAAATATTTTCTTGTTTACATTACTCTTAACTGTATTACATCATAACCATAAGAAGTAACTCACATCATCATTAGTAATCGGCAAGAGATCTCCAGAATGGCTTGTATAACACACCGTGAAAGGTATACTGTGCAAAGAATGAAGACCTTCAATCAGTGTACGAAATTCTTCATAAGAGGGAGATTTGTTATCTTGAAACTGTACTGAAAAGCGTCGCCATTCCGAATCAAATTTTGACTTTACCTGGAATCATTTTAATAAATTAACAAACGGTACATCCATTTTTCTCTTTGTTTACCTTTCTTTCATAAAGAATTAAGACTTGACTGATAATGGACTTTCACCCCAATAGTTCAACACACACACACTAATGTGAAAAACGATGCTTTCCTTGAAACAAAGAAGTGAAGCAAAAAATAAAATCACTTGTAAAAATGTAGGAAGTACAGCATGCAACGGTTGAAAAATACGAGCAGCACTGTTCCGACCGTTAGACTGCAATAAAGAATTAAACTATAGAATAAAAAAAAGAAAAAAGAATTATATCAATATACCAATTACTGTCCCACCCATAGTGTTATAAAAAGCAACTCAAAATTTACAATATATGTATGGCACAATAAATCTTGTCCTTGAGATCTTTGAAATGAATGATCATTCGGCACGATGCCACGTCACTAGTAGAAGAAGTGATCTGCATTATCAAGATCTTTAGATATTATACTCCCCACCATTTCTCCAAACTTTGCAAAAACCTTAATAGTATGACTACTTACACCTGAGCTATATTGTCCGGATGACGGAGAATATGAACCATGACTGGACGGTGGACCGTCTGACTTCCACGACATTCAACCCTGCAAATATGAATAGTTCTTATTTACCAAACGTCTAACCACACCAGTAGTAAAAACATGGCCCATATATGCTATGTTTATTTCTCTAACACATCTAAAAAACAAAACAAAAAATCAAACAAATGAAATCTGAAATCTAAAGACATAAGGAAGAATTAGAATTCAAAAATACTTTCTTATTTGGATTTAAATTTTTTCTAAGCAAATAAATAAATGTAGTATGACAACAGCACAGAACTTCGAACCCTTCTCCTTCCGATATATGGGGAAAACAAGCATTCCAGTTACTTCAGTAAAATGATGTGTTGTTGGCAGTCTTTCTTTAGTTGAGGGACATTTCTGTAGAAGACAAAAGGCAAAGTCAACAACTATAGTACTCCTAAAACGGAATCTGCGGCAAACAATCCCCGAACATCTACCACCTAAAAACCCACTCTGAATAGTTAAGGAAGAAGCAGTAACTTCTTCCAACCTAGAAAAGTGGCGATTATCAAGAGTTTTGACATTACTTATTGCCGAAGTAGCGTAAGCAATAACATATAACGTGTTTAGGTCATCCACCTATCATCCGTCCATTCCGTTACTGCTGCATTATCAAAAGTCATTTTAAAAGTCAAGATGTAATTCTGCAAGTTAACATAGAACAAAATTGTAATTTCTTTCAAGATATCTCCAGCGCCTCACATAATTCCAGGAATCTATCAGAAAAATACATAGCAAAATGTTCCCGTATATCATACCGACAGAAAGATTATCTTGATTGATTTGTCAAAAGTTCATATATATTGCTAAATGATGGTAGACATTCACAATCCATAATTTATCGTTTGAGTAAAGTAATATTTAGTATGACAAATCACTTCATACACTACGGATCATAAAATCCAGAAACAAATTTAATGTATGTCAAAGAAAATCTTCGAACATTCGTATTCTATTCCGTTACTACGTTGGGTAACAAATACCTTAACTGAATTCGTGATAATCAACTGCTTTACACTTATTCCCTTCCATTACACAAAAAGCAGAGCTGATTATTGCTGTTGATGAAGTCATACTTGACATAAACAAACACCGAAACAATGTCGGCTGCCATTTTACGAATAACTTGTATTAGCTACCAAAATGCTTAAGTTGCGCTATAAAAACTTCCTGAACAATACATTAAAAAAACATAACCAATTTGGTTAAAAGCAACCGTTGTTTAATAAAAATGCTTCCCATTAAAAAAAAAAAATTCTTTTATTTCTTGCTCCTTTCAAAAAACATCAATTAAAACGATAAGTACCAATGCGGAAGAAAACACAATATTAGGAAAAATTCATATTAAATAGTGAGCAAAGTTAACAACTTCAACAGTTATCAGTGTCGTATTACCAGAATTTCACAGTTTAATTCCTCGCATCTATGTGAGAGTGTCTACAGCTAAACTTTTAAAATCATATTTTTCCATTAAGATTTAGAAAATCATTAAAAATAGCTTTGGTGACACAAAAAAAAAAAGAAAAACTAATTTCAGATTTTCTGGAGGAGAAGGAGAAAATAAGTAGGGGATTAGTACTAGCAAGTTCTAGCGAACCTTAAAATTTTTTCTTATCTCTTACGTAAATCGGCTAGTACAGCTTCAAATTGTTTTGTTGACCTTCGTTCAAAAATATCATGAATCCCAATATTCCCTTAAGGACACGGACGTCATAGCAATTATAAACTTCAGTAATTCACTTCGAAATTGCCACAACATGGAATAAATATCAAGAAATAAATGAATAAAACACACAAAATGGGAAACAAATAATTTTTTGCAAAAGTTTCTAGGAGAGCTTTTGAACGAATACCCTTTCGATAAACGAACTAAGCTGAAGTTTACAATTAATTATTCTGTTAGTAATCAAAATCAGTTAATATCAGTTAATATATTTCAAGAAAAAGGAAAACATGAATTCATTTCTGAAGTATACAAACATCAAGAACCACGAAAACTTTGAAAAAACAGCAGAATCGAATGTAACTTGACTTCATCCCTGAGGTAAAAAAAGAATGTCTTCAGCTACTACGCTACACAATAACATGAATTAAATGTTTGACAGATAAAATTTTTATAAATACATAAGATTCAAATACAAAATAGTCAATCAAGAGACATGAAATCCGGACAAATTGATTTCCAGTAATAAAAAATTTTTAGAAAAGACATACCACGAAAAATGTGCTATTCTTAACAAGCAGTTTTAAATTTCCGACTGGAATGAAAAAAAAAAAAAAAAACTGATGACAATACTCGGTAACCAATGTAAGTTCTGTTTTTCCATCTGTATTCTAAAAAAACGTTAATATGAAGAGAATACTTTTTTAGAAAACAAATTTAAGTATGGAAATTCTGAAAAACTCAAGAATGAAAGAAAAGTTCCGAAATTTGTGTGAATAGCTGCATCTGAAGCAATAATTCCTTTCATTGTTGTTCTCAGTCATTTTCACCGGAATCTAAGCCATCAATATCCTAAATATTTTCGAAATTCAAATGGCTAATACCGAGTAAAAATGTGTGCTTGCTTCCCAAACAATGCAAATGAATCCATTATGCACTTATATAACATGAGCTTCAGTTTCCGTTCCACATGCTCTTCAACAAAAAGGTGACGGAGCAACATCTTAAGGTAAACATTATTGTAGAAAATTCCCGTATACACTTATAATACAATGCAGCACCCAGGAATGAACGACTTAAATAACCTTCTAAAAAACATTCAAATCTTTATGTAAAGTTTTTTGAAAACAGAAACTTTCAAAAAATATTGAAGAGTGAGAGAAGCAGAAGCTATAAAGGGAGCTACGATAAAATGCTGTTACCACATAAGATATGACGTGTAAAGAAATAAATCAGTTAAAAAAAAATGGTTTAAAGAGGGATCTGGAGTAGCGGGAAAAAAACTAGTCTTAGCTGAAGATAAAATGAAACTTTAAACCTAAGAAAAACACGCCCATTTTGCATTTTTCATACAACTGGATTTGGCTCACTAATCGATGTCGCCAAAGTTCTTACTAAATAGATTACTTCTACTAAATAGATTACCAATAAAACTTGCTTGCAAGTTGCAAGTAACAATCTCTGCTGTAAATTTTATTAAAAAATTTTTAGACTAAATGCCTAAAAAATGAAACTAAATGGAAGTTATTATTTAAAAAAGAAAACAATTAGTTTTTCTAAAAACAAATAAAAGTTGTTTACAACAAAAACAGCCTTAAATCAAAGGAATTGAAAACAATTAAGACATCAAAGAAAGCACTGCCTAAAAAAATGGATCTTTTTGGTAAAATTTTGTATATGTGCAGAACATATTTGTATATGTTACTTATCAATTGAGTCATCTATTTTTCAAACTAATGTTCTATGGCAATATTTTGATAAAACCAACCTCGTCGAAAAGTGACTCATCGAATTCAATTTCATTGCCTGCTGCTTGCATAAGTGCTACATCGGACAAGTTTAATGTTGAATCACGAAGGAACAACTGTCGACCTGTTAATTTTTTGGTTCCTTCTACTTCATGAATCTGAGAAAAGCTAAATTTTGATAGTTTGGATTGAACTCAATTTCACCATAGGTTATTGAAAACTATTTATTATTAAATTTAAATTAGGTTAAGTAGGAAGTCGAATGATAACTAGCACCAAAATACTGGATAGTATAGAAAAAGGAAAGGATGCCTTTTCATGAGATAACAGTGAACCATATTAATTGGAATCTTCGTGGAAGGGAATTGAGTCCGCTGATATCTTTCTTTATATAGTGCATATCTAATATACAATAATTTGTTACCAAATAATTGTGCATTGTATTGACATCTTTCAAAAACAAGTGGCAACTATGGTTATCAATCTTTTTAAAAATTTGAATAACAGGCCCTTTTAATTTTGATTTTCAAGTAATGTAATAAATTTAATGCAAATTTTCTTCCCATTAGCATTAAATTTAATCAAATAATCTATTAAACATGTTATGAAAAGACGCAATAAAAACTACCATAAAATTGTCATTCTAAAAATCTTTACAAATGCACCTCAAACTGTACTTCATGACTGCTTCCAGAATATAATTGTGTAGGATGTGGAAATTTTCGAGAAAGAAAATACTGTATGAAAACAATTTAGGAGTTTCCAATAAAATAAAACTGGATCTTCTGATACCGTTTAAACGGTATTAGGGATGAGGAAAGTAAAAGCACAGAAACATTCAAGGTCAGTCGGGAATTGACCGTTGTAATTTTTGCTATAGATGCATACCTTAGCAGCAGGGTGCTCCTGTGCAAATAGAAACGTTCCAATTCCCTTCGATAAACTTACTCAATGAATATTAACAACATTCACAGATATATTTGCAACTTATATTTTGAAAAATTTTGAAAATTAAAAAAAAAAAAACGCTGCTCAGTTAATGTACAGAATTGATCGTCAAAGAACTTCCAGGATTCACTTGAATCGTCAAATAGCCCATCAACTAGTTGCAAAGTTATCAAAAAAAGAAAATGTTCTCATGGAAAACCCATTGAACTGCTTAGGCAAAAACTGGAATAACCTTTCACCTCTTATCAATTTTGATGAGCAATCTAACAGGCATTCTCAACGAATCCATAAAATTGTAACTTTTTAAGGCACAGCAATTATGAATCATTGTTGCTGTATGCATTTCATGACCAGTTTTTCAATATAAATAGAAAGTGTGGAAAAGAAAACCTGTGAAAAAAAAAAAAAAACCAAAAAGAAAAAGTTTCTAATTCATAAAAGTTTTCGTTGGAATTCCTAATAAAAATTGAAAGGCATCCCTTGAGGCTCAAAATTCAAAAAAAATTTTACCCATTTCTCTTTCTCTTCGACAGCTCGTATTTCGACATCGAATTTTTTCTTCCAAGCTGTAAACACTTCCGGTGTCACTCGAGTGCCTGTAAATTGGGTAGAACTTTGAGCAAATTTTATAAAACACCACTAAAATCACAAATTTCGTTGCTCGTAAAATGAATCGCATTTACGCACACTTCTGTAATTTCTAAGATATTAAGATTAAGATACTATTACCTCAGTATCAGTAAATCATTTTTTTCTCTCACAAAGTAATCACTACAAAACAACAAAGAAATCAAAGGAAATGAAGATGAACAGAACAATCGGAGAAAATGAATAATAAGTCAGGAAGAAAGAGAAGGCGTAAGACATGACACAAAAACCATTGCAGTTGAATCTGATCCAAATCAACCCAGGTTGCAGCAGAAATAGTAATTGAAGTACTGGTATTAATAGAGAACAGTGAAAAGAATTAGAGAATGTAGGAATGACAAGAGGGATCGGGGAAGCATGGTATTCAATGCAATTGTCCTTGTCATTCGTGTCACGTACTGCAGTGGTTGTAGGAGGCGTAGCGAAAAACAGCAATAATTGCAGCAGTAATGATTCTCGTTTCCGAACTGGGCGAAATCATTTACTGCCTTCATACCCTACAGAATCTTAAAAGCATTGCACGCTGCACATCAAACATTTAATGCTCCTATAATCAGTGAAACATAAAAGGTAGCCAATACAATCAACAAATGAACAACAATTCATTACTCTCATTAACTGTAAAGAAACACTAACAATCGACTGTATAAAATCATATCTATTACATCTGTCTCTGAAAATAGGAAATCGAAGCACAGTCAAATACTATTCTCTTGGTTTTTTTGCATGGAAATAATAATCACAAGATTACTTTGAAGAATCCCGAAATCTTGAAGTTCTAGAACTTTGGATTTTTTCAAAATTCCTTCATACTTTAGGATAACAAAGTAATGCCCTATTTTGAAGAGTATATAAGAGTCACAAATTTGACTGATTTCACCAGAATGAAGAATGACCAACGGATTCACCTGAACTGCATATATGACGCAATAAAATACATTTTAAAAGCCTATTTAAACTGAATAAAACGCCTTTAAAATGAACGCCTTTATTAATCTTTCGACACTTCCCCTAATCCGGACAATGTATTAAATAAATCAGCTTTAATCCTTGTAATTTTAGCGTGGTAAAATCTAAACAATTAAAATTAACATCTTTTCATAACTTCTTATATCTATGTTGTGACAATATTAAAATGTAATCAAAACCTTCAAGTTTCTTTCTTTCCTGCGCTTCTCTTTCTTTTACCACTTTTTCCTCTGCTTTTATTTTTTCAGCTTCTAGATCTTCTACTAAATGTCCAATCTCGTCCTATAAAATAAGAATAAAATGTCTTTATTTTCATATGAATTGTTCCTCTGCGCGATTTAGAGGATAATAAACATAAAAGAAAGATCTGACGACTGATACACAAGGTATCGGTCGCTCAAACTTTGATTTTTTTTTTTATTTCTTCTCTGCAACTAGATCTTAGATATTGTAAAAAGTAATGCAAAACACTGAAAAATAACGAAACCTGCAAAGCTGATACGATGGTGAATATCATTGGCATACCGATATTCTCTTGCGCTACATTATGCAGTATCGTTTCTACTCTTTTAATACGTTCACTACTAAACGTGCTCTTCAGCCCAAAGACTTGAATTTCTGGAGTAACATCTGGGTAATCAGCTGATAACCGAAGGTTCAATGTCACTTCAAACATAGCAGGAACTTCTTTTCCCTTAGAATAAAAAACTGCTTAAAAAGCAGTGGAAACCACATATGAAAACTTGGGTTTCAAGTACCTCATTCTAACGAATTAACAAAATACGAAACATCATAAAATTCTGAAAACCTAGGTAAGATCGTAATAAATACGGCGATTAAGAATTCATAAATTTCACCACAACATTAATTTGACTAATTTAGAAAATTCAATCAAAAATTAATGAATCATTTTGTGGCGAAGGGATGATATGCAGAATCTATTGAAATAATCCATATAAACGCGTGCAAAATAATTATTTTATGCAAAATGTTACCTGATGAGATTGCAATGATATCTTTAGAGCAATATTCGGATACTCGTTCGACGTAACTTCTAATTCATCCGGATAAATCACTCCAAGCGCTTCAAGCTCTTCAACCTGCGTTATTTTTTGACACATATCTTAAAAATGTTAAAATATTAAAATAACCACCTTTTAAATTCTAAGAGTAAACTTTCAAAGAAACCTATATCTGTCTCTCTGACTAAATTTTGTTTTACAAAAAGTGTAAAAATGATAACTGGGACATGAAAGTGGAACTATCATGATTCTACATACACTTTTAAGGTGGGACTATAAAACACTATTACAATATAAACTGGACAACAACAAAGGTGTAAATTGATGGAAGCCCAGAAAGAAATATTGATAAGAGCGAACATTTGCAGTGCCCCAGTTATGAGTCAATGCATCCAATAATAATTTAATCGACTAGGGTCTAACCCTTCCCAACCTTTTATTCATTATCAATTGCAACACCTGCAAATGATTCTCATGCATTTTCGCATCGCAAATTTTCCATGATTACGTGAGTTAATCGATTTCGTGTTTGAACAAATTACTGTTTTCATTTACTCGCAGAATTCATGACGGAAATGAATTACTCACCGCAGAAATCATTCTTCAAATTATGCAAAGATAGATTCCAGGCTTGGTACACAGTTTTTTCCGTGAGTCTTTACCTTTTCTATTTTAGACAAGTAAACTTTTTAACTCGAACTGACAAATCGAAGATTCCATAACAAAAGATTTCTGGCAAATTTTATTTCAAGAGCATTTTTAAAAAAATACATGAATCTAGTAGGAATTATAATCAAATATTAATGTTGTATACAAATAACAACCACACCGGAAGAATGAATACGGAAATACAGTAAATATAGAATAATTAAATTCTGTGACAAATTAATGAGGTTTATATTAGAGTTTAAATCAAATACAAACGAAAGACTAAATCTAAACATCCTGGAAGTGATGAGGTAGTCCACGATATTCCAATAATTAACCAAAATTTAAATCGAAAGAAGAAGTTTCGAATGCGATTTCAGTTTTGTTTAGGAATAAATTCTGAGCAGGTCCTATCATACATTACAATTTCTCCGAACATACAGAAAGGATATTTAAAAAAAAAGAACATAAAAATAGAGTATATTCAAACTAACAAAATAAAATACATTTTGCTTAATACTATAAGACACCAAATTTCCAACATCGATGGTCCTATAACTCCTAAAATCAGTTTTTTTACTTGATCAAATATTTGCAGTCTTGAGAGTATACTTGAAAACAGAGATATGAATTTCAACTGCTTTCTTAAGATCTTCCACAAGAATATGTTCATCTTTGGAATGAGCATTTGTTATCGAGCCTGCTCCAAATAAGTATGCTGCTTTCAATTTATCACGAGCTATGAAGTAAGGTAAATCGGTATTGAATGCGACCACTTCCGAATCGTAAGGCGGTGGTGGAGCTATAAAAAACTAATCTTAACTAAACGGAGTAAAAATAAAGTCAGTGATGTATAACTTCAATTAAATTTTATTTTAAAGTTGTTAGATTGAAGAGACAGTTAACATATTTCAATATTGCAGGAAAACAGAAAATTGCATACTAATAAATTTAAAAGATCCAATATACACAACCTTGAATATGATGAAAAACTGTATACCTGTGAGAAATATTGGTTCATTTTTACCAAACGATTGGTCAATTTTGGCGCGTCCATCAACAATAGTTTCCAACTGTTCCAAAATATCAGCAGTAGATGTGGTTACACGGAAAAAAATAGCTGCTGAGGCATGTTCCGCTAACGCATTTAACGCTTCACCTCCTGATATAAGGCCAATATTGACGGTTGTTGATCCTGGAAATGTATATTTATTTGAAAAATGTCAATGATTTGACATAAAATTCATTTGTAATATGCTAATTATCGAAGTAAAGTTAACTGATTATCGCCACATAAATTATGGTGTCAATTTCTTGTAAACTTTTCGAAAATATGTGTGAGAAGAACCGAGTATAGTTTCCTTACAACTGCTTTGACTGCATTATATCCTATTTTCTGTAAAAAAAAAGTAACCAGAACTTAAAACGCAGCAACAAACGTTCAATTTTATTCAAACCATAAGAACACAATAGGTGATGCAGACCAAATGTTTTGTCTGATGGCCATTCATGAGTTCGGATATCATGTAGAATATCCAGTAGCTTATCGATAGCACTGTCACCCAAATGAGGATAACCAGAATGTGCCGCTTTGCCCTGAACTTTTAATATTACCTGAAAAAGACAAGACACTTCAAAAACAGAAAGATGGAAATAAGTTTCTTGGCAAAACATAAAAGATGGATGAGGGTTAATTTTTTCCCTTGCGCCTGGAGTCAGCCCTAGAAATTTCCACATAAATTTCGTCCAACCCAATTATTATAGCTGGCTCAACAACGCGTTACTTTCCAAGTGCATCCCTGCATGCTTGGAAACCTATGCAGTGGTTATAATTCACTGAACCTATAACAATCTCTCATTTTCATTCTATGAATTAGCTTAATGAGCAATTAATATATTACCGTCTAAAAAAGTGTAATTTTAGACTTGGGTACCAAACCAGCAGAAACTTACTGACGCCACGGATCACTTTCCTGAAATTTCGGATGTCAAATGACCTGTTTCTTAACTTAAAATCTACCGTCAATAAGCTTGTTACTTCGGATGTTACGTCTAAAGTTTGTATTACAAAGCCCCGTTCAAATACTGAAAGCCTACATCTAAAGTCTACATCACAAAGTCCGTTGGAATACTGGAAATCAGTAACCCCATTTTCCCAGAATTTAACCTACATCATACACAGTGTGACTTACTTTCACTGCTCCTTTCTGTAAACGACCAAATTTCAATTCCGTTGGTTCACCGATCATAAAAAATTCCGGAACCAGTCCTAGATTATTTGCTTCCTGAAAAACGACATAAACAATAAACAAATGGCAATGAATAATTTAGCAAACTTCTCATACATCTCAAACTTCTTTTCATTCTCTCATCAAAGGATGATGATGAATTAGCAATATTTCGAAACTTATTAGCAATAATAGGTAATTTATCCATTATGCAGTAAAACATACCACCATGCCAATATGATCAAGTTCTTCACTTACAACCAACAACAGACCGATGTTTTCAGCAAGGTTGGGATCCTCTTTCGCTATTTTTTGGGCAGCAAATATCATTGCTGCCAGTTGTCCTGCAAATATTGAATGGAACTTTAAATTCAAGAGTTCCGGCCAAAATCAGTAAGTCGAGACCGTAAATGATTCTCAGATACCGAAACATTAAGGTAGATACCCTATTTCTCTCTTGGAATCTATTCCATTTATCTGTTCATAGTTGCGCTTGACTTCTGAAACACTAGGTTCTCGAAAGATAATGAGGGAAAGGAAGTGAAGAAAATAGAAAAGAGGAAAGGAAGAGATGGCTGAGAGTAATATTATAAGTTTAAAACATATCCCAACCTTTCGCATCATTTGCTCCTCTCCCTGTAATTTTAGTGCCATCGTATGCTGGTGCAATATACGGTGGAACTGTATCCATATGAGTATTCAGCACATACCGAGGCCCTTAAAATGCTGCATGAATGACTTTGCTGAAGCAAAAGAAATATTTAATTTAGGTTACGCATTTTTATCAGTTTATGAAAATTACATTTTATTATCCTTTTATTTCTTTCAAAAACAAAAGTTACGCTTTAATTGAATTCTCTTTTGCTTTCAAAATTTAGCATCTTTGATAACTGACCTGGAGCTATGTATGGAGTCTTAGTAACCAAAAGATTATGTCTTTTTGGGTCACTTTTCAACGGTTGCTGCAAGACATGCCATCCTGTTGCCTTGAAATACACTGTTAAAGCAGCCGATAGGTCTTCTAAAATATTTTGTAACAGAATTACCCGAAGAAGAGGGCCACAGGAACTCTTCAGTTTACTTCGTTTCATAACAAATTTATCAAAAACTGCTACAAAATTAGCAACCGTAATACAACATGTATGTACGAAAATATTATCATACCTTCATTCCCAGTGCAGGAATTGATTTTCATCAGTTCCGTTAAAAAAATTTCAACGCGTTCTTCGTTGGGATTTAATAATGGTAACGTAGGCATGCCAATTAATCAGTTCTGGAATTAACGAAAAACCAAGTTTAAATTAATTAAAAACTTTAATTACAAGATACGCACCTACAACCTAAAACTTAACTATGCACGAAAATTTCACTGCAAACAGATCTGAAAGTTTTTTTTATTTTGATCAATGTTGTTTAAAACCAATGCGAAAACACTTGTCACTGATTTTAGCAGTCTCTACAGTCTTCATTCTTTCAACTCTAGTAAAACCACACAACGTTCCTTCATTTCCTAATTTTTACAATCCTCCTACGAACATAACTCTCGCAAAAACTACTCCACTCAACACCGTCTTACTAGTGTCTTTCTCAGCACACTGACGTCCCACTAGGATGACAATTAAACTTCCATCTTTCGATGACGTGAAACGATGGGAATCAGAAGGAGGAACGATATGAAATGTGACATCTTAAATGAACACCTCGCGATGGTGGTAGTGGCACATGCAGAAGGGTTAGAAATTACTGCCATTATGGAAAGACAAGAATGATGGAATTTGTGTGAAGGGAAGAGTGCTTTTGTGTTACAGATATGATCAATGAGTGAATCGATTGCACACCAAAGCATGCAAATGCAATGCAGTGCAGTGCAGTGCAAGCATGACACGCTACTAACAGAAAGCAAGAAATAGTGTGGAAATCATGCGAAGCACCCCTGATCAGTCCCCACCTTATATCTATTTGCCGTCACTGGGTGGAATGACATGGGATTTATCTTTAATTGAGTGATTTCTTTCCAGAAATGTTTTGAACGTCTCTCGGACTGTAAAATTGCGTTTCGCAGTCCAGCCTAGATAATTGACTCGTTAGAAAGCTTCTCTTCATCCTTGCTCCCTCAAAAGTTCAACAAAAAGATGATGGTTCCTTTTAAACAATGGTCATAAATTGATTGTAATTTTAAACAAGTATGTCTATCATTTGTACCCCAAATCAGATTTGTCATTTCATTTAAATTATTTGATTCATTGGTACCTTTTATAAAATACAAAGATTTGCAACAATCTGTAACAATCTTGCTTAATCCCGTGTATAATCCATTGTTGTAAAAGTAACAAGTCACCCACTTCACCACTGATTTCTCAAGCATTCATTTGAAAGTTTATTTTGAAGCAGAACAAATGGCGGCTATATAAATACCTTACATGAAAGAATAACTGTAATTATCGATCGGATTATAATTTAGAACTGCTTCCTGTGGTTACCAGGTATTGCAATAAATTTAGGAGAAGAGAAGATGGAAGACACATATTGTTCATGAAGGGGGAAATTCTAAGCAGATACCTATCTTTTCCCATGATGAATGGTACTTTTGGTTCTTACTTTTATTCCTCATTCCCTTACCCATTCTCCCACCATTCAATGCAGTTTGTTTACGGTGTCGCTAGCAATTACCTTTTATCTCTGCATACCTCTTCCCATTCAGGTAAACAATCCGTTGCTTGCATTCCTCATGGTATAATTCGGTTTCAGTTTTAGTTTTCTAATTGGTTCGTTCCTTGACAAAATTCCTTTGTGTATATCATTTTATTCATTTCAAGTGTCACGACCGAGCGTCAATCAAATCTGCAAATGTCCCTTCGCATTTATTGAAAAACATAAAGCAGAAATATGTGCCGAAGCAGGAACTGTCCCCTTTCCGCTTTCAGCAATTTAAGTATGGTCAATTTCTCCAAGAGAACTTAATGATGGCATTCCCACTGAAAAGCAATCATAACAGATTAAATTTAATCCACCCCTTAATTAAATTTATGAAAATCCGGTTAAACTTGTTACCACCAAATATTGTAATGGTATTCGTTACATTGCTAATAGAATCATTGCATCAAGGATGAGATTGGCAGTGAGTATTTGTATAATCAGTAGTCTCGAGTATGTCACATTTTCTGTTTAGAGTTTTAACCGAAGTGGGTGAATACTCCGGTTATTGCTTTCTGGAAGATCGTTGTGAGGATGATTTATTGGTGAGTATTACTGTTATCTTATTGATGCTGCACTGTGATGGAAATTATTTTTGTTAACTACCATGATTTTAAATTTTACAGTCACCAAACACGAGCACTTTAAAAAATATTTCTATTTTGGTATTTGCCTAGAATTTACCTATGTCGTCTTTTCGTAAAGAAAAGTTTTGCTCAGTCAGGTAGTCTCACTTGGAAATGTCTTGCGACTATCCTTAATGACATAATTTATGGTACGACATAATTCTTGGAAGATGCAGAAAATGTAATGTGTTGAATAAAACGAGTTTTTCCTACAAAATTTGGTTTATCTACCAGAAATTCATCTCTTTTGTGATTTAACGTTTGAATGGTTGATATTACTGTTTGGTTTTAATCTTTAAAATCATCATGCATCATCATATCATGCAGTTCCTCATTATCATTCTCCCCTATGTCTTTTCTATTTTCTATCACTGTTTAACATTTTTAAAGCTCTAAATGGTCGTTGCTTAGAATTACAGAAATGGAAGGTGAACGATGTAAGGAAAGCAATCTGAATAAGCGTAGAATTAAAGGAAGTGAAAGTGCACCTAAACGAAAGAAATGTGAGGTGGCGCAACCGGGTAGCAGCGTTGTACTTGCTGCTAAGCAGCAAATTAACCATGTATGTACTGAAATGTGGAAAATGTAATTTCTGCAATATTTTTTCATTTTGTTCGGGTAAACAGCAAAGTAAGTATCAGATGATGCGGAACTGAGTCTGTAGTAAATCTTTGATTATGAAACAAATTCAATGTTTTATTTGTTTCAGAACGTCGATCAAGACAAAAATGTTAAACGAGTGCAAGGAGTTCCAGATGGTAAAAGCAGTGTCACTAACTTTGACATTCAACGCACTTCGAAACATTTTCCAACACTTTCATATTCTCTGCATACTGCTCGTGTTGCCATTGTTTCAAACTCTTCTGCAATGATTTCGAGCGCTTCAAATGTTGTGAAACGAACTTCAAATAAGAAGACACGGATTCCTTTTGGAAGGATCCAAGATATTTCAGGCAATCAAGAACCGAACCGTTGCATCAGAGACTTATCCGGAGATAAAGTAGCAGTAGGTGAACTGAATGGGCGGATCTCTGCTGCAGTTCCAGGCTGCCGAGAGAGATTAAATGAAAACAGCAAGAGATCAAATGGATTCCGAACTCCTTTACAGTCACCGACATTGTATGTAAAGCATTGTAATGATCTTCTGATGGCACCAAAGAAGCGTCGCTGTACTCGCAGCTATAGGATGACAAAAGTTCCAGTGTCGTGTACGTTAAGATCACCACGTTAAAAGATGAACCTTGGAGAATGTCTCATATACGAAGTACTTTTATATTTGTTCAAAAATCGCTCATTCTGTTTCTTATTTTCCTTACATTTTAAAATCATTCACGAATCATTTTAACTATGTTTCAGGATTATTTCGGGTTGTAATCAATTTTTATTTGTATAGAAAATGAAAGAGAATTTTCTAAATGAAAATGAATTATTATTTTTAGCAGTTGTTAGACGTAGAATTTGCTACGAGAATAATACATCAGAATGATGGAAAATTACTCATACTGTAATACAGCGTATAAAATATTAATCTGTTGGTACTTTATGCATTCTCTTCTCAACTTAAAATTCTTTGAATTTCTTAACTTTTCTATGAGAATCAACCATTAATTGGATTTAGCTGCTTTCAGCATAATAATAATAGCAGCCATCTCTCCGTTTTCGGTTTATTTATTGGTAATTCTTATTAATCGAGAAACGATTTACGCCTCAAGACTGCTTGAAACTGTTGGAATTTGATGCTTCTACTCTGACGATGCGTAGAACGATGTCTCTTCCACATTCTGTTTTAGAAAATCGAATGATTCTGTCTTTCTTTCTCATCTCAAGAAGATTTTATCAATTTTACACTTTCATAGAAAAATCATGTGTTTTCGAGTCATTAGAGCTCTTTATAATTTTAGCTACAAAAGTTTTTGAAATTACATGAAATGCAATGACATCGAAAAACATAAAAAAACAATTAGGGAAGTGCCAACAAATATTACTTAGTCGAAATCCAATAGGATAAACAAATGTTACTAGGTCAGAATCTACTAGGATAGAAAGAACTAAGATTTTCAAGCTGTCATGTGTGCCGGCAGACTCGTTTGACATATATGATTGTAAAATGGAATGGAAACGAATCCGGCAGTAACAATTCCAATCGCGTCACCCAACGAGCTGATAGACATTGAAAATTCTCGAACATCTGGTTTGGCCTAAAAAATTCTTTTACAATTTATTAAGACTTCGATAATTGCTTTCAAGAAATGTCAGTTTGTCAATTATGATTTTTAATTGTCAATTCGTTTCACGTTTCCTGATACAAGACATAAATTTAAGAACTTAACTGATAATGAAGTGTGATTTTGTGATTCTTCTTGTATATATAATTAAAAATTTTTTGAAACAAATCATAATGCGACATCTTCGCTATTTTGTTAGATCAGTTTTTCCAATCGATAAACTCAAAAGAGAATTTCGATTGTTAACGAATGGTCGTTTCATTCACTGGCATAAAATCAACTACATAGGAATAAATTGTTCTGAACTTACAAAATTGTGTATATGAGTAAATGTGTTAACATAAGATGAACCGCCAAATAATCCCTCGAATAATATTAACAAAAGTAGAACCCAAATATGCGGAATGTAAAAGTAAAGCGATTCTAAGAAGAAAATCACCACATTCGCGAACTATAAAAGAGAAAATTAATATTAAGGTAAGGCAAGGTTTTGAGATTGAATGTTTGTTGATATAAACTCGTCGGATTGCAAAGATGAAAGGCAATACGAATAAATAACGTCAATGGGACATGAAAATAATAAGATGAGATGATTATATTGGAATTATAAATAATTGCATTAGAGTGGCTGTTTACTAGATTTATATTTTATAGCAAATTTAAGATTTATTTTTTTGGCATCACAAATGAAAAAATATTACTGAGATTGTTTATACGACTAGAAGACATGAGGTATTGCAGTATACAGATATTTCGACTGATTTTCGAGTCAATGACTTGCAGTTTGCAGATTGCTTATGCGGCTATTTAGGATAATAATTTTGTAGTTACACAACAGAAAATAATCCAGGTTATAGGTGCACGTTTTTTTGCAAATGAGTTTGGAGAAAGGATTTAAATTTACCTGCAGGATAGGCAGAAGTACTAAAGCCCAGTAAGGTAATTGTATAATATTCACTGAAGATCGAGAAATGAAAACACCAGCTTGATAAAGCACCTGGAAAACAAATCTTTTTTGAAAAAAGAACCAAAATATTTTCTTTGTAATTCCGTTTAGTAATCTAGATGAGACTTTGGCTTACCTGGTACCAGCGATACTGACTTGATGGTGTAAGATACCATCCTTTATCGCATGGATAAATTATCAACTGTAAAATACCCTGATTTATGAAGTATTCACCGAGATAAACAAGCATCAGTGGTATCATGAATCGCAGCAATGACTAAAACAAAATCAAATCTTTGCAAATTATGAAATTTGTTTAAAATATTGAAAGATTTCAAATTTTGCGAGAAATTTCTCATGACTTACAAGTGTCGTAAGCAACATTTCTTTGAAGGATAAAATCCGTTGTTTAACATGTTCGGATGATGTTAAAGACTTATCGGCATTTTGTGTTTCTATGTTGCAAATGTCGTTGAAAGAGGTTTCAGACAAGCATGTTTTGGGCACTACCCAAGTGCTAAGCTTCATAATACTTATTTTGTGTATCGAATCAGGAAATACTAGTAAACACCAGTATCTGCAAAAGAAATTTTGTTGATTAAATCATTTTTCAAAGCTATCCTAGCCATTAAAATCATAAAAATAATCATTAGAATGCATTATTAACAATTTGCATAAATATTTTATAATTATCCCAATTTCGGTCAAGCAGTTATAATTCCATGGAAGGGGAAGAAGTCACAGTTCTAAACTGTAAGTCTCTTATTCACTGTTTCTCATGAAAAAGAAGCATATGTTCAAGTAATTCAAAAAATTAAAACAAAAAAACATATGTTTGAATTAAAACTCACGCTAAGGAAAATATCAATGGCACAACAAGCATAATCAGAAGTGTTATTCTCGGTGATAAATTCAAAAAGTGAGGTTCTGTTAGAGCGGCATAAGTTAAAGAACCTATTATTCCCGCACCTCCAGTACCTGACGACCATGTTGAGATGGTATTCCTGAAATATTGAAATTTAATTTGATTAAGCTCTACAAACTCTAGATAAGATTTTTTCCACACTTTATGTGAATTTCAAAAAAAAAAAAGTGATAAGTAAATTAAACAGACTTAGTGAAGTAGGGAGTTAGCGATAGGTAAGTTATTTCACCAAAGCCCGAACTAATACTAGCAAATACCACTCCTGAAATGTAGCTTTTCAGATCCAATATCCATAAATGTTTGCTGTAAATATCTTACTGGAATATTTTAATTAGGATACGAATTGAATCTTATTTTGATTGTGTAGACGAAGAACAATATGCCTATTCACATGTCAACAATATTTTTTTATCCGATTAATCGAACGTTTATCAGTAAATTCTATTCACTATAACAAACCTGTTAAGGACATCACAACACCTGAGGAAAAAGCTACGATTAAATAACTGAGTGATTGTAATAAGCATATTATGAAATGACGTATCCTGCAAATAATAATTTCCACATTTCAGTCTTCAAAAATAAATTGAATGTCTTCTCAAACAAAATTTAAAGATTTTTACACGTCTATCTGCTAAATCAATGAGAATACTAGAACCACTTGCCCGAACGGTATCCTTTGCATGAAAAATGGAAACGTTAATTTAACAAGAAGACACGGTAATATATCAGCTAATAAAACTGCTCCAGTTGTTATAATGGTACAATGACGGGAGGTTATTTTATCCTAAATGAAAAACAAGAATGGATTTTTACAAGAATGAAACGATAAGGAATGAAAATAGTCCGGTAATGTATCGTTATCACTATGAAAACATTACTTGTAATATTACTATCATTTAAAGCCATCGATAACTGATTTTACTTAGCTATAGCAAAATCAATTTTTTTTAAACGAAATTTTGAATTTTTATAAGACATTTCGTCTAAAATCTACAAGGTTAAAATTTACAAGACATTTCGTTTCCACATCTGTGGTATTTTGATGTCCTTGTCCAAGAATATCCTCAGCTGCACTTAACATGATCACATATGCGTAATTGTTGCATAATCCAAATATCCTGGATTTAAATTTCTTGTTGTTTCGATTGAAAATTATTTTTAAATTCAAGCTTTTCATTGTATCCATGGAAACAAGTTGCGAAAAACATTTGCGCTTGGATAAAAATACATCACCAAATTGTTTTAGATGTTATTAGCGTTCAAAATTTTCTTTATACCAAAATGAAGTTAATATTCGTATCATTTCCCATCTCTGTCTTGCTGATGATTTCGAGGAACCGCTTGTAGTCTTCATGGCTGAAAAAATTAAATTTTTTGAACAGGCTAAAAATTTTCTCGCACGATTTCAAAGAGCCAAGATTTACAGTCACTTGCCAAATTTTGGACTTCAGAAGAAAAAAAGAAATGTGAGACTTTTCGTTGCTGAATAAAGTTAACGAATGAAGTACTATACTGCTGAAAAAACATAAACCAAACGTATTATGATTTAAAAAATAGACAGAATGTTGATACAAATTAAATTATGCAAATGATAAAAAAGTCATTTTATCAGGTGATTAATTATCGTTGCAAACAATAAGGCTTTTTTGTTCCTTTTTCTTCACGACATTACTACTTCCATTTTCTAGAGCTAAGGTGGATTATAATTCTTTTCCATTGTGACATGACCTTATTATCCAGTAAAATTTGCACATTTATAATTGAACGTTTTACTAGTTGCAAGCGGAATGACCTTATTTTTGTGTAAGGTGAACCTGACTGTCATTCCACCAGGTGTAAATAATAACAATAACTAGTTGAAGAAGAATGCTTCCATCCATAAAGTGCATTACCAGTTCTACTGTCATTATGAGCGATGTGATTGCTTTCATGTACATATGCTGAATTGTTCTTGAATTTGACACTGCTCATTTTGCGGAGATTTCAAATCAATCCGTCAAATGTTTATTTCTCAGAAGTTCTGTAAACACTGTGAATGACATGGGAGTAACATTGCAATACTTGTTATTGTTGAATTTTTCCACCAAATTTTACCTAATTGGTTCTTTAATAACTAGTTAAACAATTATCTCGTATAGCTTATAAAGATTTGTTTTGGATACTACTAAGCGGAAATCTCCTACAATTCCGTTATTTTCATTCTGACATCACAATTAGAACATGAGACAAGGGAAACGAGGTTTAAGAATTTACTAAAGATATCAGCCAAAGCAAAAATGATGAAACTCTGATTTAAGGAACAAGAACTTGATTTGAAGTTTCTAATTTGCATTAAGAGACCTAACTAAATTAACGAAATCCTTAAGTACTCTAGAAATTTTAAAGAGAACAATGAAATGAGGAGTACTATGTCACACACTTCGCACTACGAGTTTTCTTGCAACTGCTGGCCAATGACCTCAATTGAATCCATAAAAATGAACAATTCTTGCATTTTTCCACCTCATTATTACTGGTTGACATTATTTTACAACACAGCAATAAATTAATGAATATTAATGACAACTACTGAATCAAAACCCCTTCTGTTCTTCTGTAAAACATCCCGACTGAATGAAATTATGCAAATTATTGATGATGAAACTATTTCCTGTTAGCGTAAGTTTGCAAATATTGCATTGTATTTTAGACAATAAAAATTGATAGGAATAAGGCTATCATAGGAATGATCAAATAGAGTTACTATTTGAAAAAGGTGGAAAAGAACAATGCTGATCAAGGAATATTGTTAGAAGGAACAAAGTAATGGAGCGGATGACAACAACGCCGTGAAAAAGATGAAAGGTCAGAAACAGGAAAACTGCCATTCATGCTATTATACAAAATTCATGGAAGACTAGACCCAGTGCATTCATGCATGACAATTTATTCCTTCTTTTCTTCAGTTTTCTGGATATCCGGTCGAATCTGGAAAAGTTGTTTGTCAGTCGAGGCAGTAGTATCGGCTATAAATTCTGAAGGATTTATGTGTGGTAAAACTACTTATTTATGGAAAGAAAAATGTTTTGAAAAAATTGAGATTCAGAAATTGGCAAGTGAGAATGAAAAAAAAAAAATGAGGAGAGAATGTAAGATATTCTCAAAGCTCTTCGAAAGGGACTTGTGAGATTTTTATAAAGAATTAAAGGAGGCAATGTTGAGATATTCATTCACTTAGAACCAAATTTCCTCTTAATGTTACCTGAATTTTAGCCAGAAAGAATTTGTGATAAAATGAATCGATCCATTTTTTTTGTCAAGAAAAATTAAACGACAGAAATATAGTGCGACATGCGAACGCCTTATAAACACCTAAAGGTGAATCAATCATCCGACATACGATTACAAAGTTTATTTCAATCCGCCTGAAATCTCCTTTATCCTTTCATATTATATCGCAGTATTTTCAATTTCTTTCCATTCTATTTTACTTTTATTAAAATTGTCATTTTTTATTAAAATTTCTTATCTTGTTTCACACATTTTGTCTTATTTCATACACTTAGAATTTTAGAACTTTATTGGATAAATTTTTTAAACTGAAAGAAACATTTAGGATGTGGTAGGAAAATGAAGTCGCAATGACTTGGTGAATGATTTCTTTCTGGAATGTGATGGAAAACCACAATTTTGTAGTCTCAGTGGAAGAACTGAGCGAAATGATAAGGAATGAAAAATACTCTTTCCCTGCACTGATTATTGAAAATATTGCTTGAAATTTTAGAAAAAAATTAAACAAATATAATTAATATTTATTAAACTGGAAGACACATCAAGTAATATTACTGATTGAATTTTTTAAGACATAAATATTGAATTAGGTGTGAGAACAGGTAAACTGTCGATTACTGAAGTTACATATTTTTCCCAGCTAGTATTGTGCGTAATTGATAAAATAAATTGTGATGAAAATTCCGACAGAAGGACATTAAAAAATGATTATCATAAATGGTTCTAAAATCAGACGACACTATGTCGCCTACCATCAATTATGAACATATATTTATGTAAATAAATACGTATTAAAGTGATGCAATGGTTCTTTGAGTAAATAGTTCAATCGATTCGACTTTGCGCTGTGCAACGGGTCTGAATTACTATAATTATATGTTCAAAGCTTTGGAACAAAGTATCGGTCATTGATGATATCAGTCATTTTACTTTCACATAAAAGCAAAAACAGATTATTTTTTATCTCAACAATAAATCAGTGCCACAAAATGATCCTGCACACGAGCACTCAAGCATGCACTGTAAAGTACCCTTGAGAAAAACATTTCATTCGATAAGGCACATGCTCCCAGTTAATGACATTTACGAGTATGGGAAGAACTTCAACTAGAATTTCCCGAACACCTGCTGAATCAGTCTTAAAATAACTATGAACGAAGAATTTTATCAATCAATATATTGCATGCTTCAGTATCGCGAGAATTTAATTTCTCAGCCATTATTTTTTTTTTTCTTTATTTTTGTTTTAAAAGATATAAGGTCATCTACTCTGTGGTAGTAAAAGATTTGTTAGAGATGAGAATAGTATAGCCATGTAATTCATTACTTTACACATCAGTGAGCAGTAGCAGTTGTCCCTAGCTACCTATCGTGAGTTCTACCGCACCACCTTAAGATATCTCAGGGGCGTTGGGCGTTACACAGATGGTTGAGCAGCAGCTGGAGAAGCTATAAACAAAGCTTCATCCCCTTCACAACTTCGAATTTCAGTTTCAACATCGGCAGGCAATAATGGTAAGTATCTTCTTATCTCTTCTTTTCTTTCTTTTTATCGTTTTCTATAATTATTTTTACATACAAGTCCCAATAGTCCCAATAAAATGTTACCCTGCATTATACGACATGCTGCATGCTGCATGCATTGCTTGAACCGTAATGCATATTGACTGATCGATTCCTGTAAGTTTCCTATCACCCATATGATAGACTGAAATTTATTGACGAATGAAATGTGTTAAAATCGAGATCAGTTAAATGTAATATTTTTTGGACATTTAATCCAAACATTAAATAAATCTGGACGCAAAAAAATTTTGATTTTTCCATCAATGAGAAAATTTACTTAGCTTTTAATCCTAATATCATTTGGCTTCATGTATTTAGTGCTAAAAGGTAAGATCGATTTTGTTTGTTTGTTTGTTTTCTGATTTAGTGATAAGTTTTTCGATAATTTTATCTGTCAGATTCCTTGAATGTATTCGAGAAAAAGTGTGCAATGTATTTAAAATAAGATAATTGCAGGCGGAAGATATTGATGAGATTCTGGCTGAAATTGATGGCTCACAAATTGAGGGTCTGCCTTTCTTTTTTTGAATAAATTCCAGTCTTTCCTAGTACAAATCATGACTCCAGTCCTTATGAAAAGCAATATTGACACTGCACTACTTATGATGTGACTTAACACTATGTTATAGTCAATCTAAATAATGTGCCTCAACAAGTATCATAATACTGAAGATTTCATAGTACAATAATATTTAAATTTTTTAATATTTTATCAAAAACATTTAAAATTTTATTTAGAAATTTTTTTAATTTAAAATTTTATCAAAAACAATTTTAAAATTTTTATCAAAAACTCTAAAAAATTTTATCAAAAACAGTTTCTTAAATTGCTTTTTGCTTGTTGAGGCAAAGTTTTCGGCTCTTTTTTAGAATATCAAAAGTTCTTCGACATGTTTGATCGTGGTAAACAGGGCTACATCATGGCAACACAAATTGGCCAGATTATGCATGCGATGGAACAAGACTTTGATGAAAAGCAACTTCGAAAGTTGATTCGTAAATTTGACGCTGATGGATCCGGAAAACTGGAGTTTGATGAATTCTGTGCCCTCGTCTACACCGTTGCCAATACAGTCGATAAGGAGACATTGCAAAAGGAACTAAGAGAAGCTTTCCGACTTTTTGACAAAGAGGTTTTTTTCCGTAAATGTTTTAATGTTTGGTTTTTTTTAATGAATTTCAGTTTTTTTTTTTTTTTTTTTTTTTTTTTTTGTTTTTTGTGAAGCTAGAACAATTGCTTGCTATTGTAAAAATTGTAAAAGGAGAAATTTTAATCCTCTTAACGAAATGAAATAGTGACTGAGTTAGATCGTCCAATGGAATCTTTTCTTCATGAAATGGCTGTGAATATTATTGATTATTTTCTAAATGAACAATTTAGGGTAATGGTTATATATCTCGGCCAACCCTGAAAGCACTTCTGAAAGAAATTGCTGATGATCTGAGCGACGAACAGCTGGAAGCCGCTGTAGACGAAATAGATGAGGATGGTTCTGGAAAGATTGAATTTGAAGGTATGAAGGAGGAGGGAGGAGAAGAGATCAAGATATAGAACTGAATGAATTTCTCAGTTCTTGTTGAGCTGAAATATGGACTTCATAACTCAAAAAAATTAACTATCATTCTATAACTGACAATTTAAACTAATTTAAGAAATGTTGTTATGACCATTTTAATTTTGCACTTCAAAATCCGTCTTACCTAAAATTCAATAAACTTCACAGAATTTCGCATTATTTAAAAAATCTTTTGCAGAATTTTGGGAATTAATGGCCGGTGATGCTGACTGAACAATAACAGTTGACAATTTCTAACCTTTCTTTTTGAATTTAATTACTGGTACGAAAATCTGCCTATATTTATCGTTTGTTGTACTATATGTATTATCAATGTTATAGAAATATTTTTAAGATATGAAATAAACATTATTTAAATATAATTTAATAAACGATCGATTACGTGAACTACGCATTTTTTCTTTCAAATTGTTAATACTGAACTGTTGCATTAAGTGGCACAAATTTTTTTGAATTTCATGCAAGAAAAGAACAGGTAGAACGATCAAGGTGATCTTCTTGAGCATAATTTATGATTACACGTTCCAATCAGAGTTTTCATCGAGAGAATCATCAGATGAACGATACCTAATTGGTATAATGACAAGTAAAATAACAGTTATCATCAATGTGCATGTGAGAAATACCCAAAATAGCAAACAATCGATTACGTGAGCTACTTGTCGCCATTCACTTGTCAACATCTGATATAATTCGTTCGTTTCCTGACGTTTCAAAAATGTCTGCAATATGCTTCATGGTTCGTATAATTCAAGAAATTGTATAAGATAACCACAAGAAGTGATGTTTAGTATTATTAATATTTTTTAAATTGCTAATACTAGACTGTTGCACTGGTGGTAGTGCCTTTTTTTTGAATTTCATGCAAGTTTCAAAGTTATGTGTTTACAAATAAGTATTGGCTATTATTTTGATAATTAACTTCTCAACTATAATTGAGTATAGAATAACCTGCAATAACATATGAAGACGAACTTGCAAATCGATGCTTCGCTTTGTTCTACGTGCTGTTAAATGTCTGTCAATGTTGATGAATTCGGTCTCTTGCAATCGAACTAATTGGTCTTCGAGTTTATTATGTAATTTCAAGTCTTAAGTAATTAGTGATTTTTCTATTATTATAATTATATGAGAAAAACCAATAAATCAAAATGCAATTGCACAACAATATTTGTATTTTGTAGCAAAATTAATCGATTTGAAGTCGAAGAATAAATAAGCAGAGAGCAATAAAGTAACTGACCAATAATCTTTCGTGAGCATGTTCTGCCTGGTTGACCATTCGACACAAACAAACCATCTCTGTTGCTTAATCGATGTATATGCATTTTTAGAAAATGTCGTAGTTTTTGCAGTACAAGCACACGAACCCATTCTGGTATGGGACGGTCAAATGGACCACGATGATGGAAATTCAATACCTAAACAAATAAACAGGTTCTGAAGAGCATCATCAGGCTAGCATGAATATATGGAAATTGAAATAATTAATCGAAATCCTGGGTGAATTCTACGCTTTCAGTTTAAAGATAATCTTATAGCTCTATTATTACAGTGTGTTTTCTGCAAATCCTTTCAATTCTCTTCTGAAATTGAAATTTCACATGTAATAAAATGTTACATATCTTACCATTACAGTCATAATGACAGATATACTGGTTAGAAGCATAATAATAGTCAAGTAAATTCCAATTAAAGGTATTGAATCACTTGTTTCCGGCATTTTCTCTGCTATAGCTAACACAGAGACCTAAATTCAAACAAAAACAGCAAAATGTGCCTGTAAAATAACAAAATGAAATTACTAGGTACTATTGTACAATGTTTATCTTATAGACCATAAACTTTTGGCTAGAAGAAGTATCTTTTCTTGATTTCATCTGATTCATTTGTTGAAGACTGAAGCAAAAAAACGAAATTTCAAAATTTACGCGATCCATTTTTACTAAAAAAAGATATGATTTTGGATCACTTGAATGAGATGTCATTTTGGGCATTTTATCTCTACACATTTACCGAGAATGCAAGAAGAACTGTAATTCCCAATGCGATTTTCTCGTTGGAATCGGGCGGCAAAACAAATACTGAAAAGAATTCTATAACAGTCTTCCTGCCACTTAATTTTTGAGAAACGAGTATTTTATACTCTTTCAGTTCAGATCGAAATTTAAATTATGAATTTAGCTTTTATCAGTTGAATTCTGATTTTCTCTCTTAATCTTGATAGTATAATAGCATCAGATAATATCACTGATAGCATTAGTTCCATTCGTTCTTTCTTATTTAACACATCATCAGGATTTCAAATGTATGGAACTGATTTCCTATGTCGTTCAATTCTATGGTATAACTTCTATTTAGGTTTAAAATCTGGTTAATACTCGTAGTTTATTGACTTAAATGGAGTTTTGTGGATTTCAATTTCAATTTATGAACCAAAATTGAAGTAGTAAAGTTTGATTCTAATTGTGAAATAATGGATTACCAAGAAGAGTTAAAACGGACATCATTAAGCATGGGAATACAACATTGTACAAATAATAAAGCGTCTGAAAGGAATTTTTATTACATTTTTGGAAATTTTCAGTATTTCAAAGTTTGATCGGACTAGTCTAAATCCTTGAAGAGTTTCGAGATGCTTAAAATATGAACTTGAAATACAAATTTTCTTAAAAATTGTAGCGTTATTGAATCATATAAAGCTTTTACAAGAAATTTTAAATCAATTTTCCAATTTTTTTCAAAAAAAGTCAAATTTTTTATTGACTAAATTGAGACTATGATTTTAAGAAAAGTTTTTTATCATTGCCTGCTGACAGATTCACTTCGGAAGCTGCGCAGGCACAAACGGTACCTATGTTTCCGCAACTCTTCTTCAGTTATCACTTCTAAACTAATTTATTAAAGGAGTGCAAATCAGTATAAACCATATGTTTCTTATGAACATAACGAATAACCTTCCGTCTGATATGAATGTAAAATGTAACATCTGGATACGGTTCCAGGCAACATGTATACTTAACAACTCGACGTTTCTGGAATACTCTCACCAGATCAAACTCTCCTGATTCCACATAGTTACTTAAATCAACATTTATACTGCGATTTGTGATATCGACTTGGAGACCTGAATAGACCTTTATTACTAATTCCTACCTGTGAAATCTATAAATTGTTGGACAGCAAAATAACAACAATATTTTTGTCTAAGTACAAGAGGCCAACATTAAAGTCAGATTTTGAAAGTAGAGAATTTGAAACTTTTATATACCATGATAAGTCCACGAGCCGAATTTAATTGAGCAGTGCTGACTGTCGAATGGAAAATAAGTCACATCAGTTTTACAAGTACTACGAAGTTGTGTTGGCGGAGGCCAGAAGACTGTGCCATCGTAAAATAATATTGCACGCGAGTGCATGGAGCCAACTGTATAATCGTCTGCGCTGAATCGAATATGTGACTGATAAGAAAAAGTAAGTAAAACTGAAAAGTTCTGAAATTACTTCATTTTTCATATTTAAAGTTTGCGTTTTCAAGAATGATTAAGTGTTGAGAATATCATTCATTCTCGATTCTTTTCTGATTATGATAGAATATAGCTAATGCAAACTTGCTTGTTATAAAGGACGATATCAGGTAACCATATCAGGTCGCACGGTACCCGAACGGACTTAATTCCACCAAATTTTTTCGGATCCCAAACCAATAATTCATCTTTCCATTCCTATAATTCTTAAAACATCCTTCCTTTAACTGAAGATCTCCAAAATTTGAAAAGTTTTATTAACGAACGTCGAATTATTTTTGATAACAAGAAATGAACTAACTTGATCTAGCCAGACATTTATTGTTAGCACTTGATTTTTCTCATCCTGAAAGCACGAGATTGAATGTCTAAACATCTGATGTAATTAAATGATCTATAATAATTAAATCATATCAGCACATCTCACTTTGTGATTGACATTGATTTCATATACTTCATGAAACATATAGAACATATATGAAATACGTATTGATTTTTAGGCTAAGGAACATTGTCAGAAGCTATTCGTCATGTTATGTCTCCTCTCCTTTTCTAATTTATTATTCTTTCTAAAGCATTGAAAGATTTTCCTTTATTCCTGAAGCATTGAATGGTACACTGAGAAGAGTCACCGATAGTCTCTCAGTAATTGTAACTGTCCACCTCAGAAAGACAGGTGACTATCCTTCCTCTTTGATCACCTTTCCTTGGGTAAATAAAGAATAAAGAAAAAGAAACGGAACCATATCGAAAATATTGGTCATCGTCATGCCCATTCTTACCACCACTGTATTAGAAGCATTTCTCACAGGTCTTACTGCTTTCTCGTACTGTCCGAATAGATGACGTAAAAGACGTTGCTCATCGGTAACTTGATTGTCGTCGTTGTCATCACGTATTTCTTTTCCTCCTACTACACTTCAAACAATGGAAGAATTTGAGTAGATTTGAATATTGCTTTAAAATTCAAATTTACAGAATACAAAATCAGATTAGCACCTGAATTAGAAAAATAAGCAGGAATGAACAGTCTGCAGTTCGGGAGGTTCCGGAAACAAGTCTCCAAATAAAGAATTTTGAAAGTAGAAACTGTGAGAGCCTTGTTTCAATCAGACTGTACAACAAATTTATATTATAATTGCTTTAAAAGTTTACAGCTTTGCGCCCGTAGTCTCATTCCTGTCACAATGTCAAAATCTGTCCTTTATTGTTAGCGATTCGAATCACACTAATTAATATATTGGAATTTTTGATTTCAATATTACTAGGATGTGATTAAATCATGCAAAATTACCTGTATTAGCAATGCAAGCAGTGATTAAAAAAATGAGATACATAATCTGCGATATTACGTCGATTAGCAAGTGAAGACATCAATTTGCATAACAAAGTCGAATTTCACGAGATTCAGTGATCTATAGAAAATTTTAATGATTTATCAGTTGCCAGATTATAATTTGTAGCAATGATTTCGAATTTTGGACAAAAAAAGTCAGAGCAAAAGAAAAATGGAATTTATATAAAAGATCCTTTATATTTCTATTATCATGAAAAAGTTGAAATCTTGAAACATGAAATGAAGTTTTTAATGTACGAATCCTGAACAGTTACTGGAGTTTAATTTTTCAGCCATATATTGATGGGTAAAGATTTGAAAGACTGAAACTAGCAGCAAAATGGTCAGTCATTCCACATTACCATTGCTAATAGTTTTAACCTTGCAGATCACAATCTGCTAATACACGATCTGAAATTTTAAGACAGTTTCAAGACTAACTTTCTATTCTTAGATTTTGGATTGAATGCTAATACACTAAAATTTCTGCTTGAGATAGTGCCGGCAATAGATGTGATAGGATCAATAGTAGTAGGATTAAATTACTAACTGTGATGAATAAAGTATCATTCTCTCTCAATTCAAAATAATGGTTTTAAGTATTCAAATTTTTATATAACCAGAAAATTTCCAAAAACTTACTTTGACTAACTGAGCTATTTTTATGAAGGAAATTGAAAAATAATGGAAAAACGTTGAAAATAGGAAAAATGTCGAGGATTAGTTGCCTATTTTAAGCTATCCATTTAAATTATTTTTTTGACCAGAATGGAAAGACGAAAAATTCATTCTTGAACAGAGCTTCTGAAAAACTGGGACATAGCGAAGACAAATGTATACAAAGGAGTGGAAGAGGGAAGAAGAAATCCGTGAAGGCTCTGAAAAATTGATTGGCCACAAACTGACATGCACAATAACAAAGATTTGTTAAATCAGACATGGCATGAAACAAAACAAAGTTATTTCGTTCAACTATTGGCTCAACAAATTAAAAGAGCAGTCAATATGGTCAGTATCGTGGTGATGTGTGACTGTCATTAAAATTAACAATTCGGCCTAATTTTAAGCCATAAAATTCCTAAGCTAACTGATAAAGCCAAAATTTCATGAAATTGAGACAGCACATTAGTGTTCGTCTAGCTGCAGGCTAACTGGTCCGAGGGTCATTGTGCTCGAAGTTATAAATGAACAAGAAGTTGTGAATGCCTTACGTCAGAATATAAGAAAAGGCATCAATTCTCTGAATCAAAATTTTTTTGAACAAACAGTGAGTCATAAATCATTAAATCTCTGCTTTTTTGGGACTCATTCATTTGATTGAGTTCACAAAGTTAAATTCCATGTTGGATAACTTATTTTGCGCCGATTGCAAAAATTGTCGCATTTGATTCAATATGCTTTCAACAATTTTCGGATGTATGTTTAAAAAACTCAATACAATTTTTTTTTTTGCTTCTGGATTCCTATGTCAAAAAAAAAAAAACTAAGAGATTTCATATAACATAAAAATTTTGATGCAAATATATAGTAATTTTAAAAGATGAATGCAAATTCATTTCTCGTTGACATTTAATTTCTAAACTTCAATTTCAATGGATTCTCATTGAAATCTCACTTATTTTGTTGTAACATTAGTAAGGGCTAAAAGTAAACCTTTTCATGGTTTCTTGATCAGGAAATAATCAGAACGGATAGAAAATTCGAAGATCTAAAAACAAAAAAAAAAAAAAAAATTTATTGGGTTTTCTAAGTCTTCAATTTGAAAAAACTTTTTGAAAGACTTCTTTTTTGTAATCTTCAAGATTAACTGAAATTAACAAATATCTTCAAGAATCATGGTGTAGATGAGTCCGTGTCAAGTAATGAAGTCATTTTTACTATCAAAATATTTTTCTAATTACGAAGAATTGTAATAGAAATTATTCGAGTGTAAAAAAGAAAGAGAAGTATGTGAAAGTGCTTTTTTATTATTTTAAAAATTTTAAATTAGTGAAGGACTTGAAAAAAATGTCGTCAAGTCATCAATAAACATGAAATATGCGACTACAAAACGTAATATTGTTGACTGATAAATAGCAAAGTTCTGCTAAGCACAAATATTTTGTTTCATTTCGCGTCTTTTTTCAGACCTAGAAGCTGTCTTTTTTAAAGTCATTGTGTGGTCTGATAATGTGACAGCTGTTGTCGCTAATTTGTTTACAGAAGGAAGATCGATAGTTCGAATGCATCCATACCGTAACACAAAATTCGATATTCAGATATTCTTTAAGAAAACATTTATATCACTTTGAGCTCCTTTTCTTCTATTCTATTTCATACTAATCTTTAGCTTAACTCAACCAAAAATGAAAATGCTTAATGCAAATTTCTTTATTTTTCTAGGATTTTTGACATTGACCTGACCCAATGTGTTATACTGCTAGTAGTTGCTCTTTGCAAAACAGTTCTATGCAATAATTAGATATTTTGCTGAGGTTATTGAGCAGTGAGGTCAAAATTTTTTGAGATTTTTAATATTGACGTAAAAATTTTTTATGAGAAAATATTTAAAGATTGTCCGGAAGGAATTTACCGATCAGATTCCAACTTCTGAATTTCAAATTATATTAGTATTCTTATATCCATTTTTAAGGCTTTTCAATACTTAAAGATCTCGTTAGACTTCAGCTTTCAGTTAATTTAATTTTGCCTTTGTCATTTCAAGATTTTGACCATAACTAATGGATTTAGACAGATACAATAAATTTTGATCAATAATTAATGGAAATTCTAGAGTTACAAAACAATTCCATGCAATAATCTGTAAGAAAGTACTAATTGTTTGTATGTTCATATGGAAAAGAGAAAAGAAGGAGAAAAGCCTCTAGCGAAGTGTAAGTCTTTTCAAAATATGTAAAGTTTGTTTTTTTGATTTTTTCCAAATGAGAGTAGCTTTGCTTATTTGAAGTGAAAAATTAAAACAGTGGAGAACCAAACACGAGCGAAATCTAGTGCATGAAAAATATATGTTGATAACATCACTGAATTTTAATCGTTATTTTTCTTGAATTTTACAAATCAACAAACTTTTTCCCAAAGTTCCTACATCTTCGGTTGAAGTTTTTGCTCGAAGTAAGTGTTCAGTTCTCCTTGTTAAAGGAAAAATGCTGCATTCCAGTCTCAAAAAATTGAAATTCGATTCGATTATTGAAATTCGATTATTTTTAGCAGAGAAATAATACTCTATTCATGAATGATAATTATGTCAATTTCAGCTTCCCTCCTAAAGCTGCTTTTTTTCCAAAACAGAAACTTGGTTTAGCAGTATGACCGAATGTAACATAATTTGAAGAGAAAGTTGTTGAAGCATGAACTTACGATATTAAAATAGTGACCGAACTACTGAGCTACGTTCAGTTGATATTTATGAGAAGAAGTAATCACAATAAATATAAAAAATGTACCCTGTTATTATCACACATTTATTTCAACTAAAATGCGAATCAGTGATGATACTTTCAATCTTTCGGTATTGTCATTTTGTCAGTCAGTTACCAAAGAAATTGTCGCACATTTACTTTTTAAACCTTTGAATAAATGACATTAAAGAAAAAGTATTATTGAAGTTCTGTAAGCAGTAAATGCAACTAGTACGCTTATATTATTCCTTCCACTTTAACCTTCTTTTTAAAAGTGGCGAAAAATTAATTAATTAACATACATGCTATTTCAGCAAGAAAATAAATCAGATTTCGAAACAAACAAAGAAAATTTAAAGCATCTGTGTTGAAATGATTTGCTTTATTTATGTATTAGCAATCAAATTTTTAGAAGAAACATTTCCACTTTGAAGATTTTGATCATTCCAAGTTGCTTGTTTTGAAGAATCTTAACAAGATTTCAATTACTGAGGATATCCAATACTTCACAAATTTATTGATTCATTTTTAGTGTTTTAAGGAGCTTTTATGACGTGCAGTCTTACTGTTATAAAAAGAGGTAGACCTTTTAAATTTAAAATTCACTGTGTTTTCCGGAAAATGTTTTTTGAAACGAAATAAAATATCCTTTTCAGGTGTTGAAGAAAGGTGTCCTTCTACTGAATGCCTTAGACATGTTGACGTTAGTGGAATTGAATCGAAATATTTGCTCCTTCTTATTAATTATCATGACTGAAATTGTCGATAAATTAAGAAATTATCTATTCTCGAGAAAGATCAGATTATCAAAAATACTGATAGTTTAAAACAAACTGATTACTGTAAAAACAAAATTCTAAAAACGAAATTTGAGTAACTGCTAGCCTCTCTTTTTAAAAATAAGAGTAGTTAATTCAATGCGATACATACCTATCAGATAGCTCGATGCCAAGCTGAAGTCAAATGTAAAAACTTGCCAATTAGTGGATTCCCGTCAAAAGATGAATGCGAACACGCTATGTGCATTCAATGCCTGGAGAAGATGATCGATAACTGTGAATCTGCTGGTTAATCGTGCCATTTTTTATGCGAACTTTGGACAACTTCATAATTACTACACGCATCACTATAATAGTTTTTTTTTTCGAAATGATTTTTTACAAACTTCCTCTTCACAAAGACGAGAATTAAGGTTCTCTACCACGTTGTCCTAACGAATCATGCAATGCGTGCAATGCTACCGGCAAAATCGGCATTCTTCAATAAACTTTCACTGGATAACAACTACTATTACTTGATTAAGGATGAAATAGTTACTGTTAGTAATGATACAGTTCTACTCTCGTCAAATACTAGGCTTGTAATAATTACAGCAATATATGAATGTGCTAGAATTATCATTTATGTTATTGCCAGGAGATTCCTACATTATTTAAAGGAGTATATACTTATTAAAAGTATATTTCCCTTCTTTCAGCCAATAAAATTTTCTGCAAATTTTAAATCGGTACAGAGATATTGTGAAATAGATGTTAAACATAGTATTGTGCCAACTTGGCGAAGCGCAGCGCCAATTTAAAATCCTCATTTTTTGTAGCACAAAACCCACCGAAGAGAACCGAATAACTTTTATATTCAAACAAATACAAAACGATGAACTCATCTGAAATTGCTTAAAACATATCAGGAAGAATAAATACACTGCAAAATTACAACCACTTTAAATCAATTAAAGATTCCAATTACTGGCCGAAGTTCTCACATTTTTAAATGTTTCAAAATATAAAAAAAAAAAATAAGAAAAAAAAAATAAAACACGTTTATCTCCGATTACGATTAAAATCATCGTGCGGTGGTTCGTAACGCCGATATCGACGATCATCATCATAATCTCTATAACGAAGCATGCGATTACGATTATCACTATAATAACGCCTACCACCGTTATTATGAAGCTGTTGTTGTTGTAATCCTCGATTACCATTGCGTTCACAATCTCGATCACGTCCACGTGGATCCCGCAAACCTCCACGACCAATGCCAATGCCTCATCACAAACAACGTGTAAATCCATAGTTTGCTGTTGCTGAGATAAATATATTCACTGGTTTTATGAAAGCTTGAAAATTTATAAAACGAGTTTGAAACCAAATCGAAAAAAACTTTTCTTTTTTTTTATCAAAAGCCCAGATGTTTTACAAATTTAACAGAACTATAAAATCCAACTTTAAAATTATCGGCAGTTTTTGATCGAAGGTTCTGAATAACACTATCCATTTTAAGATCGAGAAAGGTTTGCATTGCTTCTTGTTTTCATTGATCAAAGATTCTAGCTTCAGAAACAGTCTCTCATCACAAGACACGATATCTTCACCTAAGCAAAATCAAACAAATATTAATTGTGAGATGTTAGCCACAAAATAATTCAAAATATTTTTCATGAATCAACAAAACATTTTACCCAGATCACCTACATTCATCGCATTTTTCACCACCTAATCTTTTCCTTTTGAACAAGAAAAGTTGCTAGTATGGTCAAAAAATTTATTCACGGAAATGAAATTGAATTTAAAAAATCAGGAGGAATTGAATCTATCACAAAGGGATTCGTTTAACCCTCTTCAAAAAATGCATGGCAAAGTAAATGAGATGAGTGAAAACCAAAATTAAAATAAAATTCTTAAGATTTATACTCCTTAACTTCCTCAGTCAGAAAGCTCATCTCTAGTACTTTGGAAAGAGTGTTATCATACTAGTAGTAATGAGAAAAATAGTAAAATCGTAATGGTAATAATGACGGTAATGAAAACGATAATAAAACTAATTATAAGATTAACAATAATATTAATAACAGCAACATTAATAAGTTAAACAATCTTAATTAAAATGATGAAAGTTTTTGGCACAGCTTTCAGCATTTGAAATGCATACAAAATGAAGAAATTTACTAGAAATATTTGAAAAAACTTAACATTGGTTAAGAGATGTATGCTAAATGTTAATTGTATAAGACAGATGTTATTAGTGTTTTTTCTAAATATTTTGCATATAAAATAATTCGTGAGAATACGAAAAGTTCACTTCCTGATTTTGCAACTTCTCGAAATATGTTAACATAGCAGGCGGTTTCCTCAATACAAAAACTTTAGAAATATTTGTCAGATGTACTACAAATTATGGGTCACAATTAAGAATTGCTTATTACATGATAACCGATAATTTTCCTCCATAATAGTTTGAAGAAAGAGATGTATGCTAAATTTTGCAAATTTACCATCCGACGATTGATTTTCAGAGATCGGTAAGGCATCAGGCTATGCCGTGAGAGCTTTTTCCAAAAATTTTCACCAACAATATGGATATATTAATCAGAAAATTAAAAATGCTAAGGAGGAACACATAAAGTTTTTTTTTTTTTTTTTTTTTTTTCTGTTTTTTTCTTTCCTAACAAAATTTGGTCAAATTATATACAGTGATAAGAACATAACTTTTCATCCTGCTTTTTCATCTTTGATGCTTCTCTGCGGTATGTAAAGTGTTAGGCTAGGTTGTATTATTTACATATGCTTGTAAATTTATCGTAAATGAATCAGATTTGCCTTGCATCGAATTGTTTCTCAATATTCGATGAAAGCTACTGTAGACGTTTGAATTGGAAATGTTGTGAGAGTCAATTCTGCTGCCGGTTAGCAATCCTGATGTGAATTTGCTTTTTGCCAATAGTCAGTCTGTCAGGAAATTTGCCTCGAATTTATGTTGATTCAATTAATTTGAATTGCTGTTATAAAAGGTGAAACAAAACTCCAGTGGATAACATTTGATGTTTCGTTTCAACATCTTTGAAATATCATATTTGAAAGAATTGCCGCATCTTCATTTCTCTTGAACTAAAATCAAAGTCTTCATATAGTGATGGCTTGAATTTCGTTTTAATTCATCGACTAATATTATAAAATAATCTTACTTGTCTCTTTGTATTTCACTCATTTCTACTGATAAATAAATCTTTATGCTAGAGATTCATTACGCACATTATTTTTGAAATTTGCAGACCACTTTCGGCAGTTTCATTGGAATGCTTGCCATGTAAACATAATATTTGTTCAACATGTATGGAAGAATACAAAATATTGCCCATTCCCGGTCTGTCTGTATAAATTCCATAAATAAAAGATATGACATGATCTATCACTAACTTCTAAATTTCACCTGTAATCTATTTTTCTCTGCAGAAAGTGACCGATGTTTTAGTTTGCCCAGCGGAAGATTGTTCAGGAAAAGCATCTGAGGCGGATGAGTCCAATCTGTGCGACGGTCGGTATATGTAAAAAATACGTGGAAGAAGGCAAATACATAACGACAAGTTGCTGTCAAGCAAAAATATGCTCCGCTTGTTTCGAGACTATTTCCGGTCGTAAATATTCAACAGGTACAAATATAATTTTTGAGGATAGATGATTGAAGAATAAGGTTTGAATCTGAGACAATGCTTGAGTATTTTCTAATTGAGAATTCAATGAAAAACTTCCTATTAATAAGGAGTGCTTTAATTAATTAGATAAAACCTGAAAAGTCCATTGAATATAATATTAAGAGAAAGACTTGTAGACCCGAGTGGCTCGAGAGTAAATTATAAATTTCAATAAATAAGATCTATCAGGAAACTGCAAGATTCAGGAACCAACTTTCTACCCTAATGGGTCTTCTAACGACATTGAAAATCATACACCTTGCAATTCTTCAATTTTAATTAATACCTATATGCTGTCCTCTAGGCTGTTATTTCAATCGAAGTGATAATTAATTGTGGCATCACTACTTAGTACTTGAAGTTAAAATTTAATTGTCATCATCATCGATAACCAGCTATTTTATAGTCCTCCAGGAAAAGAAGGGTATCCTGATCGTTTGCTTTCTGGAAATATAGGAATATTTTTTTACAACCTGAGTAACAGCATTAATTATTAATTGCTTCAAGGTCTCTCCTTTACTGAACTCTTTTAAGTAAACAATTGCAATTTATCGTGACGTTATGAATCCTAAATTTAGCCGATAATATTCACTGTTGCACCTCATTTTATTAAACTGTTCATAACATAAATCACAGTGACCTTACACAGTGCTCGCTTCAAAAAAAATTGTCGATCTCGTTAGATACGCTTAAATAATTAAAGTGGGAATGAAAATTCAATGTTTAAATAAACACTGAATTTTCGAATGTAATCGAATACAAAAAAGTCGAATCAGAGGATAAGTACCTAGTTGCTGTTCTTCTTTGAGTTTATCTGTGTAATAAAAGACTTAATTAGAAGAAATGTGATATTGAAATAATAGGAATAAAAATTCAGTGTTTATTTTAACAGTGATATCTTACAAATTTTTATTTTCTTTTAAGATATCACGATAAATAACGACGATCAAGGCTTTTAACCAAATATAGGTTAAAAATTCAAATTTTAATTCCAATTTTGAAAATCTTTCCTTCATTGAAGTAAAAATTCACGAAATTACGGAAAACTGATTCTAATCATAAAAACTTTTCCACCTACTATGATTTTAAAATCAATAGCGGAAATCTAAAAGATTGGATTTGTCATGTCTGAAGTCAAAAATTCTAGGGAATTCGAATTCAGAAACACGAATCCAGCTGGAAATCTGAACATACATATCTAAACTTCAAATAAATATCTTGTAGATCAAAATTTTCATTCAGCATTGCTTTTAAACTTTTTCATTAGATTTCGTATTATCACTTTCCTTTTGACCACATCCTGAAAACGTTTGGAACAGCTGACTTATTCTAAAATATGAAAATAAAAATTTGAATGTTAAACTAAGGTTGTTAGTTTATACCGTTGATATTTTGAATTATTTTTTGTACTCATCAAAAATAAAAATATGTTGATAAATAACAAACGATGGAAAAGTTGTATAGCAGCAGCCAGGGAACAAGCCGATGTTGGAATAAGTAACAATGAGAAGCACATCAGAATAACTCCACTTTCTCGAATTTCTGCAAAAACTTCCCTATCTTTTTAATCTTACTTTTTTTAAAAAAATACTCAATAAAAAGACTTCTTCAAATTTATATGATACAGTTATAAGTATGTAAGCTTCGACACGTTTTCTCTGAAATGAAATTTTACCCTCATTCGTATGGCCAAGAAAACTGGCCTCATTAAATTTCCATTTGCTGGGATTGAAGAATACGTTTATGGATAAAACGGCAATGATTGATAAATAAATAGTAGAAGATATCTGAAAAAGAAGGGAGCAAAAATAAAGTATAATAATGTGGATATCTGGGCGCAAGCTTATCTCTGGCGGAAAGTGACTATGGAGAATCGAATGCCAATAGAATGGCTGATCGAAATGCACGACAGTTGGGAAAGCCTTAAAACTGAGCTAACCTGTACGATCATATAGAAAAGAAGAGCAGTTGGAAAATGTGTAAGTACGCCGACTAGCACGGCTATACCACCGATCAGTGCAAGACAAATGTGCAGGATGAAGGCGCCAGAATATGACAAAAATATGGCACAGAGGGTACAAAAGCCCGTCATTCCCAGTAAGGAACTCATCAATAAAGCTATCTGAAAATTTTAAGACCATTGGACATTTTTCTAAATCTTGTAACTGCTTCAACTTTTTTGCACAACCTGGAGCAAATCTCCACGTGAGGTGTTATATCGGACATGGAACTCCTATACTGAACTTGTAATCATAAATAAATTAAATTACCGAATAGTGTAAGAGGAATACCTCGAGAGAGTAAACATTTCTACAAATACATAAAGTTGATTGTTCTCCATTTACTGCTGAAAGTGAGTTTTCGCCAGTACTTTTCATTCGTTTACTTTGGTTCTAAATTAAACTTAGCAAATTATGAGAAAACAAGAGATGCTGTTGGAAAGAAAATCAGTTGTTCATTTAAAACGTCAAATATCACATTTTCGCCAACTATCTACTTATTTATAGTTATGCAATATAGAGACTTAGTTCTAGTTCGAATTTTCCACATTTTCATTATTTTATCTAGAATTTACTTCTGTGCTCAGTTTATTAAGAATATGTCATCTATTATATGCAAGTATCTTCCGTCATCTCGAAATTGATCATTCCAGAGAAAGTAAAGAAGTTTGATAAAAGTATTGAAAAGCGTATAAAAAATTCTGGATGACAGAAGAACATATTCATATTTAAGCATACCGTAACAGTTGTAGAGGATGGGTAGTCTTTAAGATGAATTTCTTTCTCCAATAGTATCAACCGACTGATAAGAACAGCACTGTCAGTCAATAGATGTCTGTTCAAAACTGAATAAGAAAAGGCAATCTGTTCAAGAGAATTAATTAATTAGTGGCAATATAAATAGTTGCTAAAATGTCGGGAAGGTTAGTCATGAAGAAATGAGCAGTTCCTTGTAAAATGAAAAATGCATGAATGAGTAAAAAGTGACATGATAGAAGTACTTGACAGTGCTACACAACGTGTCGTGAACGGTCCTTTTGTAAATTGAAGGCCTGATTTTCTATCGAAAAGCTATTACTAATACTAATAGGTTTCTTCCTGTTGTAGAAAGATGCAGGGAAATTGAAACTTTACGAGAAAAACGTTAAAATTATTTTTAGACAATGCGAAATAGAACATAGAGGAATACACTGACAAAATTTAAAAAAAGAAGTGAATATTCTGAATTGAATTATACCACCACCATACCATATCAATTTTTAATTTATTTTTTTGTGAGAAAAATAAGGAAACGATCAAAAGGAAAAGAAGAGAAATGGGAAACTGGAAATCAAAATAAGAGAGAAGGAAAAAAAAAGATGAAAAGTGATTAGTGATAAGGAAGACAAAAGTGAATTTGGCAAGTGACAATTTGTTTTAAATAATTATAAAGAAATTTCAGTTGATCTTTTGAGCTAATAGTTTACATTCTAGAAAGGGGATAATTATTCATCAAAAAGTGCAAGACGATAGGTTTTTAAAAAAGAACTTTTACTGTAATACATAATACTCTCTTTCCAGGCCTTATACAAATTTGATTATATCCAAAATTTGTAAATTAAATGTTTAACAGCAAATGCAAAGACTTTGTTATTAATTACATTGTTGTGATTATTAAAATTAAGATTAATTTGAGTTTCTTCAATAATCTCGTCAGATTTTTTGTTTAGTATTAGAATTGAAGAAATAGATTTGAATCGAATACATACACTATTTATTCTTTCATTCTTTAATTTATGACCGATTAAAAAATGTTGAAGTTTGAGAATTTTCCAAGTAACTTTAGAAATAAGGGTATTGCTGTGAAGTTAAATTATTTTTACGTTACTGTTGTAAAATAATGAAAAAAGAAAGGCAATAAAATGAAAACTCGAGAGCACTTATTTTGACCTTTATTAACAATCGAGTGCAGAACTGGAAACTCTAATCCCAGTTACTTAAAAATTTTCAAAGTCTAACAACTTTTAATTGATCATAAACTAAAAATGAAAGAATAATGATGTATGCTTTTGGTTAATTACTGCCCGGAAAATAAGATACCGAAAAAAAAAGAGCAACTTGGAGAAGTTAGTGAATACGTTTCCACTTTGAATTGATAAAAAAATACCGAAATAAAACAAAATCAAAATTATTTTGCATTTCTCTTCTGGAATTAAATTACAATTTATATTCTTACGTATTTTAGATTGTTAACAAATCATTAATCATTGAATTATTAATAAATATGGAAAAGAGAGAAAGTTATTTTCAATATTATAGCAATACGGATTGTAAACACTGAGCACGTTATCATTTCAGTGGGACGTGATTCATCCTCAATAATGCTTCCTGCAACTTTTCACATTTTAATTCTTTTTTTAATCGTATTCGTTTCTCGAACACATAGTTTTTGAACAATTTTGAACGAAAAAATTTTCTGGTGACCTTTTAAGGACTACAAACTCAAAAAAAAGGAAAAATTGGAATGCCTTCAAATGACGGTGTCATTTCATGTTTTCAGAATGTACCGAGAAGTTGAATGTCACTTCTGACCTTGAAATACAAATAGACATGAAACACCCTTCCTCTTCTATCTAAAAATTTTCACTTCGAAACTCAAATCTATTTCTGGGATGATTATCATGGTTAATTGAAAGATGCTGACAAACCCACTTTAAAATAGAAATTAATATTAAGGATATAATCGTTACCCTAAACTGTACTTCCGTTTCATTCCTAAAATAAGGTGTTTTAGGATTATTTCATTTTTTGTAGTATTTACGGAAACCATTTTCACCACAATTTTTTGCGATTAACTGCATATTTCTTTTCTCTGAAAAACTAACTTCTTTCATTATTTGTAAGATTTTTGAACTGAAGTTCGTCCATTTTGTTGTAGATATGGCAGTCAAAGGTCTTCTTAATGATTGCAATCAAAATTAATCATTTTTCTCAGTAAAATTTAAGATGAAATCATTTACATGTTGTCTTTTAAAATCTGGCAAGCTATCAGAATGTAACGGTTCGTAAACAGTTTGACCTAGATTTAGGTCCAGTCCTCATTATTCATTGAAACCATTATTTTTCACTCAAATGCGTCATACAAATAGATGACGAAGATTTTGATTGTCGAATTAGCACAGAATTTGTGAAATATTGTTAAAATATTATTTACGCACTTAGCTACTGCAAAAGTTATAGGGGTTGATAGCGCAGTGGCGGTAAGTTACTCTGAAGAAGAAAATCACTCGCGGTGTGTAAACCTTTCGTTACAGTTCTCATGTGAAAAAGCTAGTCATTTGATTTCAATAAAGTAAATATTACATCACACTGAGGCTTCAACTTCAAGCGTTTTTCATCACTAAGCAAAAATTATTTTTCTTTTCAAACTTTCTTTAAAAACTTGAAATATTCTGTAAGCAAGTTTTATTCTTTAAGGATGAATCACTTCACAAATCATTGTGTATTATATGCTTTATTTGTATCATTGTACTTCCGTGACGTCATTTCACTTAATTATAGCACTTGTAATTGTTTAATTGAAGTGACAGCGGTGTAATGTTCCATTTTGTATTTCCGATTCGGTTCAATGATCCCTTCTGATTGTTCGCCCTTATTACCATTTCTTCTTCACCTTCGCTTTTTAGAAAGGAACGGAAAATTACATATATTACATAGTGGAGAAAACGAGTGAAAATGAATAGAGAATGAACGATGGGACAAATCACACTGAGTAAAATTCTCCATCAGCTGATTGTCACATCGTACATCAATAACAGTGATAACCTCTATAAAACGTCAATTCTTTTCTTTTCTTTCAAAAAAGGAATCGGATAAAATTACGAGAAAAAAAGAAAAAAGGATTTTGTGACCCATAAAATGGACGTCATAATTACTGCATCATATTTTATCATTGAATAAGTAACTTTATACCATAGAAAATTTGTGATTTCATTTTTCCTCAGTCATTCCAAGACAATTTTATGCCCATGGATATAACGTGAATTACAGCATTATAAAAAAGTATACGTGAAGAATTGCTAAGTGCCGAGTTTCACCCAACAAAATTTGATAGTTTCACCAATTCTTCAGGAAGACGTAAATAATGGCACGATAACGGAACAAATCCTTGCATGAGTTTGCAGCAAAATGATTCAGAAGAAACTAGTTAAAACAAACCCAGGTAAATTACATGTTATCCTGAATTTTCTTACATACATAATGCGAACATTACTTATTCCATTTGGATTTGCTGTTCAAGAAGAATTTGGATCAATTATTTGCTCTACGTTCGAATTTCGTCATAATAATATTAGCATAAATTAGTAAATTTAGCAATGATTTAGCTGCATGCTTCTTTTGAGATGTTTATTATCCGGAAATTTGTTCAAATCAACATGTCACATTCATAAAATGCTTCGAAAATCAAATTATACAGCACAAACGGTTCTTAAAACAAATTTATTCACCTTTTTGCATGGAAAGATGCTTCCATCACAACAAACTTAATTGTGGAGTACTGCAAAGAGAAAATGTTGCAGAAACTTTTTCACTCAGTAATATTTCAGAAGACTTATTAAGCTCAAAATATCTAGACATCAATTAATTATTATGTTCGCGCAGTTGATTACGATTTCATTTTCACTTTGATATATGCTATATTCTTGGATTAGGATGCTTAGATTGCAATAAAATCTGACTGCTCATCGATATAGCTGTTTTTCTTTTTTTTTTTCATATTTTGAATATTTTGAATTTCTAATTACCTTATCTTTATTAATTCTAATTTCTAAAATATCAAACAAGCTTACGGTTACTTTTTACCTTGTTTTGATCTCATTACAACTTCTTCTTACTAAATCTTGGAGAGGATTTTTTTCTAGAAATAACTTCCACAATTGATAGATAAAATGATGAAGAATTCAAGGAAAAGAAAAATTTAATGATGGACAAAAGTGAAAAAAAGTGACATAATGAAGTGAGGATGATCATGGGTGGAAACACTTGTAGTGCGTGGAATTTTGTGAACTGAAAAAACTGACAGCTTCAGACTTCAATTCTTTAAGAAGTTTGGATATCTGAATTTAAAGAAGATCAACAATATCTCAATCCTTACAACCATGATTTTCTCTTACGACACCAAATTTAAAATGTCTATAGATTAAGAATTGAAAGGAATTAAAATGTCAAATTAAGAAAACCAAGAATAAAATTATACCTGCATATGACCTGGATAAAAGAGAAAAGTACAACAATATCACTGATACAATATACAAATGGAATGTACCGTACGGTTTCAATGCATACTTAAGATCACAGGTTGGAATTTTCAGTTTGAAAAAGACCTGGTTTAATCAATGTGTAATGGTAAAAGAAATTTGAAAAACAGCAGTCGAAAAATTCTTTACATGTCTGGAATAGTGTTAAGAATAAATAAATAAATGAGAAAAAATAGGAAAAAATACAGAAACGATCTTAGCACTAATTTTAGCATGAGATTAAACATAAAAATAAAAAAAAAAACTTTATTTAATTACGATGAAGCTCTTGTTAAAAGTCAATTTATTTCTGCTTTAAAAATTTTTAAAAAATATTTCGGACTTAGAATTATCTATTTAGAAAATGGTTCAGACTTTCTAAAAATGTCAGTCAACAGTGAATAAACTAAAATTGAAAGCAACTGGCAGTTATAAAATGTCGGAAGTGAACAAATGTGAACGGTGTTCAAAAATAAAACACAAAAATGGTAGTTTTCATACAATTTGCACTCCCTGACTTGGAACTCTCATAATAATATTGAAAACAGAAAGGAAAAAAATGATTCTTCTTGCAGAAACAAAATTTTACATTTACATGAAACTAAACATTAAGATTTGAAATTCAAAGCAAACACTGTGTTAACGGTGTGGGATACCACACAGACGAAGATGATGATGGTACCGTAGTGTTGCGATGCGACGATTGCGGTAATGTTGCCGACTGCGCGTTTACTCCTTGCTCTTGAGAGTAATATTTGGCGAAGAACCAATTTTGAAGCTGCAACATTGTGGTTAACTCTGTTACAGACTTTGCTGCAGTACCGCTGGTCGATGAGGTGGAATTTTTGTCATCTGTCAGCGAGGAGTCACACTGAGATGCAGTTATGGGTAATACAATTTCTGAGGTTTTTGAAGAACTGACAACATTTCGATTCGTTTGTTTGAGTGTTACTCCATAGCGCTTCTTGAAATTATGCAGCCAATGTTCGGAAAATAAACAGCGAGCAGATTTTGTTGCCTCTTGCAACACTTCAGGGCAAATTTGCAACGCGAGTTCACGGGCTTGTTGCTGAAGCCAGCGATTTGAAACTCGCTCCCCCTTCGATTGTTGTTCTTGCAGTTTTTCAAATAAAACCTTTTCCACACCTGGAAACTGGACTTTTCGACCTCTACGGCCTGGTTCCGCACCCGTTTGATTTTTCCGACATAACCATGGAAATCTTTCGTAGAATGCTTGAATTGGCAATTGGCCTGGTTTGTTCAAAATTTCCTGGACATGTTCCTCAGCAGTTGGGAATGTTCCAGATGTAAATATAGCCAAGGAATTATCAGAATTTATTTGGTCTTCTACATCGATGAGAGTTTCCAGACTATCGCTAAGAACACTGTCAGCATCTGAATCGATGCTCTCATTCTCCACTGTTTCGTCGGACTCGGTAGGAGATTGTTGCATAGAATCTGCAGCACTACTACCGGAACCAACAGATTCTGTGGAACCTAAACTTCCGGAACTACTGTTACCAGAAGACCAGTCACGGTTCAAATTGATTCTATATCGTTTCTTAAAATTACTTAACCATCGCTCACTAAATTGACACATTCCTGCCAGTTCCTGTTCTGAACATTGCTGCTGCGCTAGATTCCGGGCTGTTTCCCGAATCCATCGATTCCCAACTTTTTTCCCAGTCCCCAGATGTGCATGGTAAAGATGAAATAGTTGTTTTTCAATATCAGGAAATTGTGGTTTTCGGCCACTACGACCGGATTTTAGGGAGCCAGGTCTAGACTGCCGAATTTTGTCGATTTTTTGCAGCCATCCATTCAGCATCGATTTTGTTATTTGAAACTCTTTGCAGGTACGATATTTGTTCTGTCCATTTGTATAATAATAATTAATAACCATAAGTTTGAATTCCCGTGGATAGGACATCCGGTTTGGTCCCACGGCAGCACCAAGTTTAATTGCGATCCAGTTTGAATTTAAATTAGGATTTGCACAAGTTGGTAGAAATTTTAATTGTTGTTGCTGCTGTGTCTTAATAAGTAACTGTTGTCGAGCAGCAGTCGACTGACTGAGATCCAGTGGTACTTCTAGGCTAGTTTCCAATGTAGGAGTTTTTGTTGTCAAACTGAATAGACGAGAAGCAATGGGATGAATCGGGGTAGGTCGATGTAAAACTGTAGTTTTCGGAGAAGTCAGTAACTGGGCTAGAAGGCTAGAAGCAGAACTTTTTTCTGGAGCTAACTGAGACCTTTCTGGCATTAAACTTTTAATAGTTGCTGTAGATGTTGATGGCAAAGGAACCACAACCGAAGCAGGCGGAAGCATAGAACAGTTGTTGATGCTTATGTTATGCGAAGCGTGGCTTGTTTCTGGCGAGGCTAAGTTTGGCATTTGTAGATCTAGACCTGGTTGTAGCTGATGGTGACATTGTTGCTGCTGCTGTACATTCATGGGAGAATATTTGGTCAAGTCCATTAAATGGATAAGTGGTATAACCAATGGAAACACTAACGGTCGTAGTTGGTAACGTTCTAAGAAGGCGAAAGTGTGATAGGAACACTTGGAGTTGTCGTTGGAGCAGCATTGACGAACTGAAATGAAATTTCATTTCAGTTCAAAAGAGGGTGTGTATGTTTTGTAAAAGGGGGTATAACAAGACATCACCAGACCCCCACCCCCGGTCCTATCCCGCTCTTCGACGCGCTGTTGACCAAAAGGTCGTTGGCTGGTGGCCCTATTTTCTTCCAATATCCTTCACCTCCTTCTTGACTTTGCTGCTGCTGTTATTGAAGAAATTCTTACAATTGAAAATGACGAGAAAATGGGATGGGCGGGGGAGCTGTAACCCCCGGGGTCGTCGTATGCCTCATTCTTAGCGAGACAGAAAGAATATTTTGTTTATTTGAAGGTCAACCCCCGATATACTCGATTACTGCGTCCCATGTCTTATTTGAAGGGAGAAGATACAGGAAGCAAACCCATATACACTACTTCAGCAGTCATTCATAAGAAGAAATGGTATAAAGACGAAATATATTGTGAAATTTGAAATGGTCCGTTCCGCAACATCATTTGTCGTGTTCATAAAGGGTCTGCAGTGTTGCTATAAATTTCGCAAAACGAGATGAAACCCCCGCCCCAGACCCCTCTCTCCGTTTAACCCCTTTCTCCAAAGGGGCAAGTTCACGGTCACAGACATATGAACCAGGTACTCACAAATCCCATCTAATCCATTTCTTTTACACCTTCTTCAACTCTCGCCATTGCCTACCCTGCATAATGAAATCTCAAATCTTCGAGTCAATCCTATTACTCATCTAATTACTTCCTGTTAGTACCTGTATCAAAACCCGTAGTTATAGCTCCATATTAATTTGTACCTGGTTTGAAATCTATACCTGGACATCCACAAATACAGGTAACACGGTAAGCTTCAAAAATTCTGGAAAAACTTGCCCCAAAAGATGCAAAAAACAGTTCGCATCTGAAATCTCTTTTATAACTAAATTTTGATTTTTTATCACTCTGTGAAAAATAAGAGTCACACAAGACGAAAAATAGTGGAAACAACATTCAATCATCAAGTAGATGATGACCCGAACTCACTGACCGGAAGTTCAAGAATTTACTCACGTAAACATTTTAAATGGAGGCAAGTTTAAACAACACGATTTAAAAAGAAATCAAGACATTCTTTCAGCAAGTTGAGATAGGGAATTGCAGTTAGAATAAAAACTTGATGAAACTACAATCAACCATAAATTCTGCATCATTTCAGTTTAAAAGAGGTTCAATAGGGATAGGTTAGGTCAATCAAGTGGTAGTGAATTTGACCGTCGAAGTGGCCCGATTTTCAATTCTGCGAACATCTATAGAACAGTTTACATGATGAATGTATAACTACGTATTATGTTCTCATGATCGTGGAGAAAAGAGGAAAGTGCTCCGACAACGGTCATTGAACCCTGGAAACTCTCTTCCCTCTCTATCCACTTTCCCTCCTGACATTTTCGCCAGTTTGCCGTACCCACTTACACCTGGTACCTCCCGGGTCTCCTCTTTTACTAGCTATACAGACGAACACATCAGCGAAATTTCAACCTTATGGACGAAGAACAGTACTCATTTCGCTGAAAATGGGTCAATTTTTGGTATTTTTGAACGGCTGTACAAAGCATACCGAGTAGACGCACTCTTCTCCGATGCAGTTAAATTTCACCACTACCGCTCTTTCACAAGGAGTACCCTAATAGTGGTCATTTTATTAGTGAAGATAGTAACGGACAAAACGATCTTTATGTCCTAAAACCTGTCTGTTGTTACTGGATGTTCAAGATTTAGCTAAGCTATATATCTTACCTATCACTAGGCTCCCGCCATCCCGAACAGTACTGGAAGCAGAGACTGGACAGATGCTGGAAATTTTTCTGTTAATCAGACGATTTCATCAGACGTACCAAGCTGTTGAAAATGGATAAGCAAGATGAGACATTAATAAACAGAAAGATGGATGAATAAAGATAAAGGAAGTATAACAATAAGCAAGGAATGAGTCCAGTGCACTGCACACTATGCAGACAGCTCCTCGGCAACGTGACCTGCAGCTTACCTGATGTTGCTGTATAACAAGCCATAAGCAAGAGAGCTTCAGGAAGTCCGGGATGAGTGTACCACAGATAAAACTAAACTCATCTTCCAGTGAACTGAGTAGTACCGGAAGTCGATGCATAGGTGTTTAGAGACTCCTTTGAATCCAATTCATTGTATATGTGATATTTCTCGAAGATATGAACAGTCGGGATTAACGGATGGTCTGAGAGTCACCAACGCAAATGTAGAAGCATACAAATACATAGAGAAACAATGTTGCACGTCTTGAACTTCTGGCTAGTTGTTCCCTGACCGCTTCAACGGATCCCCTCGGGAGAGAGTGGCAACGACGGGTGATGAATTGAGGCGCTCTCAGCACTCTCTGACATGTATTATCAGTCCCTCATGTTTCTTCATCATTGTTCACTGTTCATTCGTCCTCACTCTCGATTACATGGAAACACTCGGGAATACACATACATAGAAATATTACAGGGTTATATGCTTTCTGGAGAAGTCAGTGAAAGCGCATCCTCCTCATCCACCACGTATTATGGCAGTTGTTCAAGAATGGATCCGGACGTGGCTGAACGTATTGCTTCGCTTTTATCTTCTCTAAGGTAACATTTCCTTCATATTTTTTTATTCAGATAATAAGAGAATTGCTGGAAATCCTTCTTATATTCGACAGTTTTCAACACCTTACATTAGTTTCGTTTGTCAGCAGTATAATGATTCAAACTTCATTAATTGTTGATCGGATTTTGTAGACTGACTTCACTTCGTAATAATATTCCACAAGACGGAGAAGTGGAGCGTTTGAAAAAAATCCATCGACAACTGGAATGGTTGGTTAGTGAAGAACCTGATGATCATAGGTGAGTTAGGTATCACTTGTTACTGAATATTCGAACTGTTAAATATGCGTGAACTAACATCGATGAACTAAAGCGTACATTTCCTTCCACTTATTGATAAAACATGCTAGATAGACTTAGATACTGGGAGAAACATCACTGTTGTATTAGATTAAACTGTTTGTAGTGTTGTCTTCAATTACTGAATTTCGAGTTGACTAATTATTTAAAATCAGTGTTAATTACCTTTATTACCTTGTTAAGGTCATTTTATAATGTTCCAGGCGACGGCGACTTCGGCAGATATTGCCAGCAGCTAACTGTGTAAGAGAGCAGGTTTTTGCGCTACGACGCTATTTACATAGTGTTAATACTGCTTCAAGTACAAATTATGCAACACATATACATGGAGCATTAACAGCTATCATGAAGGAATCGTTTGAGGAAGAATACCGCAAATTGGCTAACGTTATTGGTGAGCTTTAGCTTCCACAGAGTACTGGCTTATATTTCAAGATTTGAAATAAGCAGTATAGTATACAGGACATGGTTATCATTATATCATATCATTTACACTACTCTTTGTATAGGTATTCTGGATGCGGTTGCAGAGTTGTTGATATTTGAAGTAGACGCTTTTGATATTGATTGTCCAGTGGAGAATCGTACGATTAGGAAGCTGATAGCGAGTACATTGACTAATTTAACATTTGGAAATGCACAAAGTAAACGCCGTCTGTGTACGCATCCGAATCTTATAGAATATACTATTAGAATCATAGACGATTCTCATGGTCTCGCTCAGGTTTATAATTTCTGTACATATGTAGTGTGTATGTACATATTTGCTTGCATACATATCATTGAATTTGTTCTTGTTACTCTCTTTTGTTACAATGAAACTGACTTTTTCTTAAGGTTTATGCTGGTTTATTACGGAATTTGTCTTGGATGGCAGATGCACAGATGAGTGCAACGTTGGCTTCTTCAGTTCCAGCACTTGTGAGAGCATCGCTGCGTGCATATCGCACATCTGAATCAAAATGTTTATGTGCTACACTTTCTGCACTATGGAATTTAGCATCACATTCACGAGACAATAAAAAAGCTCTTTGTGAAGAGCCAGGCTTTTTAGAAATGCTCATTGATTTATCAACAAATGATGCACAACATACGGTATAATTTTCTCCGAATTGGAAAGATGAATATTAAAAGTGTTAATTTCAATAACTCCGTTAAAACATTCAACATGTCAACTTCAGCTAAAAAAGACAGTCATGCAATAAACTTGCATTGATTTAATTCACTGAGGATAAATTGAGCACTTTCAACTTATTCTCTTGCTAGGCTCAAAAGTCACAAATGTTGAAAGATGTTGCCATTTATAGACACTGGTTGAACCGGCTACTGGTGTTTTGAAATACGCATCAATGTACCTAGCGGTAGTAGGAGCTGACCAATATTTATCGACTAGTGCTATTCATATGATGATGCTTCGTCTTATCGACTTGTTAAACAGTTCATCGTTTACCGTAATAGGAAATGCTTTAGGAATACTCTCGCAGTTGCTTGCCAAAGGCCATCAGTTGCGTTCTCATATTGCGTAAGTTTTTTCTTGAACACTGTTTAAAATTCTATAGTTTCTGTTTGTATTAATATCTAAATATTCTCTATATGTTCATTGTATTTATTTTCATTTGTGTATATCTTTGTTTTTAGTCTCATCACTGTCGTCTTGATCTTTAAAATTGCCTAAGTTTTAGTTTATTTGCAACTTTTTATTATATCAAATGACACTTGCATAACTAAAAAATATTTTTATTTTTAGATTGAATCATAAAGCTATGTTATTGTTGAATCATCTTCGAAATTCTGCACGCGACGACATTCGTAATCCTGTTAAAACCGTGCTGAATTACTTACATTCATTTGATGCTTCTGGAGTTTATGTGCCGACGTCACCTCACTCTTCAACACATGGTACACCTCCATCCAATTATCATTTCAATGCTAATCACAGACTAGTCCTTATATTTTTTTTTATCATATCATACTATAGTTTTTGATGCTATAAATTTGAGTTATGAAGAGAATTTATAGGCATGTCATCATCATACGATGGGTCAGCTTCAGTTGCTCCGTCTTATATGGATTCAAGACGGTTATTAAAATATCGTTCATCTCATTCTTACGGAACAAGTGTGCTAGCTGGCAACATGAGCAACACATTAAACGCTGAATATTTCCCTTATTCTTCCCCATTGTATACTTCCACTATGCGGCAGGGGTTTGCCCCACGTCCTGGTGATCGTTCAAATCACCAGGAGCAGTTTGCATCTCTTCCGCGACAATTTTTTCAAAAAAGTAAGATATCAACCGCATCATCCGTTGGAAATGATAAGAATATGTATCTTAAGCAACTGCAAGCTACTGCACGATTTTCTTCGCCGTAAGATTTTTATTTTCGTTTTAAAGTTATAAAAGATTTAGTTCTTTTTTATTAAGATTTAGGAATCTTTTTTGTTTTGCATAACTTAGATGATTCTCGATGCAAGTCAGGTCTCTAGATAATCTAGGTCAGTTTAATATGATCTTTCTATTTTTAATTTTCACTTTTATTTTAGCGTCACTGCTGTGAGGCATCATATTCATCTGGAGCGAAAGGATATGAGTACTTCGACAACGACAAATGGTTTTGTTATTGAAAGTCCGCAAGGTCCCAATTCAAATAATAGTGAAACCGGTGATAGTGATGGATTAGGAGTTCTGAACAAGTCGGACGATCCGTCTTTCGAAGTAGAGGATAGTGTGCGATGTACACGTTGTACTAGCACGCAATCGCTCTCGTCACTGTTTCCGGTGCATATTTTTTCTCAGTTTTAGATGAAATGGTTGGCGAAACTTTTACTGCTATTATTCAATTAAAGATTATATCTGCAGTGTTGAAACTTCAACTTACAGCCAATTTCAAATTCATCAGTTTTGAAAGATATTAGAATATTAAAGAAACCTCGTAAGTTATTTTAAAGAAAAGTCAAAAAAAAGTTTTCTTTTTTAATTTTGCTTTATATTTCAAATCTTAAGTAAATACATACATATGCAAACAATATTAAGTCAGTAGAGAACAATATATGCGTTATACATTATAGTTTATATGTGTTGTATAAAACTTCAAATTTTCCAATGGACATTCATTTACAGGGTGAAAGAAGCACATGGAATAGTTATAACAACTCCACAGCTGACAGTAATCGTCTTTCTCCGGTTAGCGCCACTGAAATTCCCGATTCTCCCACTCAGTGCACACCATTAACTGATTTAACAACACTTGCTGCACGACATTTTGATATAACTGCAACTGTCGAGGAACGTAAAACGCGGGGTGAAGTAAGCACATCGAAGGAAGTATTGGTTGAGGTTCCCAAACTAAATATGGCGAAATCGAATTATAGTGAAAGTAATTCTATCAATAAAGGTAGAAACACAAAAGGTTTGAATTCGATAAGTTCATAAATGCTTTTCTTGCTCTTCTGAAGCTAATTTTCGATAATGTTCATCATGACTTGACTGGATTCATGTTATCTCGTGGAGGGCACCATTCAGTTTAACTAATGTTTTTTATTAAATTATTTTTTGATTTTTTTTTTTTTTTTTTGTAAGAGTTATAATTTATGTTATTTTTCTCTTTGATAAAGCTTTATTAAATGATGATGAATGGTTCTTTAAATATATCTTTAAAGTATGTTTTGAAGGCAGCACAGAGCAAGAGAATTCATTAGATGATGATTATGGCAGTTTCATGGGTCGCGCAGATTCTGAACTGCTAAATCAGTCGATTGAATCTGCAATGCCCAAGAGGTACTAAGACTTTTCAAAATTGTGCACTGAGTACAATAAATATTGTTAGAAGGACTTCGAAATTTTATTAAGTTGGTTCGGATTTGGTCGTCAAGTTTTTATTTCAGGGTGGAAATCAATGAGAAATTCCTAGCAGATATGATTGAACAGGCACAACCAAAGCCGTCTCCGTTGAAACACCATGGAAATAATGGAGGACGCAATTTTTCAAGAGCCTCCACAGCCAGAGCATCGAGCGTGAAAAGTAAATCCCTAGACTTTAAAACCGTTACTTATCTTTTCTTCATTTGAAGTATTATCGACTACATATTGTCTCATCAACCAATATTTCAGTAGACAACGATGATTTCTTGTTACAAAGCATTGCCAGCGTATTACCGCAAAGCTCTAGGTCCATACATGATATATCAGGCGTAGGTTCACCTCCAAAAAAAGCGAGGGCCATGACGGGCGACACCGCACGCACGTCAAGTGGCCCTAAACTTGGTTCTCGTGCGGTTCTTTCAAATTCGCACAGTCGTCTTACGCACAGTTGTTCCGTTCTACGTACGAAGGAATCGAGATCGAATGGCACAAATCTGAAAACGAAATTCGGAAACAGAATTGCTGCATCAAATTCTGCTGCACTATTTGATGCAGCATTACGAATTTCTTTTATGGAAAATCCAAAAACCACAGAAAAAGTTCGAGATGCCTCGTTGTTGGTCCATGAAGAGGTAATCATGTTTGCATTCTTTTTTTTTTTTTTTTTTTTTTTTTTTTGTTTTTTTTTTTTTTTTTTTTGAATAAAAAGATTTATTAAGGAGAGCGACACACTGAGTGAAGACAACTATAGTCCTTTAATGGATAACAATGTGGATGTTGATAAAAATGTGCCTCAAGATATTGATGAAGAATCTCAGGCGGAACAGCTTATAATAGATTGTAGCATTGTGTCAGAAAATAATGTAAAGCTAGTGCAGAAAGAGAGGTTTCTTTTTTTTTTGTTCGATTTTAATAACATCGATTAGTTTCTAGTGCGATTAGTTTTCCTTACTAATGGATATATTTTATAATTGGCACTTTTGAAAGTTGACTTTGATTATGATAACACTGATTTATTTCTTACATTCATTGAGTTTCCTACCTTACAGTCACTCTCCGAGTTTGTATATCTGGTAGAATCTTCACTCATTCTAAGCCATTCAACTGTTTCTGTCTTTATTTTGTGGTGTTCTCTGTTATATTAACTATATGGCGATTAATGATATGGCGACAAGAACTAATTTCCATTTATATCTTATCCATTTATAGTTCTGAACTCAGTTTTCAGCTATGTACAGACTAACACGTCGAATCGTTCTGAAAGAAATATGGAGAAGCGATTATCACGGCAAGAAATTTTCATACTTCCAGCACCGCTGAGCAACTTTAGTTCACGAAACAGCTCTCTCTGTAATCCTATCATAGCATCGACATCAAGAAATTCTTCTAAATTAATGGCTATATCCCCTGGTATTTCTTCCTTTATAATCTCTTTACCATTTCTAAAAATGAGTTTAACATGTTCTTATATGCTACAATTTTATCTAAGAAACATTGGTAGATTTTTAATTGCTTATTTTTCATGCACTGAGAAAAACGAATCTTTCTGAAATAAATTGCTTATTAAGAGTTAGACTGAAGTTTTACAGGTCTTATCAGCCAAAAATTTCCAGTAAAAAAATCTAAGCATAATGTTCTTATTTCAAAGTCGACGCAGGCTTCGAAAATTGGAAACTCTTGTAATGCTGTGAAATCGTCAGAAGTAAGATTTATCATTAGCTATTAATCTCAATAAATAATAATTGTATTTTTATTCGTTGCTCGGGGATTGTTGCTTCTAATGAACTTGTAATATTGTCGTTTGTATTACTTTAATTTTTGTTTTAAATTTGATTGATATTTTTTAAATTTCGTTCTCAGATATCTCAGTGATAAAAAGATATTTGGCGTTCCATACATATGTCTTATTCTAGGACTGTAAAGATGAGGCTGAACATCACGCACGTTCTTTGCCAAGATCTAAGCAGTCAGTCTTATCGAAAGCTAGGCTTGTTCCAACATCTCGTTCACCATCAAATTCAGAAGTCAATATATCGCGATCTACAACTTATCACGATCAAACAGCTACATCTGACACCCTCAAAATATCTCATAATTGTGCTAGTTCTCTTTATGAAACAGTCAAACCCCAGGCTGTTCTTATTCAAGAGTTAGCTGAAGACCGGTCCGCTAAAATATTGCCATTGAATCATAGGAATGTGAATAAAAAAGTATTTTTTATTTATTTATTGGGATTATATATATATCAAATTCTAAGAAAGCACGGAAATTCTTTCAAAATGTTCACTTTATATTTCTAGTTTGTAACTTGACAAGTATGTTTAAAGTATAATTAAGCAGAGATTATCATCACTTTGAAAAATACTACTGTGAGACTCAAATGTTACATCTCAGAAATTTTCCAGAGTTACATCTCAGGAAAAAAAATTTACTGGTTAATGGTTGTTTGATTGTTAAAGATTGTAAAAAAATTTTATACAATGAACTAGTTACAATTCTGTTTTATATCCATAAAATTTCCATTTATAGGCTGCTATTGTTATTTCTGAAAATGATAGCAAGAGAGATACTGTTGTAGCAGATACTGAAAATGACGGCGGAACGCAGTGTGACAATCAGTCAGCATGTGGAAGAAAAAAAACTATTAAACAAATGCTTGTTACTACCGTTTAAAATCAAGATTCCCCTTTTTTGCGGTTTCTTGGTTTTAGAAAAATGTTGCCTTCGAAACTGTAAAATAATTCATTTTCAGAAGATTTTGGCTTTAATGATCTTTTATCCTCAGTAATGTTGTGTTGATTTTTAGGGGAAGGAAATAGCAGTAGCTGTGAATTTCACCTCATTAAAATAAATTTAAGTAAACGGTTGAAATTCGGCTTTATGACTTAACACATTCATAGAATTGGTTAAAAAATTTTTTTCAATTATTTTTTTTTTCAATTTTTAAACACAAATAGAACTTGCAAAAATTTGAACAGAATGCAAATTTTATGTTTAAAATTACTATTACTTAAAGTTAATATTGTAATTCAAAACGGTAGTGTACTGTTTTTTCCTACTTATAGTATTTTATTTCATACATAATATGAAACTGCTGCTGGCGGGTTATGGTAGTGCTTGACTCATGTCTTATCTATAGCTAAATTATCATTTCACATATGCTTATGTACCATTTGCACTTTGTGTCTTTTCATCATGATTTTGTAGTCGTCGAAGTTTAGGCATATCTACAGAGAAGATTATCTTAATTCTTTAAATCATTCACAGATTCTTTTGATGCTCCTTAGAAACTTTTTGCAACTAAACTTGTTGGGAAAGTTTTGTTTAAACTTGAGAAAAGTAGTTCTTTTGTCGATGTGTTTAGATTCGTTCGGAAATACGATGACAGGTTCTAGTTGAAGCATATTTTCTAAATTATGTGTGTACTTATTTACATCTTCGAAAAATTATAAAACATTGCTTGGCTTGTCACAGTTGGCGCTCTATAATCTTACAATAAAAAATTACCTAAGTTAAATTTTTTGTTTGGAAAAATGCTGAAGTTCGGTTTGTCGATTTAGATATTTATTGATTGCCTACTGATTGCCTTATCTACGCGGTTTATTTGAAACGAAAAACAGGAAAAAGAGGAAAAAACTATGAGTTATTGGGGAGGGGAATATTTCCTGCTTTTACATGATAATTACACTGAGAGTGATGGCCTCAGCCTGGAATTGATTTAGGAGGATTTAAACTATTGTAGCTCGTGGTTTTGGAATATTTAATTAAAGAAAAGCTTATAAACCTGGACAATATTTCAACAACGTACATAATCTGTTTAGATTAACCATGTTACAAAAATTTTTAATCGTGGATTTTCTATCTCATTTATTAATGTGAAGTCTGCTGAAAAATGTGAAATGCTCATATTAGCAATTTCCTTTTGAAGTATGAAAAGTTCAAATATTTAACCTGCTTTCAATCTAGCAAGTGTGTTTTCTGTCCTTCTATTTTCGGGGATAAATCATAGATTAATAAACTCATCTTGATGATGTTGAACTGAGGGTGTCTTTTCCTTTTTTCAATCAAATAAATGGTTGATTCTGTATCAGAACTCATTACTTAGTATAGAAAGTGGTATTACTAACTTATGTTCATAATACCACTGTAGTAGTATCATAGGTACGGTAATATTTTGATACGTATTTGAAATTGTGAAACGTTCCCATGTACAATTGCACACATAAAATATCTATTTGTACTGTCCAGTCCAGAAACTTCAGTTTGTTGAGTCCTTTGTCACATGCGTCATTCATTGTTTTCTTCTGATAATGGTTTGGTTTCCGAAGAGTGGCACCTTCTCTGTCATTTGAGTAGGAAATGCAAAGTGGTCTATTAACATGAAGTTTCGTTCATTAGAGTGGCATATAACCAACCAAATGCTATTTCTTACCTTAACTTCATTTCCTCTTACTTTTCTTATCGTTTAACTTCGTTTCAGGTTTTTTCACGCTTGGTTCTTAAGGCGTGCTGAAATATGTACTTAATGGTCTTCATACGTCTTGTTATCGAAATACGTCTTCTTTGCTCCATTTTTTCTCGAATTAAAAGCGGTGGGTCAGTGTGCGCTTAGCGAGAAAAATAAGCGCACCCATTCATATTCAAGAATATGTGCGCTCAGAAGTACACAAGAGTTTACAAATATGAACACTTGTTTAACGTTTATAACATAATGTATAAATATTTTGCAGGCCATGCGAGAGAATGAAGAGTGCACTCATTCTTTTTTTATTCATTTTTCCTGCTTGAGCACACATTGACCCAACTGCAGCTGATATTCAAATTTTTTTTGACTGATATAAATTGATAATCCATTTGCAAAATGATATCCCGAACATGAATGATTATTCTCATACTTGAATTGATCTCTTTATATTCAAGAATATTCATTAATTCCATGAGGCTTTGGTACCAAGGTTGAGTTATTTACAGCCATTAAAAAGAAAACTTTCTAATACTTAATGTAAGATCACTAAATATGCTAAGTTATATTTATGAAAATCATTGACCGAGAAGTTGGAAAATATGAAGGAAATTACTGTTAGAATCGGTGACACTTCATCAAGGAAAAGATGCTAATAGGAAAAGATAGAATTACTCAAATTTGAAATGTAAAAAAAAAAGTGCCAGGAAAAGATCTGTTGTGGTCTGCGCTTTTATATTCATTGTACCTTCTCAATTGTGAAAGAACTTCTGTGCTATTACCCGGAACAAGTAAACCTAGGGAAGACCACAGATAACAATAATAATAATAATGGAAAGTCTGATATGGAGTGGGACACTTTCTGGAAGTCATCACCATTAATGATGTGAATGGAAATAGTTGTTTCATCTTCGTTCATCTTTTTCTTGATAACAGTTTCTAGTCAACACTGAATTTAAATAAAGATTGCTAATATTTCGAAGACAGTGCAGTTTCAAACGAAAGTATTCATTCCCGTCGCGAAATATTACTTTCATCCTCAATTAGGTGAGATTTTATTTCATTTCATGAAGCAGTAATGACGTGATTGAGTCGACTGCCATAAAGAATTCATTGATACTGACAGAACACTGAATAAATTATCATCATTCCATTCCTTGACTAGTATCATCATTCCTTGACTTCTCTTTAATATGTTGGGAATGATATTCATTCATGCATTTTATATTAACTTCTAGATACTAACATTTGCTCGCTACTACCACAATTCGATGACAACTTCGACGTAGGGCTCACCAGCTTAAGTGTCTCGTAATCACACTGCAGCCAAAGTACAGGTCGGTAACATCTGTCCGAGAATATATTCGGCAGTATGTTATACCTCAATCCGTTCACTTGCACCTCTTATCCTGTTATCCCATTAATTCTAAAAGGTCTAACTGATGAAAGATAAGCGACAAGAGAATTAATTGTTAAAGCGATTCAGAAATGCATCATAGCAGTTCTAGACAATGTTAATCGTGATGGTGAGGATGATAATATGGTTGCTTAATATGATGACAATGGTGCCATTATAGAGAAATGAAGTTGCTGAGATCTGGACTATAGAGTAGCTCCACGAAATGTTTTGGACAAAGTCTTTTACCCTCTTCCCCAGACAGTTACGCTTCCCAGCGTAAATGACTACTGCTGCTGGGATTGGCTTATATTATATTATATCTCGATGGAGCGAGATCGTCGCATCTTCTGTCGCTATTCCTGCATGTCTGTTCGCTTTGTCACAGCTTCCATCCAATGGTGGCATCCTGCTTACCACATCACCACACCTCTTATTGATTACTACCCCCTCCCGCAAATGTATTTCTTGTGCTCCTGCGTTGTACATCTGTGCACATATTCACGCAGGTGCGCGCATGGCTGAACATGTGTGTGTGTTACTTGCTTGCATGACTGTAACAAGTGCGTGCATCACTGTGTGTGCAGTGCATATATGATGTGCATGCACTTTATGTTTTCGATTTGAGATTGTGGTAGTAGTATTCATTACTACTACTTCTATGGATGACGGGTCATTTGCCCTCCTCGGACAAGAATAACTCTACTACTGACTGACAGGGATGACTGCTAAGCAAGAATATTTCCTCCTATCGGTTGAACATTAAATTAGAGTGACGTTTGCAGAGAACTCTTCTCCAGGGTCAACCCAGACTTTTAAAGTTTAAAGCAAAGCAAGTGGCTATTGTCGACCACGTATTCCATTTTTTTGAAAGGAAGAGATTTCGTCCTCGTAGAATTCATTGACTTATAAAATTGTGAAGTCTGTTGGGAAGAATTTCGGCCAACCGCGAAATCTCAGGTTTTCACAGTGATGATTCATCTTTGCAAGCTTAACAATTATTTTCTATTTATAGAGGTAAGAATATAAACTGTTCCCGGTGATTAATCATTCAATACTAATTCTGCTTTGTGCCTACAGTGTATCTCTTGTAAAACAAACAAAATTAAGTTTCTCAAAGAATTTAGGTGTTCTCACTGTCCATTCACAACAATAGACCAACTGAAGAATTATGCTGCTCGATTTATCAATGAAAAGATACGCGGCTATTCATGGTGGTATTGTATATAGGAACTCATGTTACTGTATTTCTCAGTTTGCGCCTTCTTAAAGCAATCTTTGCTTCTTCATAGTTTCTTTCCCATAAAATTTAATTTTGAAAAATGGAATTACAGAGGATATTAGTTGTGGTTTTTCCGCACTTTTGCTGTGATTGAAGTGAACTTAGGAAGTATAGTTTTATTGTGTTCATAATAAATAAACAGTTAATGATTCAAATTTTGTTTTGAAGAAGTACACCGAAATGGCTAGAGAAGAACCTTATCTAATGTGGAGGTTCATGTGGCTGGTTATGACATTGAAGGTTGAGAATCAATGAGTTTTTATGCATTCTTTTTAGAAATACTAGTATTTCGCTGCGTAGTTTCACATCTTCTGCTACAATACACAATAGACAATCGTTAATTACTATAATTTATAGATGTTTCCAGAAGTCGAAAACTTTTGTTAATTGCAGGTGGTAATAATGGCAAAAAAGCAGTATGACTTATTATTCAAATTATTGCTTATTGGTGACAGTGGTGTTGGAAAAACATGCATTTTGTATAGGTTTAGTGATGATGCTTTCAACACTACTTTCATTTCTACTATAGGTTG